TCGGTTGGACAATCTGGCTGGCTGGCAGGAGAAAGCCATACCGACCCGTGTCTCTCAACTCGATCGTAAAACCGGTCATTTTAGCTTTGGCGGTCATCCAGTCATCCGTGGCCCCTGAAGCAGGATACAGTTCTGCTCCGGTGATTGAGCTATATCGGTTTCCGTTGAACGTTGCGATAGCGTCACGAACACCATCACCGAGGGCCTTGTAGAGGGCTTCATTCTTGCTCTTTGTTGTTGTCCATCCCCATGGACGGAGGATGTACTGGCCATATGAATGCCAGTCAATTCCAGCGATACGGTTGGGAAGTGAGAGGATAAATTTGGAGAGAGCTTTGGTTTCCGGTTCCGAGAACGCAGATGGACCATTGTAAGTTTCGGAACATGGGTTGGAATCTACGCCCACAACTCCGAAATGTTCGTCCCAGTTACGATTGAGATCCACACCTACGCAGTTTGAGTTCGAGTTGCTGCCTCTGTTCTTCCGCCAATACCTGTCCTGCGTACGGCTATATTCGTATCCGTCTGGGTTAGATATCGGGGTGATGTAAAACTCGACCTTGTCGAGGAAGTCGGAGAGCTGGGGGTCAGTGGATGTGATGAGCGCATTGGCAACGTACATCACCGTCGCGGAGGAAATCCATTCGCGGGCGTGGATTCCTCCGTTGAAGTAGATGCTCTTTTTGGAAGAACTTGGAATCTTGTTATTCGTAATCTTGAACGCGGGAATTTCTCTACCCTCTGTTGACGCGCCGATGCTGCCCAAGTACTTGACGCGGTCAGGATAAGCTTGCGCCCATGCTTTGACTTTGTCGACGATCTGAGAGTAAGGCTTATAGCTTGAGAAGTACGGGTCAGCGGCCAGCGCACTTGGTCCTTGTCGAATTGCCAGATGAGGTTGCTGTTCTGCTTCAAGAAGAGGAGCAAGATCGTCGATAAAGACATCACATTTTGCCCCTGTGGCCTCCAGTTGGGCTCTTTCGGTAGCAGAAACCCGAATGTCTGCAGGGTGGTTGAGACCAAGGCTGTGGGACCAGACATCAAGGTGAGATGCCTTTATGTGGGCGATCTGCGCATCGGAGGTGAGGGTACACCGAACGACTTGGTCCGATCGCGGTACCGGCTTTGCCGATGCTAATGTGGCAAGTAGGAAGATTGGCGCGATGGACGAGAGGAGATGCATGGCGAGAACACGGCAAAGGAATGGGGAGGATGAGGTTCAGAACTACTTGCAATAACTTTGAAGAAGCTATTTCTGGCTGATAAATGGGGGATTGAATTTGTTGGGTTATTTATATCCCCACCCGTGGCCCATAGCATTCTTCAGGGCCATATATAACGATTGGACATTCCAAGTGTTTTTGGAAGATGTATAATTTGTGCTGGACTCGCTGGTAATACCACTTGATCAAGTATTTGCAAGATCAAGCACCCTTGCCTTCTAATCAACGACCATGTTTTCAGTGTCCGCACATGGATCTACAATCTTGATCCGTCCTGATTGGATAGTGTGTTCCCCACACCTCTTTCACAAATTCTCCATTCTTGCTGGCTAGATGTATAAAAATGATGCTGACCACGGAGGCATTGTATTTGCCATCTCTCCTATCAGCATGGTGGAAACGTAATCCTCCTTGACAGCGCGGACTGTTCGCGCATTGGGATTGCCGAAAGAGGCTATGTAGCATCACAGCAGATGCTGCGCGTTGAGATCAGGGCCGGAGACCACTCAGGGACACCGATCACCCCGTGGAATGTTGGAGCTGGGGGGTTGAAAGGAGGCAAAGCCAAGAGATAGGCAAATGCCGTCATCCTTGTCGTGCTTTTCTCCTTGCTGCAGCGTGCCAAAGAGATCCCGTTACAGGCAAGATCGTGGACGAGTTCAAAGTTTTCGCAGCTAGCCCCAAGATAATAATCGTCCATCTCTAACTGATAAACAAGATCATCAACATGGGATGGAAGACATGCGATGGTGTCCCTTGCATTATCGCTGATCTTTGCTGCTTTGTCATCATTTCGAGGGTTCGATTCTTAACAGCGTATTTCTTGGAGAAACGCGCTAAAGGTTCTTTTTGCCTTTGCCACATCACATGTGAGTGGCTTGGACTGACTCACAAGGCGAACGCGTTTTGCAAAGTCAGCAAGCGGAGGGAAGGATCGCGACTCTGGATAACAGAATATGCAACCTCCTGATGGGGCTTGCCTCAGTGAGCCAGAAAGGAAGCATGATTCTCTTCCTATGGATGATTTTAATAAGGACGACATCAATACCTTGCAGCCGCCATATACAAAGATCCAATCAGTTTCAGGCGATGAACAAAATCAAACCCAAAATGATGATGAAGCAGGATCCCGCTGGGAGCAAGCAGAAGAACGCTTTCTGGAGCTCTTTTTTGGAAAAGAGCGTGGTTTGGGTAAAGGGAGGTTTGACTATCCCCAAAGATCATCAAAAGTCTCGTTTGACCTGACGTCCAATGTCCACTATGGACCTCCTATCCATCTCATTGACGAATCCGATGATTTGACATCGGATTGCTTTGCGACTCCTTCCTCATCAAATCGGATCATTCGCCCACGTACCGCTGATCTATCTCAGGAACAGAAAACAAGATTAAACGCATTTCGAGAACTGGATGAGCTGGTTTTTCTCAGACCGCCCTCTGCAGCCACGGGTCGCCGATTGGGTTCCGCATCAGCGGAATCTGTTCTCCATGGCGACAGGGGCCGAAGAATTATCTCTGCTCGTCGAGCTACAATGATGGGCGGCGAACCTCTTGATGATCTCTTCTTGCCAAGAAAGAGCCGGCCTCTCTCCAGAGAGACAAAATCCTTGTTCTTTAAAGTAATAGCGGATATCTTTCGGACTGCATGGACTGCACCATCGGTAGTTCCGGATCCAGCAACTGTACAGCATTCAGACAGGCATCTGGCACCTGCCGCAGACCATGCTCTGGTCCCCATCGGTACTACTGGTGGCACGGCGGGCCCGAAAGTATACGTTCGCCTACCACCTCAGCTTGGGCTCCATCGCATTCCATCTTACTACTTTGATGAAGAGGATGGGCATGTCATGGTCAGTCATATTGCGAAACAATACCCGCTGCCTAAACTTGGACGATTTTCTAAACGGCTGACTCCGTCGCCATCTAGAATAGAGGCAAGAATGGAAGGGTATCGAGGTGTCAGTATGCCAAAAATGAGAGGGGAAGAGAGGGAGGAGGAGCACATCAACGATGGTAGACCTACTCCTGCAGATGTAATACAATGGCTGGGCGACGAAGTGCCTCACATACCTTCGATTCTGTTGACAGAACAGAAGGATATCGACCGGCATTATACATCACTCCCCGACCGCCCCATTTCTAGGCCTGGGAGACGTCTTGGACACACGTTCCCAATAGATTTCTTTATGGACCACGAAGACGCTCAGCAGCAACTAGTTGATCCTCTCTCGACCCAATTGGACAAAGCCGGTGTCCGCACCAAGGGCCGAGCTCCAGGTATTCAAGCTCCAAGTGGCCCTGATACGCCCGACCCTGCATTGGCGCCTGCCATTGCCTGGCATCCATGTACTGTCCTCTCCTATGATCCGACTGACAACAGATATACTATCAAATGGGAAGAACCCCTTCCAGAACGCCGCAATCCGCCAACGCAACTTACTCGTGCCGACATCCTGCTACCTCACGAAACGCCAAATGCCCACCATCAGAAACTTTTACATGCCCATGCCATCCGTGTTGAGTTTGAATATCGTCTTGCGCTTCGCCAATGTGTTGCAATCGCACGGCCCTTTCTGAAAGATTATATAGCCAATGCGCCAGTGAGGGCGTCTGAGCGATTACTAGCTGATGAGCTAAGGAAGAGAAGGAAAGAAAGAAGACAGTGGACCAAGTTCATATGTGGTACTACCATTGGCAAGGGGGATCACGCCGGGGAGACCGAAGAAGAGGAAGATGAATCTCTTACATTTGCACCGGAGGTTCTCATTAATCTTAGGGCCGAAATTCAGAATGATTACACAAGATCTCAGATCGAAGCTGCCCTTCTTTGTAGCGGTCACTTGCAAAGGTTCCTTCCTCAGCCCCTCACTATTCCAACACTCTCAGAATTACACTGGCAAGATGAGCGGATCCGCGTCACGTCCTCCGTGAAAGGTCAAGTAGCACGTTTAGCAGCACTGCTATATCCGCGCATTGAGTTTTATCGGCAGAAATGCACCGATGCCGTGTTCTGCTTGCGAAACGAGTGTCAGAGATTATTGAAGGATGGTATTAGTGATGTCCTGCGACGTGGAGAAATCCCGTACGATTCTGAGGATCTCAACACGAGGTGTATCTTCTTTACCCCCAAAGAATTTGTTGAAGCATGCGCACACATACATGGGGAATTCGTACAAACTGTTTCGGAGCACATTGGTAATGTACTATCAGCAGCGGTAACTACGGCTTTTCGAGCGCATCAGGTAGAACCCAGGGACTCAGCGGAAACGATGTTATCAACTATGGAGGCACAAGATGCTGAGACTGCCCGCTCCCTTCTCAAATTCTTTGTCGCTGTCATCGCAAAATCGACCATTATGCCCATCTTCCGAACAAAGATAACCGATATATATAAGTCGTTCCATCAAGGGGCCATACGCATCCGAGTTGACCTCATCTTTGACTGGAACGCCGACTATAGTATTACTTTCAGCACTGACTTTGAATCGTGGAAATCTGCTCTCAACAAATCATTGTCCTGCATGCTCACCCCAATTTCATGCAAATTCCCTACTGGGCCGTACATACCGACGCCCGAGGACCACGTATTCTTGAAGGAGCTTTGCTCTGAAATGATTGACGAAGGGATTGACTCATGTCGTGATTTCGTGAACTGGCTGTCGGCTGCAATACTGCCGCGAGTTCGTTCGGCCTCGCATGTGTCAGTGCTAGATGTTGATATCGCCAACCCGGCCGAAAATATCTTAAATAAGTGCGATGCCCAATTGCGGGACATATCCATTGTTGAGAAACACTGTGCTGGTCTTGCAAAGGTAACTCCGCGTGGGATGTTTGCTGTATTCAGTGAAAACTTCCAGAGCGAGATCAAGGAATGGGTTTCGAAGACCCGACGAAGGATTTTCACCAATCTGGAAGGACTCTTGGACCGTAAAGTACAGGAAATCCATGATGTGTACACGACGTATACCACGCACCCACCCCCCGGCAACTTTGATCAAACAAAATCTGCGTCCGTATCTCTGCAGTCTCTAGATGCTGCTCTTCCTCTTCTGCAAGGCCAAACTAGCTTTGTAAAGTCACTCAAATCGTTTCTGGACGAACGACAGTGGGCTGTAGATGATGAGTTGGTGACGCGCTTCTACGACGCCTACACCATGTATGACCGTTTGACCGAGTTTGCTGCATTGAGAAAACAAGCAGTGAGTGAAGCCATTGAACGACTGAGCGCCGTTGTGGAGAAGGAAATGTGTATGATAGTTGAATTGTGGGATGAGGTGGAGGCTGCTTTGGATAAGGTACTGACCACACCAATCGGTGACGCTACAAGCAGCAGTGGTTCGGATAACGAGGAACAGGAAGAAGAGGAGGATAGGACGGAAGATGACGAGCATGAGGACGCCAGAGCACAGAATCATCCCACCACAATTACGCTCAAGTCTCTCACACCTATCTCCAAGCACATAGTAAATGCGCTTGATATCGCAGCCGTCATCATCCGCAAAGCTTCGTGTATTGATGATACTCAACGACTGTCGCAACTGCAAAACCTACATACATCAATGCACATTCGTAGAGTTTTGGTCACATGTTTACTGCAATATCGAGAAGATCTTGACCGCTGGCGATATGAGCCAATCTGTAATATTCATGCATCCGAGATTCGGAAGCGCTGTGCGGAACTACTAGAAGTTTTTACACCAACGGGCATTGCGCACCCACCTATCGCGCAGCACGCTGCGAAAGAAATAGCAGCATTTCTTGAGACGGAATACCCTATTGTGGAAGTCCTTACTTATGATTCATTCCGTAGTTGGCATTGGGATTCCGTTCGCAACGCTCTGGGCTTGGCCGATTTTGACATCACCACCACACCTCTTTCCCTTGTCACTAAAACCATCGGACGGCGAAATCTAGGGCTGACATATGAAGACCTCTTGGAAATTCTCCAAGAAGCAGAGCAAGAACAGTCTCTCTCGAGCACGCTCTCTGAGATACAAAACCGGTTTGCCCAGCTTTCCATCCAGATTATGCGGGATGAGGCAACGGGCCTGTCAGTTATCAGCCGTTTTGAGAGGCTTATCGGCGTTATTGAATCGGACTTGCTGTCGGTTGAGCTGCTGTTGGAAGGGTCATCTGAGCCAGGAATTGAACATTACGTTGACCAATTTACAGCGCTCCAAAACGACCTTCAAAGAGCTCTCAAATCTCTTACTGAATGGTCCAAAACTCAGCCACTTCTTCTCTCGACCCATTCTTTCTTTAATGCTACGGAGGTTCAGCTGGCGCTTCCATTGGAAACCAAACGATATAGAGCCGTTGAAACTACTTACCGCGCCCTCCTAGCAAAGGCTGAGAAGAACTTGGGAATGAAAGCATTGGTGGACGCTGCGCCAGATCTGGCCGAGGGATTGACGGAGATGAGGGGCGTTCTGGGATCTCTGGTTGAGGATGTTCAAGGGTGGTTAGATGGAAAGCGGATTGGGTTTCCGCGATTGTTTTTTGGCGCTGATGAGGAACTGCTGGAGCTGGTTAAGGTTAAGAGAGAACCCAAAGAGTTGAATGGATATTTGTCAAAGTACGTTCCTACGACGAGATGGGCCAAACGTTATCTATCTATGAACTAACAATATCCCACCTGTTATGTTAGATACTTTTATTTTACCTCTCTTATCCATCAGTCCTCCGCCTCAGCAGCGCAGGACCACAAAATAACCGGCATTCGATCCACCACATCCGGGACAAGCGAAGCTCTGATTTTTCGTAATTTCATCAGCACTTCCCATCTGAGCATCGAAGAATTGCTTTCCAAGATTGAGACGCAGATTCAATCCACTCTCAAGGAGATAATATTCACCGTTTTAAGAAACAAAAATAGCGACGAGGACGGTGAGGATGTTCCTGAACAAATTCGAGTTTTAGCCCACCAAGTACGACGGACGCTCGAGGTTGAAAATAGTTTGGGCATCAAAGGCGGATTGGACACCCTATTGTCGCAAACCTTGGACAAAATCAGGAAGCTAACTACCCGATCAGACAAGTTAGCCAAAATTCTTCTGACCCTTACCCTATCTCATCGTGACTGGATTCAATGCCTTTTAAATGCCCAACGCACAACGGAAAATATGAAAACGTCGCTGGAATGGCTGAATGCGCTCAAATATCACTACGACGAAGACGAAGTGACCGTGACTATCTCTCAAGATCTTTACCATGCCTCGTACGGCTTCGAATACATTCCGCCCACTGCCCGTGTGGCTCTGGGTATTTCGTCCAGAACATTCACTAACCTCTGGCCTGGATTAATTTCCAATCATGGAATCTTATCGCACGGTCCACCTGATACAGGGAAAACGACCCTTCTCCTCGAATTTACGCAAATTCTTGGTCGATTTGCGGTCGTATGCTGCTGTTCTCCGGCAGTCTCAAGTGCGGTCATGCGGAGGCTGTTGACGGGGATGGTCCTGACAGGATGTTTTCTTGTCTTCCGGCAATTGGACAGATTAAGCCAGGATTCTTTGGGCGTTTGCTTGGCGGGTCTAGAAGCGGTTAGGGAACTAACAGCTGCATCCTCACGAAAGGAACTTTCTTCTGTATCGTTTCTGGGAAGAGTGATGAAATTACCGCCGGTCGTGCATGTAAGATGTTTTGCAACGTCAGAGAAGATGGACGATGATCTGTTTAGGGGTACGGTGCGGAATCGGATGGTACCGATTGCATTACGTTTACCTGGAGTTGAAATTGTTACCGCCGTATTGCTACGGAATGCGGGGTTCAAGGATGCAGAAAGCTGTGCCGCAAAAGTTGCCGCCTTCTGGCGGGGGTGCGAGGGGCTGGGCGTACGAATGGGATCCGTGAGAAGTGTAATATCTGTTTGCCGGTATATGGAGCGGATGAGAGACAATTTTGCTGAGCTCGAAGTTGTTGCGAAGTGTTTATGGGAGTGGGGACTGCTGAAGGCGGTCGGAGAAGAAGTTGGTATATTGAGGGACGTTTTGGGAGCCGTTTTTGGATCAACCTTCGAGGCCATATCCACAGGCCCCCCTTGCAATATCCGCAATGATATCGTAACTCCCGACTGTGATCCTTTGCATATGCATCTGAAAAATGCCATCAGCGGTCTCCTCACTGCAACATCCATACCAGGCACCCACGTTCTCGTCCTTGGAGCGCCACAAACTGGTAAAACGACGACAATCCGCGCAGCTTCTCGTTTCAATTCCATGCCATTATACACGATCAATCCAACTGCACTTTCCTCGGCTCTTCTCTTTGGATCCCCATCCCAAACGGGGTTCACAAAAGGTATTTTAGAAGATCTCGCTTCAAGCCCTAATCCCGCGTGGATTCATCTCGACGGCCCGTACTCCTCCTCCTGGACCGAGGCGGTCGCCTCGTTGATGCACCCAAGCGCACTGTGCTTAAGCACAGGGAAAAGGCTAATGTTGTCCCAGAATGTAACCCTCATATGGGAAGCCGAAGATATCCATAACGTCTCAGCTGGATTTATTTCGCGATTCAGTCTCGTGCATGTGAAAACCAAGTGGACGTGGGAGGTCTGCGTTTCCGAATGGATATACCAGATACCGAAAGATCCTAAGTTCTCGCCGCTCGCTACAGCGCTTCAATGCACTTTAAAGGCTATCTTTGGCATCTATATGAAGGAATTAGTATCCTCTTTGGATGAGATTTGCCGTCTCCGGGGAATGGATCTTCAATCATCCGTTAGTAGTTTTCTGGGAATCTTACAGTGTCTCTTAGGGGAAGCTTGTCTCGAGAAAGATTGTCAAGCAGTAATTGAAGACGCCTTCTGGTACGCTGTAGTGTGGTCATTCGGGTTGGCCGTCGATGTGGAGCATCGGAAAGGATTTGAAGCCACTATATATAGACTGCTGGAAGACAACCAATCTTCCAGTCAGCTCTGGGCCGTACTCCATAGTCATCACGAAGGTCCCAGTCTGTTCCTGCTGGTGTTCAACACTGTCACTGGATCATGGACACCATCGCCCACACATAGTGTCATTTCCCACATTAGGAACCTCGCCAGTACGCTCCTTCAGCACCACAAAAGCGTTCTGTTTACCGGTGGCCCGAGTGCCGGCAAAACCTTTGCTGCGGAACGCACTCTCGCCAACCTACCAGAGCAGAAGACTATCATTCATACACACATGCTCCATCCAACATCCACTCCAGAGGAATTTCACGCTCAGTTGCATAAAACCCTTGTAAGAGATGAAGCAACCGCGGCGTACGTTCCCCCCAATAATAAAACGTTGACCCTTTTTGTTGACGATTTACATATACCTATGGCCGCGCGGCCTTCTTCACCATCTCCGGTAGCTGAGTTTTGGCGCTCCTTTCCGGATATGGGTGGATACTGGAGCAACGCTACAACTTTTAGAGCTGTAAGACGCATCTCGATCCTCGGATGCTCTGATTTGGAAGCCCCAACGCATCGTCTTGCGCGTCATTTTATTGTGTTCAGGTTCCATGATGCGGATGCGTACTGCGAAATGCGAGGATCGTTTCTGGAATGTATGCATCATCGTGGGAACAAAGTCGACATGGTCATTGATGCAACCCTCCGGTGTCACCACTTGATTAAAATGAGAATACTACGATCAGGAATAAGGATTTTTGTGCCCTCAGATGCAGCTAAAGTTCTAAGGGGCTTGATGAAAATTAGTGAGGAAGAGTGGATGAGTAGCAAGTCGCTGATGACTGCATGGTGCTTTGAGGTTGACAGAGTCTATTTGGTGAGTAATTATCCTTGCCTGGAAGCCCATTCCTGTGAGCTTATAATGACCTTTTCATAGGATCGAATAAGCCCTAGCGACACCTCGATATACCACGATATCGTCGGTCGTGTCTGTCTGCAATACTTTCACCAGACAGCACCGTCATCCAGCTTGTCATATCTGTATTCCGATATGACAACGATGGCTGTGCGTCCCAATGAACGCGACACAAACCGATCTATTTTTACGCTCGGCTTCTCACCATCAATAAGGCAGTCCACCGTATCGCTCACCCAAGCAGCATACATGGATCGAACAGCCTACCGCGGGGTCAGCGAGAAACTTATTAAGGAAGCCATATCTATATTCACCACTCAGGGAGATGCAAAAGGACTCGTAAAGAGAGACATTACCTTGTATCCTGGAGCTATCGATCATTTCTGTAGGCTGGACAGGGTTTTGGGCGATGATCAATATCCAAGTGCGCTCCTAATTGGGCATTGTCTCCACGATGTGCAAAAAGACCTCGCAAAACAAGCCTCTGCAATGCGAGGATATCGATTCCGAGAGTACAATATAATCGGCCCAGTTGATACTCCTACTTGGCGCCTCTTCATTCGGAAGCAAATCATCGACGCCGCCATTTCGCTCCAAAAAATTGTTGTCGGAATTTTTCTCCCGGCAGAATGCGCGCTCAATCCTACTTTTTTGGGGGATCTGAATGCTCTTCTTGATCGCGGCAGATCGGTCCAGTTATGGACATCGGGAGAGTACGACGATATGTTGAGCAAAATTGCACATCAGGCCAAGCAGACGGAGCGGGATGAGAGAGGAAAGATATCGCGGGGAGCGGTTCTTGGGTTGGTAAAAGGGGAGAATAGAAAAGCTTTGAGCGCGTTGGATGTTGAGAGAGAACTTAACGAGAGAACATTAACAAACTTGAAGATAGTCGTATGCGTGGATATGGCAAATCTAATGGTCCTGGATCAGCTGGGTATGCGATTTTTGCTTTTTCGTATAGCATGCGATACTTGTTCCATTCGACTGATGTGCTTTGACAGCCGAATATCCCAAAATTATCTCGAGCCTGACAATCGATATCTACTATGACTATAATGAAACATCCCTACGAACGCTGGCACAAAACTATTTCGCAGACTCAGGGCTCTTGGAGGCTGTTAATGATGAGTCCACCTCTGCCGAATCCCTAAGCACATGCACAGCGCAGATGTTCCTCGCGGTAATTCATGCAATCCAATGCGGGTCACATCCTTTCTTGAAATCAATGCCGATCAATGGCTACGAAAAATTCCTTGAACACGTCTCAGAATATTATATGAATACCAAAAACGAACTTATTTCTCAGAATCAGAAGTTCCGCCGGTGTTTGAAAAAAGTTGGTGACGCACGGGAAGTGGTGAAAACGATTGTCGACAACACACGAAGCCAACTTCAGAATCTCCCAGCATTGCTGGAATCGACAATGGCACAACTAAATGTGGTCACGAAGCAGCTTAAAGAAAAACAAATGGATGTAGAAAAATTGCGAAAGGAACTAAAGAGCGACGAAGAAAGCATAGACCGACAGTGGCGCCAAAAACAACAAGATGCTGCGGATGCGTGCCTAGCCGCTGCACGGCAGAATTTGGAACAAAGCATACGGCGCCTGCAGGCTCTTCGCAAGGATGCTTTTGAGGAATTGAAAGCTGAGACAGATCCACCACCTCCTGTTCAGTTTCTTGCCAGCGCCATCTGCATTCTGTTCGATAAGCCACAGTCGTGGACGGAAGCCCGAAAAGTCATTGCAAGTCATTCTTTTATATTCCGCATCTCATCTCTGACGGCCGATACACTTCCGGAGGCGGTACTCGATAAACTCAAGAAAATCATGGAGGAACCGACTTTCAGACCCGACCGGTGTGCGGTAGTCGGGATTGCTGCACGCGAGCTATGTGCATGGATTCAAACGCTCTATTCTTCCTCTCGTGAGGTACGACGGATCAAAGAAGAGCAATCCCAGAGCCGGTTGAATACTGCAAAACGTGTCGTAGGGTCAGCAAATGCTCACATTCGGCTATCAAAATCTCGCGATAAGCTTATAGAATCTACCGGAGAATGTGCCAACCTCCAACGGCAATATTCCATTCTTGCTAGCACTAAACGTGAGCTGGTTGGTCGCATTGCTCTCCTTCACGAAATCTTCTCTCCAACTAGCATCTTCGATGCTCACGAGCCCGGACATGCTGATCACATCTCGGAAAGTCAATGGATGCAGCAAGCGTTCCACTGCGAGGATGATACTCCTGTCTTTGAAAATCCTAAGGTCGCCGCTGCTCACAGTGATTATCAGGCGGCGCTATATGAACTTAAAACTTTAAGAGAAAGATTGGCGTCGGATGTTGAAGAAGGACAAAAGCAATTGAAAGCGATTCGCGATCTGTTCGAGTCTCTCAAGATGGAAGATATTGAAGAATTACTGGAACCTGCGGACAATCCCTACGTGTTGCAAGCGAGAGCCTCGTTGCTGGATTTATTGCAGCTACCAGCGCACTCGACACCAACTGTAGTTTACGACAAGGTGCTTATCTTATACTTTGCGGCTAAAGGTCTCATGTGATTTCACCTATATACGCCTTCTCCTAGCTACGATCTTGTAGCATTGAAACGCTACCGGTTCCAATGAAGCAGCCAACAAATGCCTTTGGTTACCATCGTCCAGTTCTATACGGTATCAGCATTTGTCGCGTATGTTGCTTGCTACTATTTTCTCACTCATCCTCGCATATCTCAAATGATCAGATAAAAACGTGGCAGCTTCCACTGCAATTACGCCTTTTGTTGCCTCACGTGCCGCAATAACGGTGTCTAACATACTTCCTGCAATCCGCTCCTTCAAAGCAAAGCATCAACGGATAATGATTTCGCTTCGTGAAGCCGAAGAAGTTGTGAAGCAGAAAAAGGCGGTGTTTGACGAGAAATGGTCTGCAGCATACGCGGGAAGAGCAGAGTTTTGGTCATTTGAAGTCATTGTGAACACCATTAAGGCATGAATTCTTCCGCGACGGCGTTTCTCAGCTGATCGTGGGATTTACCAATACCAATTCATCTGACAGGATATTCGTCGACGGCTGGAAATTGCGGATCTCACCCTAATGAAGCTCCATCTTACAGCCTCTAACCCAAACCCGTTGCTGACGAAAATTATCAAAGTTGGTTGCGCACTCGTAGGATGGAATGCGGACTTCTCCCTACTTTCGAAGTGGGTGATGCGGAATCCCACGTTGTTCTTGCGAGAAATCGCAAATGTCAAAATCGGCGACCTGAGGGTGAAGGACTTGATACAAAGCGGCTTAGAGGGAGAAAACCTTATATGCTTGCGTGCAATAGCTGTACGTCAGGTTAATCGCCTATACGTGGATATAGTAGGGGAGCTTCCGTGCCAGCTGGGATTGAAGGTGCTTTCGTTCATCGACTGCAAAACCCTTGCTCGTGGATCCTCTGTCAACCGAAAGTGGGCGGATTTATTGGCAGATGAAGAGTTTTGGAAATGGATGTCGTATCGCCGCGGATGGGGAGTCACATTTGTTTATCCTAAAGACATGGATTGGAAAGTGTTCTATTTCACTTTGGCAAACCAAATCGAAAAGCGAATAAACCTGATCGAGTCTTCCGTGAAAACGAATATGGGGGGACTTCTTGGAATCAAGTAGGATCGCGTCGGTTTAAGGCCACCTAATTACCCCCTTATCCTTATTCCTCTAGGGCCTATGCTAAGTTGACCGCTTTTCTGAAACGATTGCCAGAATATGTACAACTAAGTCGAAACGGAAGGCAATCCGCGAATCAATGGGACAACGTCATTCAGCTGGAAGTCACCAATGATGTGTTTATTGCCGCAGAAAGGGCGTTCTCCGAATACCTCGCAGAGTACGGAACCTCCGGCGCGGATGTGGTCCTACCAGTAAAACAGGCTGGTGCAAAGCATTCACCTCTTCGGCATCGCAAAGCATTTATTGCCTTGCGAGCGGCGACAGGTTTGGTCTTTCCCTCTAAAGAGGTTCATGAGTTGATTATGATTCGCGCTCGTAAGGCTGGTCTCCTACATCCGACAATAGAACGATTTCGGAAGCAACCGAGCCAATTGCGAGGGGTAGCTCTTATTACTGTAGATGTCAATATTCCTGGTACTGTACGAGAACCCTTGCATCTGTGGGACCCCCCAGTCACCGAACGTTCAAGGGCTTCTGAATCCATCTTCACGCTTCTTGCCGAGATGTTCCAAGCCACCTGTGCCTTCCATGATGGCAAAAAAACAGGAAAGTATTTGCAGTTCCAAGATCGCTTCATCAAGTCTTTGCAACAGCTGTCAAAGAAAATCCAAAGCCGTATTGATGCTCTCGGCAGCCGTAAAGAATTGTTACTGGCAAATACGCTCATGCGCAGTGGGCTTCTTGCCTATTTCGGCCCGTTATCGGATGAAAAAAGGGTTGAGCTCGAGGACGTATGGCGACATCTCATCAAGCGACATATCAATGGGCATGCTGCCAATATTCCCCTAACGAAAGATACAAGAATGCCAGCCAATTCAGCTCTCTTTAAAGTCAAGATTGTTCGACAAAATCTGACCTTGATGCATGCAACAAAACGTGACAAATGGCTTATCGACCCGAATGGTTTAGCCAAACTGATACTGGAGCAGTATGGATACCTAACATCTGAAGGAAGCGAACCGGATCGTTTGGACGCACGACGCCCGGATTTTGTAGAACAGCTAAACAGGCTAAAGGGAAGCTGGAAGCCAATTTGGATAGAAGGCCTTACTAGCAAGGAGTTGGGCAGAGAGATTTTGAAATTTCAGCAGGAGAGGCTGAAGGAGTTACGAACGAGCATTACCCAACGATCTCCGCTGGTCGTATTTGCAGATGCTGGCGTGGCAAATGAACCAATGCTCGATAAATTTCAGGTCGTAAATTTTACGCACTGTGGGACGACCCTCCAAAGCCTACTCTTTGACTTTATCATGAGCAATGCCACACCAAGCTTCAGTCAGCAGCGGAAAAGCATGCGTAAGTTAATGAATATTGATTCTACCTATGCACGTTTACCATTAATTCTTACTGAGATCCGTAGAGGCGAAGCTATCCTCCAAGAAGCACACGAGCGAAAGTTCTTTCGACGCATGCATAACCATGATGGAAACCTGCAGTATTACCGACAGCGAGGATCTCATGCACGATATCATTTTATTTCAACGTGAAGGTTATCTTGTTGAATCGATGACCGAGGCATACAAAGCATTCAAGTCAGATATTTTGCCCCAGTATAAACCATTCATGAGCCTGGCCACATTCGGGTGTGAGCTCCATACTGCGTTCAAGCGTATAAAGCTACTCAATAGTTTGTATGCCACCGATGACCAGGTCTTCACCCAAATTTTCAATGACTGTCTACGAAATGAAGTCTCGACCCTGAAAGTTTCTGCGCTTAGCGATTCCGCGGTCAATAAGGTAGCAAATGCACTCACTCTACAGCTAATGATCAAGGTCAATGATATGCTGCGGGAAGAGGACCGAATACCGGTACACTTTGTGCTAGCAACTGTGAATGCTCGTCGTCGGGGTCTAGTGAGCCGAAACGAGGTCAATCTTCTCGAAAAGGTCTTGGTGTATTTGAATGAAAACCAGTCAGAAGAGTTAAATACGGTATGCAACCAGCGACATGTCGCAAATTAAGTGGACGCTAATGATTTTATGAACACCGTTGCAGACCACTATTCTTTCTCAATTGGACAGCTGGCCAGATTTGCATGAATTCCTGACTACTGCTACACACAATGCAGAATGCGCTGCATATGACTTTTTTGAAACTACTTCGTCTACCAACGTTTGGAGTCGTCGGCTCTCTAATATGGAGAAATTTGTCGCTACCCTGTACGTATCATCATGTGCTGTGTTATGTAGAGATGGCGTATGACTGCTGTGACTAACACTCAATATGCAGGATTAATCGTCCGGATATGCTAAAACCAGTCCTTGTCAATATGTTGACGAGCTATGGCTTGCTTGTAGAAGACAGTAGTAGCGATCAGTTCATGCGTCTGCAAGGGAACCATTCCATCGTCCTGATTGTGACCGATGAATTGGCCGATACACATCGTCTGGTGGTCCAGGGCTGTGAAGATTACGAAGGGACACAGATACAGATAACTATAATGACAGAAGAAGATAAGCGTGGTATGTTTAATCTCATTTGCGTTTGCAGCATGTATGCTAATGGCAAGCAGGTGACAAGTGGAAAGACAAGGTCTCTCACGCTGCGGGAAACGGAGATTGGCTGGTTATTCACGCCGATGCGTACTGGATTGGCCAATTGAAGGCTATAATTTACATGGTGCAGAAATCTGCTGCCAGCTTTCGGATGTGGTTCCTCTGCCCGGCGTTTGTACAGGAAAGGCTCCCTGCGGATGTGCCAACCCTTGTTCGTGTTTGCTTTCACGAGAAAAATCTATCATTTCGGTAAGAGCAAGGTCGAACTCATTCATTTGGGACTACTCTCATCTTCACAACAGGCACCTCGCAAAGCATTTCTGCAAGCACTATATAGTTCGCGACAACAAGCAACCTCTCCCTGTTGATCGTTTATATTATTCCGTCATTTATGGACATGTCGGGCTCGTGGTGACAGCGAGAAGGCCCGAAACGATGTTCTCCAAAATCGTTTACTTTAACGATGTAGATTTTGACCTATCGATCACGATAATTGCAGAAGCCAGGAACAGGGGTTTACCACCGGCTATATCCGAAACATTGCTATTGGAGTCGGTGTATCTGAAGGAGGCGGCACCTAGGTATCAGAAGAAGCGCGTAGAAAGCGTCCGATCGTCCGTGCTTGCCATTTTGGATGAGTACGTTAAACCATCAGAACTCGACGTGGTCAACTATGAAAACTTCGAGAAAAGCTTTGACAATGATCAGCACCTATCTGCGCAAGAGTCCTTAGATTCAAAAATCGGCGCAGGCACGATCAATTGCCAGCGGCTACGGAAGAGGGTATCTGAGAAGCTGCAGCTGCTGCTCGACTGTCCATGCGGCCCTGCGCTACACGCCAGTGAAGCTTCCCTTTCTTCCCTTTCGATGCTGGATAAAGACTTCCTAAGTAAAATAGGAAGATTTTGGAGGACCTTACCTAGACTGCCGAGTGTTCGCCATCTTTATGAGTCAGCCTCCAGAGTTCAAAATGGACGGACACTCTTACTGAGAGAAGCGGGGCGCTACAATCTTGTCTTCCGCCGCGTGAAACAAGGGCTAGATGCAATCCTTAGTGGATGCGATACGTACGAAAGTCGGCACATTTTGAAAATTCTGACAGCTCGTCGAATACCCCACTCATGGTGTTTGGCACCCAAACATCTAGAGTACGAGATTTCATCATATTTTCAAGAGCTTGGAATTGCTGCACAATTCCTCTCAGGATGTACCATCTCGAATCCACTGCAGTTCGTCAGCGTGAAGCTACCCATATCAGTGACACAAGTGGTGCATGCTGCCATGATGGGTTATTGTAACACGCATGCGGTTCCACTCGAGAGAGTCAAAAGCTGTCTAGAATTCCACGTGGGCTCTAACGAAATGAACTGCCTGCAAGCGAAGGATACTCTCTCCGAGTCCTCGTACATACTGACAGATCTACTGTTAAGGAACGTAAGGATCCAGAATGAAGCTATTGAAGCTATAGCTCTTGGGTGCTCGTCAATCCTTCCCCCGTTGGTATTGCGATTGTATGTGAAAAATGAAGGACCCCTGACTACTGGAGCCGGTGAACCCCCAGCGACCAATATGATGAGTGAATATGAAATCAGTGTGCCTGCGCAGGTGATCAGCGACTCATCTGCCGTACACCTGGACAGTCCGGATAATAGCCTACCTGATCTATCCTTGCGTACGCGAGTTTCTCCTTCAGAATTGTATTTGCATGGCGTGACTGCCTTGTGTTCCTCGGAGCCGTTCAGTATCGCCGATCTTGAGCATTTAAGCGAGCTGAATTGGGGGAAAAGTTCTTTCCATGCCTCCTCCGCTGGCAGTGCACCCACCTTTACCCGCTACGTCACTGTCTACTTGTGCTCCACACCAGACACTTACAACGAACGAGAATATTTTTACAGTAACATACTACCTCAGCTTCAACATAAAATGTTGCGCAAACATATTCTGCTACACGTCGTGGATTTCCGTGCTGGGCACCCAAGTGCCCGTGTTAGTGAAAGTGATTATGTTCAAGCAAGTAGATGGCAAATTCGACGTGCAGACATCTTCTTATCAATTATTGGCTCGAAACTCGGCGATTCTTCTCCCGACAGGAGTCTTGAAGTTCAGGGCACGATGCAAGCGCACTCAAAATTGTGGGAAATTGAAATCGACTGTGCTCTAGAGCTACCTGTCCAGAATAGTTCGTTCATATTTTATTTCCGCGATGCCGCTTTCACCCGCTCTGTCCCAAAAAGCTTCCGATCGCTGTACGAACCAGAAAACTCAAGAGCCATAGAACGGGTTGAGAAACTGAAGCAGCAACTTTCAGAGTCCAGGTGTCCAGTTCACATTTATCAAAGCTATTTCTCCCGGATCGAAGATCGAAGAGTCAAAATGGGCGGTCTGGAAGTCTGGGGTTTACAAGTAGCCAAAGACATCGCACAATGCATAGACTTGCGAGACTTCAGTTCTCTGCCCATTGCTCCCGTCAGCAATCTGACCGATTTTTCTGGACGATCAGAGGTACTGGAACATGTCCGCCGAGCCTTCCTATCAATAAACAACAATCCAGCGGCAGAGGGCGAGGTACCAATGGAGAACACCTTGCTCCTCCATGGCGAAAGCGGCATGGGAAAAACTACTCTTCTAGGCAAGATATGCTCCGAGTTTCAAGCGAATGGTTTTCTTGTTTTGACAAATTTTGTGCGAACGTGGTATGGATCCTTTGACATCAGCCAAATGCTTCGACGATTTCAAACACAATTGTCAAAACACTTGGAGGCAGAAAGGATTGATATTGGGACCGGTACCTCGGAGCAGAATATATTAGGTTTTGCCACAAAGCTGAAGAAGGTCGCCAAGCTAGGAACAAACGTGCTTATCATTGTGGACGGGGTCGACCGCCTAAGCATTTTGGGAAGCAAAAAACAGCATGATTTCAGTTGGCTTCCATCCATTGCGGATGTCGATAACCAAACTCTGTTGCGAGTACGCTGGTTATTCAGTGCTGCTGACGAGAAGGTCCTTCCTGCCCTAAGAAAGAGACATCCTGACACGAAAAGCTGGAAACTCGGAGGTTTGACTAATCAGGAGCAGAAGGACATCCTGAGGATGCAATGCCTTCGTATGAACATAGATGTGGAACACCGGCAGGTTCAAAGTATTCTTGCCAAGATGAATCTTTCCAAGCCATTGTATCTTGCATTGCTACTCAAAAAAATCAAGCGCACTGAATTTGGCCGCACTTTCTCAAATCTGGACATACCGGTTGACGTTGCGTCCATGTTTGACCAAATGTTGAACGAATTCGAGCAGATCCATGGTCGAGATGTCATTGCTGGTACGCTCACTGCAATCGCCAGTTCTCGCTCGGGGCTACGAGAAGTCGAAATAATTGAGCTGTTGAAACTCCCATTCTTGGACTGGAATCTCATTTATGAATCTCTGAAAGATCTTCTTGCCGAAACAGAGTCGGGGCATTTGATTCCTTTCCACGAAGAGTTCACGACGGCCATCAAAAAGCGATATATCAGAAGCTCAGCCGACGTGACCCATCAGCATCGCCTTCTTGCAATGTTTTACGCATCTACCTGCATAACGGTATCCGCTGGACAGCAGCAGTGGCGAAAGTATGACTCTCATCGGGCAGTGGATATTGTTCACCATCAGTTAACGGCTGGATTTTCTCCTCATGAAACTGCGCGAGTACTTTGTAATCTGGGTTTCATTGAAAGCGCGTTTGTTGCAGGTGTTGGATATGAGGTTGTCGGCTTCATCGCAGAGGTTCTCAAGCGAGCCCAGACGGAGAGCGACAATGAGCTGATTACCCGACTGGGTGACTACAACCTGTTCGTCGAGACGTATGGGCACTATCTTCGCCAATATCCCAAAATGTGTTTTACGTTGGCCTATAATCTCCCAAAAGGAGCCTGCCCTAGCGTGCGACAGGATGCTCGGTCACGCAACAACAGAGCGCACGGCGACAGCCTGCTCGAATGTATTACGCCTTCCGAATCACATGCTGAGTCCATTATAGTGGCAACGGAAGCTACGAAGCTGATAGCAGTTACCGTACAAGTACAGAAAGCCATTGGACGATGCTGCCTGACCGTGACAGACGAGGGCACAGTCAAAGCGTGGGACATCGATTCTTACGTGTTGACCGAAGTGCTACTTCAGTCACCCTTTCCGGCAGCTTCAGCTGTTGCGTGCTGCTTCAGTCTGAATGGTGCTGAAAGGGTCGCCATTGCCTTACGCAATAAGGACATTTGCTTGTACAACCTGTCAAATGGCAAAATGATTGCCTTCGTAGAATCTTCCTATAGGGGAGGGGCCATATTTTTCTCTGAGAGTCTTGAGAGCATCTGGCAATCCGGTGAACACACGCAGCTCGAGTGCATCGACTTCGATGCTGAAGCGCCCAATAAGTCTGCACCTCGATCAGATCGTGGAGATGACGTGTTGAGTGTGTTGGACGCGGATATGCCTCCTACTCAAACAAAAGGCACCTCTGATGCAGTTATCGCTCACTCCATCGACGGGCATAGGATAGCCACGTATTCGCGCCGAAATAAAGGCATTATTGTCTTCAACGCGGTCAAGATGCGGGAAATATGTCGGTTCAACGAGGAACTTACGTCGGCAACATCTGTAGGAGCATTCTCCCTCGGGCGAGATTTATTGGCGGTAACGCGCATCGACGGTGGAATCATGATATGGCGAATTGACAATCACTCTCGATGCGCATTGATTCACACCCCCTCTGACACACCCATCCAATGCCTCAGTTTCTCCGCGGATGAAACTCTGCTTTTCTGCGGAACACCGCTCGGTGTGATCACCGTCGCAGAGGTCGAAACGGGACGCTGGATTAAGCGGGTGAATACAGGTGCATCGTGCTTAACGAACATGTGTACCGCCACCTCTCGGGGAAGGGAACGGTTTCTCTTATCGAGTGAAAACCAACTGCTTGTGTGCAACACACATAGTTGGAAGAATGAAGGAAAGATCGTGCCACTCATGTCTGTGTCCGATCCTCATCACACAAAGGCTGTTTCGCATCTGGACTTCACTCGCGGCAATAGCGCCAATAGCGGTTTAAGCTTGATATCATCTTCCAATGACAAGACCTACATCATCTGGTCTATCGATGCAAACTTTACCCAGGTCCGTCCTATTACTCAAACCACGTTACCCGACCAACCAAACTCTGTCCACGTTTCAAAGATGGAAAACTATATAGCAAGTGCCTGTGGGAATCTAGGCATTGTCTTCGATCTTCACAATCATAAAGAATCTCTGCGCATTCTACACTCAAGTCGCCTCCGTCGAGTTACCCTCAGCCGTCTGAAAACAGAGCACCATGGTCTGTGCTTGTACACTTGGGGAGTCCACGACACATTTACTGCTTGGCAACTACTCCGGCGAGCAGACCGTTCACTAACATACCACCAAACACCTCTCTTTCAGCGTCACTGCACATCTCTGCCGTCCCGCCTATTCTCTCCGGATGGCACACGAATAGCCATGGCAAACGGAAATTGCGTTTATATGGTAGATCCGCATACCGGGCACGATCTTCAGACATTTGAAACCTGGGAAGGAGAACGTGTTCAAGATTTGTGCTGGTCCGCTTCGCATCAAATTATCTACTGCTCTGCATCGAGTGTGTGGGTCAATGGCGAAATCTGGTCTTCTGGTGGTTCAGAGGGAGATAACATACAGATACAAGAGTGCCGATCGCATAAGCTAGGGAAATTATTCGCATACTCTGCTGTAGAAATGGAGGAGCAAGGCGATATCGTGAATCACACATCCTCCCAAGATGTCGGCATTATCGTTGTCATGCGACTAGATAAACCATGGAGGCATTGTTCGCTTCGTCACGAATCAGGTCGAATTGTCTTATGGAGCTTTATGGACAATCCCCGATATATTATCACTATTGCAGCGGATCACATAATGAGGGTTTGGGATATTGGGCTGGCTTCAGAGGTGGATAGTCAGCCTGATCATAATGGCAAGAACTTTGTTAGGCAAGCGAGGGCTAACGGAGAAGTATGTGCCATGGTCCCGCTTGCCAGTCAGCCTACCTCCTTGGCGGTTGGCGCCAACCAAAGGTCTATTGTCGTTGGAACCGTGGATGGTCTAGTTCTGGTATATCTCATTCGAACGCCTCATTAAACTTTTTTGTTTGTATATTGCAAAGTTTTTGTACAATACATTGTAAATAAGGACCTTTGACAGAGTATAAGTGATGTTTGCGAATGTATAACATAAATATGCGCGTAGGGGCACCCATCTGGCACACTATTGGTCGCCAACGATTCTATAAAAAGTATGCCTATCCAATATCATGCGTCTATGCTGCCTATGCCCCCAGCGCTAAGCTTTCCGCCCACCCTGGAGATTCTGCCTCATAAGGACTACCTTTCGCTTGTGCTACGTACTCTGCCGCTAAATCCGTTCTTCCTGCCTTGATGGCAGCGTTTATTATCATCTGGTATGACTCCTTGGTTCGCGTCGGGTGAGGTATTGATGTTTCCGAAACTGGATTTGCCATTCCATCAAATACCCGTCGCGCAGAGAGCAGATCGCCTCTTTTGAGATACCCTGCTTGTAGGGCCGCCTCGGTTTCCGACGTAGGATGACGACCAATGGTGTCCATACTCAGGCGTAACTTCTCCGCGGTCACCATATCGCCCTGATCAATCATCGCAACGATAAGCTTCTCAAACACATTAGGGCTTGGCCGCATGTTGGCTTGCTCCATCGCGCGATAACATTGCAGAGCTACGGATAATGACTTTGTTTTCCCCGAGCAGGTTCCCAAAATCACAGATTCGTAGACCTGCGGTCGAACAGGAAGACCGCTCTCCTTCATTTTGTGTACCAAGGACAACGCGCTGCCTGCGTACTCTTCAGATCGTGCCAAACCAGTAATCAACAATTCATATGTCTCTACATTTGCTCGAAGGTCTGCACTTTCGGCAATTTTCAACACACGTAACGCGTCTGCAAAATCATCGTGTGCCAGGTATCCAGAGATCATCACATTGAAAACCGTAATATCCATACGCTCCCAATATTCGTCCAGGTACTTCTCAAACAGCTTTGCCGCCTCATCAATACGCTGAGATCGAATCAATGACAAAATCAAGTTCTGGTAGGTGGGCGGATCTAATGTGATCTCAGCCTCCTGCATCAAGCGTGCGAGTTCAACGACGTGTTCATATCTTCCTGCTTTGCGCATAATTCTCAACACTGCGTTGTAGACAGCGAGTGATATTGTCTTTGCCCCAACCAAATCCCTATACGCTTCGAAAACGGCATATATGTCCGCGTAATCCTCATTCGCTATACCCCTGCTTCGACCAACCGTGTCAAAGAACCACACATATGTCTTCTGAGCAAACGGATGTCGTCCCAGCACAGTTACACTTTCAATGAAAAATTTGGCGGCCGCGGACACGTAACCTGCCCGCGTATAAGCTATTATCACAGCTTCGAACGCAGAATCTTCCCAATGTTCCCTGACCTTCAGATTACGTAGTGTTCTTGCCCGTTCCAGAGCCTTCGTGAATACCTGCGTGACGGTCTCGAATTCGCCTCTCGATCCCAACGTCAATATCAAACGCGAAACAGTAAACGGGTCAGGGAAGAGGTTCACTTTCTGGAGTTTCTCCATTATCTGTAGCGCTTCTGCCACGTTTCCGCTGCTACAGCAGCTCACAATCTTTCGACACAAACTTTGCTGTTCCTCCCTCGTAATGAAAGAGGCATATTCAGAAGAGATTTCTGGTGTCTTGACGTCAAGTTTAGCCATTGCCTTCTTCCACTCGATCTCCGCTCCAACCATGTAGCGGCCTTTAAATCCTGAAATCACCAGATCGCTGAGGGCTTCCGTAGGCTTCAACCCCTTCAACTCCATATCCTTCAGAAAGGCGAACGATGCCTTTTGAAGGTCGTCCTTGCTCGTAGCCTTTCTGGAGGAGAACAAGGACAGGTACAAAATACGATAGTCTTCTATGGACAGATCTACCGAATCTTTCTTCTGCTGGTATGCAGCCAACAAAGCGCCACAAGGTGATTTGCTTTCGGACCCATAGTATCCCTGTGATTCTGCAATTTCTTGTAATCGTAATAACATCTTTAAATCACCTTTCGCCGCATCCATGAGGATAGGAACTAGACGGAAAACATTCCCGTCGCCTCCCGGGGAGGAAGCCTTGCGTTTGGCACTAGCGCTGTGTACGATTTCCAACAGACGGAATGCATCCGACTTTCGTCCTGCCTTGATTAAAGAGTTCGCTAGATCACCGGAAAACATTGGATCAGCCATTCCACTCCGGCTGTATATCTTCCGATAAACAGCAAGGGCTTCATCGAGATGATTCTGTTCAATGCATAGTCGTCCATACTGGGAATACGTAAAGTTCGGTAGCCGCCGTTCCTTAAGATGCGCGAACATATCCGACGCAACAGCATAATCGCCTTTGAGGATCGCTTGCTCTAATATGACAGAATAAGCATCTTCTATGCCCTTCGCCAGAACAGAATCCGCCCGCATTCGACCAAGGATCTCAATAGCGCCAACAAAGTCCCCACTCGAGCCAAGGACTTTCGAAACAGCAGTGTACGTATCAATGGTCGGCTGCACCTTTTGTTCAGGCATAACGCGTTCAAGAATATCCCGTGCAAGTGGTGCACGGCCCACCCTTCCCAACGCTTCGATAAAAGCTTTATAAACTTCGGCGCGACGCCCATGAGTGCTGACATACTTTTCAAACCACTTCTGAGCATTGTATGCGTCTCCAAGATATCCGTATGCAGTGATTACCGCGACGTATATTGGAAGTTTGATCTCAACATCCCGTTCCGACAGCAGCTGCACCCATTTTTCCACAGACGCGACGTTTCGGCGAGTTCCATGCATGTGCAACATGGCCGCATAATCCGAGGGGCGCGGACGGTAGCCCTCGTCAAATGCCTGCTGCATCAGTTCCTCAGCAGCATCCGCATGTGCTTGCGAGGAGCACGCTTCCATGCGTTTCTGCAGACGCTGGATTCGGTTTTGAACACTCTTGGGAGCTTCCCCGGTTATTCTTGCTCGCTCCACTTCCAATTCGGATTCCATGGCCAAGTACCGCTGTGCACGTCGGATATCCGCCGCTGTGTACACTCGGACCATTTGCAAATGCGCTTTTTCATCCAATTTTATGCTTCGGCTTCTGGTGATCTGTCGGACTTTATCAAAGACGGTTGTGGGCAAATCTTGGGACGGGATATTCCCAACACGGTTGATGAGGTGACTATATTGTACAGACGTCCAATCTGCAGTTCTGTTCGACTCCTCCAGATGCAAGTATCGCTGAGTCGCTACCTTCAAGTCTTTAGCACAGTCTTCGAGCAAATCGTCGATAACCTTCCCTCCCTCTGCTGCAACTTTCTTTTCCGCCCCAGTCTCGGCCAAGCTAAGAGCAATGTTATCCTGCTGCCAGTCTTCTTCAGGAACAGCCTGTTCAGCAGTAACATCTCGATCCGCCTTCACATCTATCTTTTGCGCGATATCTGCATCCAATAATGGCCTTTCTTTGCCCTCTGCCAACGAAGCTTCTTGTGTCGCAGTACTCGCCTTTCTCTTCCACAAGGTGTGATTGTCCAAGAGCAGCGGGGTAGCTGGTTGGTGCCGCAATGCCCGTATCTCTATCGTCGACAACCGCCTTGCATGACAAATAGCCCTCCCAAATCCTGCACGTATCATGGTCGTCGCAGTGCTACCAGTTTAACCTCGCATGAGTTGCTTCCGAGTCGCGTTTTTTCGGCCGCTGCGCCACATAGTCGCGTCAGAACTTCAAGGCAACCTGTCGATGGAAATGTAATGTCATTGAATAATTAAAGAATATCAAATCCGGTTAATCATATCGCATAATCAAACTAAGCAAACTATCTAATCTACTGTTTATTCATCTACTGCGGTGTCCTCCCTTGCTTCATCCAGCCCTGCGATCCATCTGGGACTCTTGGCACTAAGACAACCATTGGACAACCGACTGCTCCTGCGGCCTGTTCCGCTATTGAGCTTCTCATCGCTTCCCAACGTCCTTTTAATCCTTGCCAAAGTCTTTTCAATCCTCATCCGGTTTTGTATCATGTGAAATTTAGGCCATGCTTGTACTTGGCCTTTTGAGATATATTTCACCATGCGCTCGTTGGTCGGGTCCTCTAGAATATATCGGTAATCCGATATGGTGGGTTTAGGGACTATTGTCACTGATCCTTCAAAGCGCTGTAGGAAAACGTCCGAAACATCCGTGCCTAGAACCCTCGGGAGAAGTTCAAAATCTTTGATCAGGGTCATCCACTTCTGCAGATCGAGTTTAAAGTGATGAACAAGTGCCGACGCAACAAAACCTCCACGCCTAGATACGTAGTTCGTTAATAAGAGGGCTATTAAGAAGTTGCTCTGGAGAAGTCGCCATTCATACCATCCTTGACCATGCCGGTGGGAGGTGGGAGATCCAGCACTTCCACGTCGATCAAAGAAGAAGAGGACAATATGTGGATTAACTTGGCTCACAATAGTAAAATTCACGTTCCATAGGCGATGCAGCTCTCTTTCGGGGATATCCATCATGAGGCTACCGTCTCTCCACCGTCGACCAGAACCGCGAAAAGGCACGAGCTGGCCGGTTTCGTTCTTCATTAAAAGCTCAATAGGGTTTAACACTCCCGGAACCGCGCTACTAGCCATGACCGCAGTTGCAACAACTACGTTTGGGGTCGTGATGTAGTTGCACAACTTGAAGGGGCTATGTGGCTCATCCGGTACAATGGCAACATTAAGGACACGTCCGGTTCGCTGATACGCCTCCAAGAATGTCAAAGGTCCTGCAAAGCATCACTTGGTTAAATACATTCCTTAGGTGCATGTAATCTTCAATGGATGTTATACCCTTCGTGGCGATCATTGTTTTCTGATACCACTCCCGATGGTCAAACATCGCCCCTGTTCTATAAAGCCGCTTTGCCCGTTCCTAGACAAAAGAATTCAGTCTAGGCTACTCCCACAGCACCAAAGGATTTCAAGCCCTTACCCAATACGGGACATCGCAGGCCGTCAAAATTTTGTGGATAGAAGGATCAAAGACCTCTTCCACCAGCTCCGCATCAGTACGACAGCAAATTAGCGCAGCTATGCAAGAACACGTTTCAGCTCCGTCAACGATTGCCATTCCATCAATACCAAAAGGTTACAGGCGTACCTATCAAACTTCCTGCGCTAGTGCCAGTTATAATGTTAGGCAATAACTTGTTCTCGAATAAAGTCTTGACAACCCCTAAAGAAGGCTCTAAGTATAACTCTGGTCCATTGAGCACGTAAAAGCCATGTGACTCACCAACTAGAGATGCGCCGGCACAGATTGGAAGAACCGAATGCCATAAGTAATTGGCGCGCGCAATCGTGGAGTCGGAATTTAGACTTACTGTGATAATACCCTAGAGTAGCTCCCCCACTTAAACACAACGCTGTTCTTCCATAGTCCTTAGAAGCTTTCCGTATGAATTCCCGCTTCTCCTCCAAGGTCATATCTTCTGAATTGGAAAGCGCTTCTAAAGAGGCACACAATTCGCCTACATATTCCTCCACCAATACTTTTGTGCCAAGGTAAGAATGGCTGTACAGCGACTCATTTTCCACACCTCCAAAGTTTGACTTGCAAGCACCGTGCTGTAAAATCTTTTGAATCCCTCGGGTCGCACTCGCCCGCGTTTCCTTGTCCAAAATATCGCTGTTTTCACCTCGCTTGCGGGCATCGGAAATGGCACGGTTTGCGGAAATGATACTTAGACGATGCCGTCGCAATCGGCGAACGGTGCGGTGAATTAGATCGACATCGTAATACGGACAAAACTCTTCCGCTTTCCAGGCACTATTCCCCAGATACTCGTCTAATTGTCTAGCAGCATGTTTATATTCTTCATAGTCTGTGGCGCTGTTGAGTTTTTCTCTCAAAACGCGCCTCTTTCCTCGCCAGATAATAGCCCATTCGTACCATCGTACCCACTGACAACAAAGATGTTGAATATCACGTTAAACCAGCAATCGATTGCGCGATAGCTACCTGACGAACAACTATATAACAAGCAAGATCAACCAAGATGAATGCGGAGAACGCAAGCTGGCGAACAAAACCCAGATCAGAATTAAAATCAGAAATTCCATACCAAATTTGCGATAGGAGAAAGACATACCAGGAGCGGCCACCGAAGGAACGCCCAGAAGATACTCTTTGTTCCTCCCGTCCCTCCAAATAATCTCCACCAGCCCTTCCTCCTACGACCCAAAACCTCCTTGCTGCTCTTTCTTGTCAATTTTCTCTCCTTTTCTCTCCTCTCTTTAGCCAGCAACTCGCTTTCCAGCTCTGAATCGAGAAACTCTTCCTCAGTACTAGTACCCGGCTCAAAGTCCTCTTTCTCTTCCAGAATTTCCGGTGACTTGACAGGCTGGGCATTGGGTATAATAATGGGGCACGGTTTTTCTGGGAATACTGGGGGTTCATCGTCTCGAGCTTGCGGCGTTTCGACTAGAGTAGGGTTTCCATCTATGTCGAAACTGGCACATAGCGAAGAGGGCAACACCGCCTTGAAATTTCCATCCTCGTCAAAGACGTCGTTGGGATCCCTATTCTGGGGAGAATCGGGGGTGGGATTGATATTGGCAATCGAATATCGGCGGGCCTGAGCGTCGTCATTCGCCATTACAGCTCATACATAGACAGACCAAGACCTTGTTCAAAGTTGCTAAAAAAGAAAGTTGCTGTATTTTGCCGTCAAACGGCCCTGGAAGAATGGAACGTCATTGAATACCCTGAATCACATGCCAGATCGTCGGCTGATGTCACGCATGTAAAGGTTCGAATTTTCGATGCGACACTCTTCGACACAAGTTTACTTTTTATTTCATTTTTTTTTAACCATCAGAGCAATCAGATGCAACAACCAAACCGTCGCGAGGGAGCGAGTATGAAATCGAGATTGTACCGACGAATTGCCCCAGACTCTTGCCCACCGCATCTATAGACCTACTTATCAGGGGTACTAAACAGTCCTGGCTATTCCCTGCCTTCGTCATCTACACATCTGGTTTTCGCAAGAAAAAACCAAAGAACATTTGGCATATCATTGCAAATAGATCGCTTTCAAACCTCAAATCCAACGCACTTGAGTACACGCATGATATTTGTAGAGCCAGCTCGGGCCTCCAAAACACCTGATGTCACAACAACCTTAGGAAAATAGAAGTGAGACAAAAATCATGGCTATCGTTGAACCAAGAGATGGTCATACCGGATCCCCGCGTTGTGCCATGCCCATCTTTACACCCCAAAGCATCGCGCGGTGAATAATGTTCTCCGTTCCTTCCATATTTTCCACGAGCATAGGGTAGATGCCACGTAGGACTTGACATTGTCGTGCTAAATTCACGGAAGTGCAGCATGCAAGATGAGCCATAGAAGTATACAGTACTCTGAGAACTCGTTGTTACCTGCTTGAGGTGACGATGTGACAGCAAGCACAGGGGCAATGGGGCGGTATTTTGCAATAGCAATAGCGGTGTTGCCCGTTTGAGTAAGCACAATAATCAATGCCTGCGAGGTGAGAAGAAGTTTAGACCCACCAATCGCCGGTAATCACAGGCCCGCAATTCCAAAACGTACCGCGTGGACATCCCATGATGTCTTGACTGGAAAATATGTGGCGTTAGCCTACGAGTGCGAAATAAAAGCTTCTTTCCACCAGGTTCCCTCATCGCCATCACAGTTCCCTTTATCAATGGATACTTCCATCGTCCGTGAGTATCCCATCCGCACAACGCCAACGCTCACCTGCACCGGATGCGATAGTTTCGGAAATACCAATGGGCAGGCGCACTTGCCGTCTTATGGAGGGGTACAATTCCGTGTAGTTAATGTCAATCTCCGCTTCGCGACAAATTTTCGCCATCATCTCGACAGCATGAATCGGAAAAGAACCTGAAAGTCGTCCATGCGATGAACATCGACGCCACCCACAAGCATAACTCGGTAAACGAATTTATCTCACCCTTTGCGGTTTCTCCAGACAACATCACACAGTCACTGCCATCCAATACGGCATTTGCAACATCTGTTGCTTCTGCCCGAGTTGGCCTCGGGTTGACGATCATACTCTCCAGCATTTGCGTCGCAGTTACCACAGGCTTCCCGGCCGCATTGCATTTGCGGATCATCATTTTTTGATACCGCGCAACTGCAGAATCACACCAGTTAGTTCCAATTCCGACTCTGCGTAGCGGGCATGCAATGGCGTTATAACCAGTACCCACCCTGCTCGACTGGAATTTCGACGCCCAAGTCACCACGCGCCACCATGATACCGTCTGACACAGCCAATATTTCATCAAAGTTTTCCAAACCCTCTTGATTCTCAATTTTCGAGATGATTTTAATCCCTGTGCCTTCAATCAACTTGCGGATTTCAAGAACATCCGCAGCCTTTCGGATGAAACTCGCTGCGATAAAATCTACACCCTGTTCAATTCCAAATCGAATGTCTCCTGCGTCCTTTTCTGTGATAGCCGGCAAGTCTACTTGAATGCCCGGCAAGTTGACACCTTTCGTCTCACCAAGGATACCATCGTTCTCTACCCTGCATACCACCTCGCTTGTTTGCGAGCGGACTTCGACAACTTGCATACCAATCAGCCCATCGTCTACCAAAATTCGGTCACCGGGTTGGACAGACGTGGGGAGGGACTTGTAGGAAGTTGACACTTGTGTTTCGTCACCGAGCACAGAGTCATCGTTATGGAAGGTGAAAATAGAGCCTGCTTGAAGCTTTTTGTCGGTTCCACCCACTAGTTTGCCAGTTCTGCGTCGTGTCAAGTTAGACCTCATCAATTGGAGAGATAATGTCACTACTGCAAAACGAACCTAATTTCGGGGCCCTTGGTATCGAGCAGAATAGCAACTGATTTTGGTGTTTTTGTCCCTTCCAGGTAGGCATGTAAGTTTTTGACGGTTTTGGCATGATACTGTGACGCAAGGTGAGTAACAGAGCACTCTCGAGCCGAGCTACGCAAAGATAGTACCTCATGGCTTCCATGAGAGAAATTCATTCGCATCACGTTCATTCCCGCCTCGATCAATTTGCCTAACATTTCCACCGACTGGGTTTTGGGACCTGCAAGAACAGCTCTGTCATAAGAACCAGTATATATAACAAAGGAGCTCTCTGCTGCTTTCCATTTTGACAGACATACCAATCGTACAGATTATCTTGGTCTTAATTTGAACGTGACGGTCTGCGTTGAATGCAAGAATGGCAATGTCAGCATCAGTACGCGATCCTTCTGAACCCATCCTAGATGCGTACCGGCCGCCGCGATGTACTGTGCGTCCGACATTGTAAGAGATATCTATCTCAGCATTCAGTGGGTTGAATGATAAAATTGAAAGTTAGCAAGGGAGATGAGAATAGCTTCTTGGCCTTTCGCATTGCACGAGGACTAGGCACGTCTTCAAGGGACACACTAAACCCATACCTTGATATTTCTACTCAATGACTGCAGCTAGGAAGGTTCTATGCTTCCTTATCCTCTAAGAAATGAGCGGACGTTTTCCTGTTTCGCAAGTTGCAGGTGTGTGGAGGAAGAAACCAAGCCGCCACTGTTGGTCGATGGGTTTGGATCAGATATGTGATATCGATGAGCATGATGCAGTACTAAGCCACCACACACGTGCCACGATGCAAACGGATTTTGGATTCTTGGATTGGGGGGATTAAAGGATGTTGGCCAACCTGGCTTTTTGTGCATGCAAATGGTGTGAATAGGAGGTTTATGGATTCATTGGCAGATGTTTGTTGGGTTTTCACTGCCAACAAGAGAATATGGAGAGGTCGCCAGGGCAGGCGAATCTGGAACTTTTCATGGCGGAATACTCTACAAGTCATTTAGACTTTAGAGTTTTTATTTCCACTTTTTCCAGCGTTCAGCGCTGTTCATCTTTGAAGATCCGTTGCAGTTTGTCAAAGATTTCTAGTCGAAGAACACGTCATTTGGATTTGAAGCCAGCAGAAAATTACATTGTGGCTGCCAAGCAAAATGTCTGACTACGAGGACTTTAGAGCCAGCGTCCTGAACGTTATTCAACAAATTCCAAAAGGAAGAGTGACATCGTACGGTATGAAGCAGGTGCCTTGGTGAGGTAAAGATTTAGCATTTGGTCAACATTGTTCTTTATGCGAGTAGGTCATATTGCAAAGCTCGTTGATCATCCAAGGCATGCCAGATACGTCGGACGTGTTCTACGGGGCCTCAATGGGGAAGAAGGTTTACGGATACCCTGGCAACGTGTGGTGAACCATCGGGGTCGAATATCGCCTCGAGTTCCTAGTGACAGTTGCGGTACACAGGCCGAAATACTTCGGCAAGAAGGAGTCGTAGTTGAAGTAGATTCCATGGGTCTTTTTTTTGTAGATCTACATGGCTATGGATGGTTCCCAAACTCAATTTCAATTCCAATAGCACAGCGTCAATAGATAAGCGAAATTGGGTTCCTTTCAATTGATGAATGTTTGGAAAGTGCCGTCCATGTGAACCAGGAATTGATGCTATTTTCATCTCATAATGATCCGATGGTTTATTCTAGTTGCACGAACCAATGTTTTGGTTTGTCATGCAACTTGAATACCAGCGTTTTCTGCGTGCTATTTGACACAGATTAACTAAGGGTAGAAACTAACAAGCGCTTTCGCTAAGGACCAGGGGGGTAAGTCTGGCTGCCGGCGTGGAGCACGACACTTTTCATTGCTGCTCCAGGCTAGACCTACCCGTTTCCCTTGCAACTATCCTTAGGTCACAATCTTGCTGCTGAAAACTATTCCTAAGGAGAGGGCAGACATGGCTTCGGCCACATCATCATGTGTCCCCGCGGATCCGTCAAGAAACGGTACCTGCTGCATCTGCTTGAGACCTGTGTATGGCTGTATTGCATTATTCTTGCGTCGGTGGATAGAGGCTGGGAATCCTGCTCATGATTTTTTCTGCAGGTATGCTATGGAAGCAATCATTGCGGAGTTCAAGTTCTATCACAAAGCGGTATGTATGCTGGACCATTTCTCGATGGGTCCTACCTGCTTCAACCCAACATGTGGCTGACCTCGCTGTCTAGTGCTTTCGGTGTGCTCAATGTCATCGCACTCTTTCGGTAGGTGGCGTGAAAAAAGGTCGCAAACCGGATATCAATTGTTCACCTCGTATATGTCTACCAGGTGATGAATTATGACACTCACAATGGATGGATATACTGCAACGCACATATGCCCAAGACTACACCAGTCGTGGGCCGGCGGTCTAGTGATAACTTGTCACCAACAAACCCGCGATCCCCGACCGGTCATCCCTCAACGTTTCCAAAGCATCAGCATCACAATTTCCCCCCGAGCGGTACACTGTCTCCGTTAGGCATAAAGAGGCACAACTCAGAAACCGAAACTGAATGTTCCTCGCCATTATCTCCAGACCGGACCTGGAGTGAACGTTCCTTCGGCCCATCTTCATCTCGATTCCACTCTTCCGGATCCTCACGTCCGCAGATGAACCCTCAAACATTTCAGCTACCGCCTTTCCCAGGAGGCATGAATTGTGGGAGTTCAGTGTCAGAACGAGTTCGTGCATTTTCGAACGAGAAAACCTCTGCTGGTAAAGATCCGAAACCAGATAGGCGAGATATTGACGACAAACACAGCGTATCGGGGTCGTCGCTTCGCAGAACTCAGAGCGAAGTTCGCAAAGATAGGCAGCGAGGGGGGCATACCGAGAGAATGTCGGGATTAGATACCATTTCGCCTTCACCCCCAACCACAACCGTACCGGAAGATGGTACTATGGACTTCGAAGGACCATATGGCAGAGGTCACCTTGCATCTCTCAAACAGCGGGCTCCAGGCCAGGGCCTGTGGGTAAATACCGGAGGCTCCCATCGTCGAGCATTCAGCGTGGAGCAGACCAGTACGCATCACTATCCCGCCAATGCTCGGCGCCCTTCCACAGGCTCCGACCAGTACCGATCTCTCCTACACCCTAGTGCTAGCTATGAATCCCTGCGATCGACTCAGAGATCGGCAAACTCAAGCCATAGCGACTTGGAGAATTTAGGAGTCGGGGAAGCAAAGGATAAGTCGAGATTGACCATAAACAAATGGCGTTCGGAGCCAGGTGTACAATTGACAGAGCAAGAGCGGCTTCACGCACTAAGAAAGAAGTCTCCGCGGGTATCCAGTGGGGACGGGAGTATACAGTCATTATTGAATTTGAGCGTGAACGCATTGACGCAAATGGAGAGTGATCCATTCGAGTCCAATGGTGATCTGAAGGAGAAAAAAGGCCACCGCCTCTCACTCTCATTGGAGGCGTTGACCAAAAAGAAAAGGACATCGAGCTTGCAACAATTGCTACTTGGGGTATGTGACTGATGACCATTATTTTTGCTCTTACTCGGTGATTGGCGTCATTCAACGATTTCTGTGGTCTAGGCTGGTCCAACAAACTCCCTCTCCATCGAATCAATTAGCAGTGTATCGTCGACACACACGATTTCTATTCTCGCCGAGCTGGCACATATCGTGTCTACACAAGGATCCGATTTGATCTCGCTTTACGAGTCCGTTGGACGCTCGCGCTCGCGGCGGTCAGTTGGACCCTCCTCGATAGACGTCAGTAACGCTGGAAGGCATGCGCATACGGAGATTTCCATTACAGTCTTTCGCGGCATTATGGACAGTGTTCGAAAGATTACGGAGCTTGCCAGCCCACTAGTATCAACTAAAGAGCTGAAAAGCTATTCTATGGCCCTGGCTGTGAAGGAGAGAGAGGCAGAAAAGGAGGTTACTTCCAATGGGATGTGTCCGTCAATAGACTCCCTGCGACAAGCGGTATGGAATCGTTTCCAACATTTCCAATTCTTGCAGGGTTTCATAATCATTGCTTTTATCTTGCTTGTAGATCCAAGACACAGTGTGGGCAGCGCAATCCGTGGTCACACAGTATACTGCTACGCAGAAAAAGGTTGGTCAAATTTCATTTGACAAATCTTTGAATCTGACAACCTTATTGATGCTTGTCCTGGCAGTTATATATCACATCAGCAGAAGGGTACCGATTAGAAGCTTTCGGAGATCCGGATACCTCACCCATTATCCCCTCATCGAATCAACCTGTCAACAACATATATTCCTCGTATCCCTTAGAGCACATTGGTGGGGATGCAGACTACTATCGTAAACATTTTCACGGACATGGTAGGATTCATCTGGTATGGTACTTTTCCTCTATGCTAACAACATAAGTATCTGTCATAGATCACAGAACATTTATTGGTGACCATAGTAAACTTGGTCCGGTTATAATATCCTTGATGTACAGACCAAATGAACCGCGCAAAGGCGATTCCCAGGCTGCGGGCGGCGTGGGATCCGCTGGTGGTGGAGGAGAGAAGGAAAAGGAATCAGGAGGTGATGCAGAGTTTTGGGCCATAATGCGGACAAAGGAGGCAAGCTTGCGTTGCGGATTCTTCATTTCGGTTCCATCACTGAGACATTACCAACATCATCAGGCATTTGACTTACGAGCAGTTATACAAGCATCGCAAGTGTCTGGGCATGGTGTGTTGCGAAATAAGCCTGACGCGAGGGCGGTGCTGCAAATGTTACATAAAGATCTCCAAGCGCATAAACTGCGTAAGGTTTCGGACCCTTCCATTGAGAAGAAACTTATGGTATTGGACGAATTGCAGGTACGTCAGATGCAGCAGATCTTGTTTATGCGTGAGATGTATAAACATTGTATGTCCCGCTTGTCAGTTAATTACGAGATATAAGTTTGGCGCCTTGTATTGCAAAGGCAATCAGAGCACTGAAGAAGAATACTTCAGTAACGGTAAATCGCGCATCAGTTATCTTCACTAAAATCAATCGATCAGTTTTGCTAAAGTCACAAACCCTCTCTTAGAAACGGGAAGTCAAGCATTCGAAGAGTTTCTTTCTTGTCTCGGGGACAAAGTGGAGCTGCAAGGCTGGCAAGGTTACGCGGCAGGGTTAGATACCAAACATGGCCAGACGGGGAAGCATTCTCTTTTCACCAAATGGAGAAACTTTGATATTATGTTTCACGTATCAACCTACCTGCCGTATAAAAAGGAGGATAAGCAGCAAATCCAGCGAAAAAGGCATATTGGGAATGGTCGGTGTGATTTCGGTAGACAGCTTACCATACGCGCTGGCTGATATCTCCGTTATAGATATTGTGACGATAATCTTCCTTGAGGGTGACGGAAAATTCAACCCAAAATCGGTCAAATCGCAATTCCTGCATGTTTTTATTGTGGTGCGGGAAGACAGAGTGACCCGTCCCGGGGAGGTTGGTTATCGGATTGCGCTGGCAAGTAATGTGGACGTACCGCCTTTCGCACCTCCTCTCCCGACCCCACCGGTATTCTGGGATAAGGCAGAGTTGAGGGATTTCCTACTGGCGAAAAGTACGTGGCCAAAAGTCTCGTGAATTCTAGCTTAACTTATGTGGCGTGCGAGCTAAACTCTACCTTGCAGTGGTGAACGCCGAAAATGCCGCCTACAAAGCACCCAAGTTCAAGACACCACACCACCGTACCAGAAATGCCGTGATTGATGAGATTATTCGGGACTACTGGTCAATATCAAAGGGAAGAGGGGATCGTCGCCGAAACGAGGATAAGAATGGCGCATCTGCACGTTCTTCAGTGGGTTCCGTTAGTTCCGATGCGAGTACAATTGTGCTGCAACAGCAGCATGGTGGCACACCGCGAGGGTCAGAAGCCGGTCCACATCGCCGAGGCTCTCTATTTACAGGCATTGGAGGGTTTGCAAGGCGGGGCAGTACGGTGGAGACTGATGGTTCTTCTGGACTACCAGTTCCCTCTTCTCGGAAGGGTTCGATACCAGATTTGTTGGTGGAAGAATGCCCCGCACCATCACCATCGAATCTTGCTCATTCTAAATTGTACGGAGGAAGCATGGATGCGCTAGCAGAACCAAAGAAAAAGAAAGGCTTTAGAAAGCTGGCCAGGTCCAAGAGTACGAAACTCGATACAGAGGGTCAGTTTGTTGACGCCATTGGTACCGGTTTTTGGCTCTAATATTGATGTTATTGCTATCACCAGCTAAAATAAGGTCACGCTCAACGAATGCGCTCTCTTCAGCAGAATCCATACCAGAAGTCGCAGGGGAAGGTAGTAGTCTGCGTTCAGCCGCATAGTGAGTGTTATTCTTTCTCATACCCATTTAGATACAGGCAAGAGGAAGACTCCCAACCACGGCTTGCTATCTGCATTCAACCTGAAACGAAAATCGCAGGAAGAGAAAAACAAAAGCCGGAGTATGGACACCGTAGAATCGTTACGAGGGAATACTATTGAGGGACGAAGGGAAAGTCTGACGGGTTTGATGTCGTCACGGACAACGAAACAGGATGTTTGACGGACGTTGATATTGTTGATGGAACAGCACAATTTGATGCAGTTTTACTAGGGATTCTCTCTCTTTGTATCATAGTGATCATTTTCTCTAATAGGCATGAATACCCCAATGATTCAATATTTACTAGAATTGTGACAGATTGCTGTGAGTCCCGGACCCGCCGTTGAATAGAAACTTGAGTTTCTTGTGTACATAGCATGTTACGCTGTTAGCAGCTAGATTACTATTCATCAAAGGTAAGATATCCTCTCAGCGCTGTGGGTGGTGGACGATCCTTTGCCAATGGATGTTCTGCTTATGCCATGGCCCCGACCGATTCGTCAGCGCACGAGTACCACGGGAAAGCCACGCAATGGGTTACTGTGGGCTGGGTTTCCGCAGCGATTTTTAAAAAAAAAAGTAGAGATCCTGCAAACTGCTTGCAGTCCATAATACAAAAATAAAATAAATGGCAGCAGCCGTTGAAATGGTTTCTTGGAAGAAAAACTAGACTTAAAGCAGCCAGCTGCAAAACTCAACCAAATATCGTTGAAATCTACAGGCTGTTTTACCACCTGTAACATCGCGTGTCAGTTCCCATTTCTGCTGGAGAAACTTGTCTCGCTTGCTGCTCCTCCGCCCTTCCTGTTGCTGGTGGCACCGACAAGCTTCCTTCCCTCCGCACTGCATCTCCATCCCTTCTGTCCTTTAAAGGAGTTTGCAACGGCCACCACAGCGCAGAGCTTGTTCTGTTGAGACTTGGGCTACCAGCTTTCCGGCTTCTCTACCAGTGGGACGTGAATCGAGCTTCCACATTGACAGCTATTTGTCAGATATCTGGCCCGGAAGACAACCTAGCTGTATCCAGTTTCGAGTCGAACAGACTCTAAAGTAGAGCCAAGCAAGCCAAGCATTCATACAGAAAGCAAAGGCGCATTGAGTGAGAATTTACTTTCACCTCAGTGCAGCAGTTCGCGTACGTTTTCTTATCTTCCATTAAGCAAGTTTGTTTGACTGCTGTCGGGATTCTAAGTATGCTCTGCACACCTCTGCCCCCTTTATACCCTGTTAGCCGCAGCTCCGCTCCCCAACCCGTACCCCCCTTCCGAAGCTGGCACCCCGTTTGCACTGTACGGGTCGTCACCAAAATCCCACCGAAACATTTTCAACTACCGCCTCTTGTACAGATCTCAACTGGTATGCCCATGCAATATCCAGTGAAGTTGTCCCCTACTACGGCCGAGGAAGATATGCCACCGCCACCAGATGTCAGTCTCCCGGTGAAGCCTTCCGGCGGAGAGCGATTCTCCGAGATCTTGGAAGAGGCGGAGGTAAATATTCGGAGAAGCAATTATCTGCAACCTCATGTGGTGGAGTTGCCCATTGCTTGTGCTTTGACTTCGGAAAATGGCTTGGCTGATATCTCGTTGCTGATCTTTAATCATTCTTGTTCAGTTTGTGTTTGGTGGACAGCTAGCCATTAGTCCCACTAGCATACGAATGCGATCTGCAGAGGATATTAGCTGCCGATTGAAAGATGATATAGAGGAGCTTTTAACGTTTGAGATGAATGACTTGTGTCAGGTATGACATTTGGAATTGGAGTAACTCGAGTCCACAACTGATGTAGGTATTATTTTGGAACAGAGATTGTTACCGTCACCAGAGAGCGAACAACTGCGTGCACGTTTTGTCGCAAAACTCCAGAGTATCCTTGACATAGAATGGCCGGATAAGAATATCACTGTACATCTGTTTGGGTAGGTGGATTTGAGATCCCGTCCCGTACTGCTGGTATATGACGCTAAAGCATCCATTCAGATCTTCAACAAATGGGTTGGGAACACTTAGTAGTGATGTGGACATTTGTCTCACTACACCTTGGGATGATAGAATAAATGGGGTTGCAAATATGCATGTTTTAGCGGCTGCGTTACAAAAGCGTAGGTGTACAGGCAATCTTCAATATTTGGACGCTGCTGAGACTTACATTTCTTGTAGATGGGATGGAAGGAGTGAACACGGTGGCAAAAGCAAAAGTTCCAATATGCAAGTTCTACGATCCCGAATAGTATGTATTTGCAAACAACTGCAAGGTCGCACGATTCCTTCTGCGCACGATTGATCGTCTTCTTGTCCGTATTTTCAGCCATGTAAATTGCGACATCAATGTAAATAACACCATTGCATTGCGAAATACCCGTTTGATCAAGACATACGTGGACATTGATCCTCGAGTGAAGCCATTGATGCTTGTAATAAAGCATTGGACCCGACAAAGGGCGCTAAATGATGGTAAGCGTCCTCAACCGTTATCGCTATGCATCGAGCTCTAATTAATCTTTGCATAATAGCTGCAAAAGGAGGAACACTAAGCACCTATTGTTGGACGATGATGGTGAGATAGCGGAATTGTTATTGGACGAGTTTTTTTCGCAGCGGCTGACACCTTGTGGGAATCAAAGGTTCTCAATTTCCTACAAATGCGCCAGCCTCCAATATTACCATGTTTGCACACAATGTATTTCGAACAGCTAAAGGCCGATCCTCACAAGGTCAAACCAGTGATTGTGGATGGCGTGGACTGTTCATTTTTCGAGAACCTCGAGTCTGTGCGAGGATTCGGGCAGAAAAACAATGAAACGTTAGCATCCCTTCTTTTCGGCTTCTTTCGGAGATACGCCGTAGAGTTCAATTATGAAGCGCATGTTATTTCCGTGAGACATGGCCGGTATCTTACGAAGGAAGAAAAAGGGTGGAATTTGGATGTTGAACGTACTTGTCGGTTTCTCTGTGTTGAGGAGCCATTCAATCCTCAGAGAAACCTTGCAAATTCCGCGGATGCTGTGTCTGTCGCTGGTCTGAGAAAAGAATTCGATCGTGCACTCTCGATCCTCGAAAAGGGAGAAGGACTTGAGGCTGCATGCGAACCCTATATCCCACTACATCGCCGAATACCCATCAGCAACCTTGGTCCATTACTTATGAATGGCCACAGAACGTATTTGAACGACATTGGCCGAAATGCCATGCATCATGAACTATACGGATGGCGGAAATATGATGCATATCAATCACAACTTTCTTACGACACACGGGGCGGTCATTATGGGTACAAAACAAACGGTCAGCCAGGAAACTTTTTTTACACAAACCACCCACCATATGCACACACTTCAGCCAGCGCGGCTTCCGGTCCAGATCCACGCTCGAACGGATGCGCTAGTTTGGACAATGGTGACCGGCGCTTGTTAGCTGGCCTCAACCTCATGCGTGGCGGAGCCCCACATATTACTCCGGAAGATATACACCGCTTGTCTTCACTGCAACTGGAGAGCCGACATCTCGAGAACCACCGAGTACGTCCCAATTACTATTCGTACGCAAGCGAGCGGAGGGCGGCCGAGATCAAGCGAAGAGGGGTGACTAATGTCTGGGCCACTCCGTCCCAACCGCGCGATCGTAACGGCGCAAGTGCACCTGCCGGCTCTCTTTACAAAAAAGCTACAGATGTTGGTGGCAAAAAGGATCCCGAGAAAGCAGAAAAAATGGAGAAAACTGGGGATGTCGGGCATAGCTCTCCGCGATCACCTATTCAGGTATATATTGAGAAGCAATCAGACGGCGATGATGTGAAGGAGGTTATTATTAGCGAGATTGGAAGTGATGGGCGGTCACGAACATTATCTTGTGAACGTGCCGATACAGCCCCCGACGTATCGTTGCCAGGTCCGCTTACCCATCATGCTCCCGAACCCTTGCCGCCAGAACCGTCCAAAACTTTACGATCGCCACCAGAGCAACGCGTCACCTCCGCGGCCGAATCCCAGCCGCAGCCTAAATCATCACATCTTCAGCCTCACAACCACCACAACGGTCGTCGGTCTCCTGTCCATGACCGCCGAGACAAGAGTCCGAATGGACGCAAAGCAGCATCCCATCCAGAGACCCTCTCGGTCCAGACCAAGCACAATGGCCATACGTCGCCCTCCGTTCCCGAACGTAAAACAAAGTCAGAAGGCCGAATATCTCCTAAAAAGCACGTATCACACCACGATCACGAACCTGAGCGAGACCGCCGCCGCAGATCACCTACCAAGCACGACGCCCCTCCTGAAATGGACCGCGACTGGCACCGACCTTACAAGCCTCACTCGCGGCAACATTCGGATGAACATCACATGAACCGATCCTACCCTGACGTCTCGCGACGGGAAGGACACCTTCCACCAGGAGACACGACGCATCATCCAAAACGCCGGGGTAGCAAAGGCATACTCTTGTGGGCGAATCATTCCCAACGCATGGATACCCTTACAACAACCACAACAAGCCGCAAACCCAATCTAAACGGTTTGGCAGACCCACCTAAACAAGAAGACGAACAGACACCAGTAGACAACCGACGCGGACGAGAAGCATACCCACGCGACAAGCACGGAAGAGACCCAAAAGCCTGGACCCGACCCCGCTCTCTCTCTGCGTCTGCTGCTCCCAAATCACCCTGGCAGGATGTCCGATCCGCCAAAAGCCCTGATCGAATTAATAGCGCACGAGCTGTCAAGCGACACACCGTGGAGCCCGAGTCCTTGTTGGAACCCTCAGTGGACCGACCTGCCACTGATGAAGAACAGTTGGACAATACCCATCGACGGCGCTCGGCACCGGATAAAGGAAATAAGGGACGTGGGAGACTGGGAGAACATGGGGAACATGAGCGAGATGCGTCACGATAACTCCTTTTGTGTGTGTGTGTTTGTATTGGCATGGGTGACATCTGAGCTCAAATTGTTTGCGTGTAGGGTATTCTTGTTGTTTTTTTTATTATTCTTGTTTGCGTGAATTGAATGTCCGCTCCATCCACCCACCTACTCACCCGCCCACCCACCGAACCTTTTGTAAAAAAGAGAAAATATCAAAAACAAAAGGGGAATACAAATTGCATTTAAGGCCGCCCTTTGTTCATTCGCTTTCACCACTTTAGTTTATCCTCGTGAACATTAGAGTCCATGATCTTTTAGAATATCTATCCCCAATGGTGATGAGCTTGGTAAACAGTGACAAAAACCAACATTTATCATCCAATTCTATTCTATTTTCCCACCATCTATCTACAAAAACAAAACACTACTCTAGCCCTCTATAAAGTTCATGGTGTGGTGCTAGTATCAAGAAAATCTATTGCTTGCTCTGGTAATTATTCCATGCGTTTCACGGCGCCCATAGGGAACACGCCGGATTGTTCTGAGCGGAGATTGAATCCCTGTGCCCATCCATCCTCCATAATTTCACTATAAAATAAAATGTCTAAGTCGACACTTTTATAAAATGAAAAAAAACATACAAGGAAAAACATACTTGACAAGAACACGATCCCCAGGCCACAACTCGACTTCATCATTCAATTTCGGGTAAAACCTCGCTGTAGCTTCATATACATCCCTGTTCGTTCGGTCTTGCTGGGTAGGATGGCGTAACGTGGGATATTGAATGGGATGCTGGACCCACGGAACAGGACCCGAAATATGGCCGGCATCATGAGCAGCAGAACTAAAGGGCATGTCGGTCCATTTGGTGGCCTTGTCTGTCTGCTGTTGCAATGCTGGAGCGTGTGAGGTGGGATATCGAATGGGATGCTGGACCCACGGAACAGGACCGGAAATGTGGCCGACATCATCAGCAGCAGAACCAAAAGGCACGTCAGTCCATTTGGTGGCCTTGTCATTCTGCTGTTGCAATGCTGGATCACGTAAAGTGGGATGCTGGATGATGGGATGCTGAACCCACGGAACAGGACCCGAACCATGGCCGACATCATCAGGAACACTCTCAAAAGGCATATCAGTCCATTTGGAGGAAACAGCAGGTCGCGCAGCCCGTGGACCACATCCAAGGATCGTAACCGGAAATTCAACAACAATATCCTCCAGCCGGAATCTATCTGTAGATGTTTTGGCGAGTTGGATGCGAATAATGAGGGTGTAGGAGAGAGTGAGCATATCGGGTACATCCACACTCGGTGGAATCAAATTTGGATGCGTCAGAGTCGGAGCGGGTATACGACAGGGAATGACGGTCAAGTCAGTTGACGGTATACGTATCCACTGAAGAGCAGGAAGGGATAATTTGTTTTGGGATTTCGTTCGAGTGGATTTGAGGTGAGCTGTTCCGTGGAGGTTGACATGGATTTTTGAGATGCGGATACCGGCTGTTGGAACGATACTCGTCAAAACATGGACAGAAAAGGGTTGACCTGGTTCCAAGGTTGTTGTCGATACTTGGATCGAGGTGTCCAGCATGGAGGATGGGAAGCGGCCTGGACGGGGATCTTGGACGGACTGGTTCCATGATTTGGGTGTGGGGGATAGGATGGGTGAATTGGAGCGACGGAGGTAGGATGCAATAGCGGTGGGACACCATGCTAATGGGACTGGGATGCGAAAACAGCGTTTCTGGGAACCCAAGAGTCGACCTTGGGCGACCACGGCAGCTTCAAGAAAGTAATGGATCGTAGCGCGGCTTGACCGTTGTTCTCCAATGATACTCGAGTCGGGTAAATGGAATCCTCCTTCCGGCTCTGAAAACTCGAATTGGAATGACATTGTGACGGATGCGGAAGGTGGAATGGTGATGCCCTTTGTATTTGCATCCCCAGTTGAACTCGATCCACTCGACCTCGATTCCGTTTCGTGCAAGACTGCATTATCTTCAGGGTTATTTAAGATTTGTTCTTTGGACAAGAGTTCCTTGACATCAAGGTATAAATCCCCCTTGTCATCTAAAACGACCGTCTCTACACACCCGCGAAAAGCGAGTCGAACCGACAAGACCCGCTTGTGTTTGGTGGCAGAAGTGTTTTTGATGCGAACGGTGCCAGACACGGTCCATGCATTCAGACCTGGTACACCCGTAATGAACGCGCCAGAGGCATGTGGCCGAATGTCAACAGAAATGTGTTGGGAAAAGGAGCCAGGGGGGTCATGTCGGACGGTGAGTGGCGGTTTAGGTCTGAGGGATGTAAAAGTGGGAGTTGGGAATGCGGGGCGACCTAATGCAGTGGCGGCCATGGTTGGGAGTTGCTCAAGGTAGGAAAGACCGCTAATGAGCTGCTTTTGAAAACAACAGTTAAAAAGATGGTAAAAACCCAAATAATAAGCAAAATAACACAAACCTAGAGGTCGTTTGCAATATCCCGTTTTTTGCCATGGGCGCTATCTCTTTTTCCTTCCGCAGCCGTTTTTGTGCAAAAGAAACTCTTATTTTTTTTAAATACACACAATCAAGTGTTCCAACGCGCAGACTTTAATTTTTAGCGAGTTGAAAGTTCCGATGACAGGAAGAGCGATAGGCAATATGCAATACTCTTGGCAATGCACATACATACAAGAGATATTACAACAAGAAACCATAACACACACAAGCAACTCGCAAAGCAATGCAATGCAGCAATGCAGAAAGGCATCATCAAGAAACCATTTCCTTCCAACTACAGAATCACTGCGCACAGAGCGATATCACACAAGTGATTTTTGCCATGGACGTACTACAAAATCACCTCGCACATAACACTCGCATTTACCACAAATCATCAAAACCAACGCATAGCCCGCAGCAATGATTTCCTTTTCAAAACAATGCACACTGTTCATTCATTAAGCACAACACTTGGCCATGCGCTGCTGCATCTTTCCAAACAAATTATCTATATATGAGGGATTTGGCACCAGGATTCTTAGAAAGGGCACACTGTTTTTTGCACACACAAGAATGAAAAGAAACCGAGTGCCCCCATTCACCCCCCCAACACACACAAGCATCATACATGTCTACACACAACACACACACACACATATGAAATTAAAAAAAAAGCCAAGTTCCCAACCCATCTGCAAAAAATGCGGGGGCTACCGCCTATCCCTCACATTTATTTTGAAAATGGATATTTTTATGATGACATTTTGCAAAAAAAAGAAAAATTAAACTTCGTCAAACTACAAGACAAGGCAACATTAACATCAATATGCGGGAGTTTCCAGACAAACACTTCTTACCTTTCCGGGCCTGTACACAATCTTCTTGGATTTGACATAGCTCCACTTGAACCTCTTCCACCACACAGACAATCCAAGCAACATTGCACTAATCGCCAACGTCTTCAATCCCATCTTTTTGCGCTCATCGTGCTCAGGGTAGGAAGCCCAAGAAAGGAACGTCGTCACGTCCTTGGCAAGCTGGGAGGCATTGTTGGGCGTGCCATCCTCGTAATCTACCACTTCATCGAAAATGGACCGGGCCATGGCAATCGCTCCTCCAGGAAAGTAGGGGTTGTAGTGAAGACCCTCACGAATGTTGACACCGGCCGGGGGATCGCAGTACCCGAGAAGAAGGGCGAAAATGTAATCTTCTTCACCGTGCCTTGCACGAACAATGCAACTCAAGTCCGGGGGGTAGGCTCCTCCGTTGGCAGCACGCGCAGCCTCCTCATTAGGATATGGTTTGGGCATCGCGTCCGTAAGCTACCAGATAGTTTGCAAATGTCAAAACCCCAGTTTTCAAACAAAACACAAACACACCACACACACACATACCTTTCCAGGACGCATAAACATCTGACCAGAGTCATCGGGACCATCCTCGTACTCGTACTCGGCAGCAAGCGCCTTGGCCTCAGCCTCCGTGTGACTTACACCCACCAAGTTACGGTAGTAGATGTAATCCATAGAGTGGCAAGCAGAGCAAACCTCCTTGTACACCTGGAAACCACGGCGAATGCTACCCAATCCATCAATAAACAGCACACAAAAAAAAAAAATCACACACTCTACTCACGAAGCATGGTCATAACTCTTCCATGGGCTGTAATGGTCCCACGGGTAATGAGGTGGATGCAACCCATGGTCGGCAGTCGAAAATGCATGCGCAACCGTAAAGGGAATCTCCAACTCAATCCCAAACTCCTTTGCCTTCTTTTTCAACTCGGTGGAAGCCTCCGAAACAGCCTTGTAGACAGGTGCCATGCGGTCATCGGTTAAAACATAGTTGGAGATTCCGTACCCGACAATGGCCGACGCGGCAGCCGCTTTGGTGAACCACATCATGGCGGCCTTGCGGTTAGCGCCAAACGGACCCGCTTGTGTCGATGCAAAACGGACGGGGCGGAAGGTGGATGATGCGCGGAAAGCGCGGGCGGTGGTCGTGTATGCTACCTTGGAAAGCATCGTGGCTCCACTACAAAACAACGTAAAGGTTAATCAACTGTCTTTTGTACAACCCGTTTCTTCAATGCAGATGCTACCAAAACATACCTATAAACAAGGTATCTCTATCGAATGATAAACGTATCGAAAAACGCGGGTAGGAAGGGAGGACCGCAAACCAAAACGAAACAACTCACAGTACCCACAAATGCAACGAAAACAAGCAAGGACGTGCAAAAACGAGGTCCGTCCGTCGTAAAAAGGATGAGTGCGTTACGGGTGGGCTTTCTGCGCGTCTTCCACCGACTAGCACAACCGCTTTCTAAAACGCAGAACTAGTCCCGCAAAATCCGACTTGCAAAACGCCCAGCAACAAAGAATATACACGTGACTTGCCGATAATTTCCTTTGCCTGGCAACATAGTAAGGTCGCATAAGCAACTCAACGTTTTGGCATTTCCAACATTTGCAAACATGCCAGTAGCCCAATCCCACCTCGAAGCTCAAATAAAATCCAAACTCGAAGCAGAGCATGTGGTACGTTCCACCCCCACAAAAATGAACCTCTCATCTGCACCATAAATATTCAACACACAAAACATGTTAGGAAGTGACAGATACCTCGAACGGATGCGGCCAAAGTTTTGAAGTCGTGATCGTTTCTAAACTCTTTGCCGGGAAACCTCTCTTGAGTCGACACAGGTAAATATCCGCAATCTTACTACGAACGGTTTGTTTTTGTGAGTTTATTCATAATGTTGGGATCAGGATGGTCAACGAAGCACTAAAGGACGAAATATCACAAATCCACGCCTTTTCACAAAAAACATTTACACCCGAGCAATGGGCTGCTCAACAACAATAAAATGTTATTAAAGGTGCGCATTAAAGAGTTTTGTTTTGGAACACTGGATAAGTGCTTGAGAACCAAGCCGGGTTGGATAGCGAATGAAATGACGCGCCCCTAGTTTGGCGTTGACACTTGGCCTCGTACCCAATCATCCCGTCCACCCATCATGACTCGTCCATCGTATCCCTGTCCTGCACATACACCTTGACCGTCCCATCTAAAGACATAAAAACTGAGCAAACCCAAGGTTACAAAAATCAAAATCAAGAAAACTCACCATCACCACATGTAAACACCTGTCCCCACCTCCATCCCCAGACACAATCTCTCACTTCCACCCCCTCATGATCCCGCAAGACAGCCGTCACTTGCCCACTCGCCAATGAAAACACGACAACGGCTCCATCATATGTGGGAGCAAGAACGTATCGGCCGTTGGACGAGATTTTTGTTAACCAAGAGTTGGAGCGGTACCTTTGAAAATCCCAAATCATCAATACACAGATACACATGTATCCACAAAGAAAAATGCAATCCTGACATACTCTTCATGCTGAAACCTCTTGACCTCCTCCAACGAAAACACTCCGCCCCGTCGCGTGGGATAAACAAGTTTATGCAATCGCACCGTGTTCGGCTCCGTATCTACCAAAAACATATTAGCATTCCATAAAGGACGATTTAAACATCTTTGCAAACATACTAATCGGCACATCCCCTCCATCCACAGTATCCACTTCTTCAACACCCCGACTTAAGAGATAAGTAAACATCGGCTCCCCATCTTCCAAGACCGTTTGCCATGTCCGAGGGGGTTCAGGGTACTCTAGGCATTCCACGACTTTGGTACAATCGCAATAGCACGTATAAAGATTTTCAAATGTTTGGAGTTTCTAAATGCGAGTCAGTTTGATCTTGCTTTTTGACATTGTGGGTTCCCGGCTTACCACTGCGTTTTCAAAATCAAAGAGACATATCCCGCCATCGCATGCTGCGACAAAGTACTTGTTTCCAGTGTTGGGTAGAAACGAGACGTTGAACGCCATGCACGTCTTGCCATCTTCCATGCGTTTATACTCTTGTAACCGACTAGAAAAAAAAGAAAAGCACCATGAGACAAAACGGCATCATCCAACAACCAATAAAAGCAAAACGTACCTCCAATCTTGGTCTACTTTCCATTTAATAATATACCCATCCTGACTGGTAGTAACATAATACCTCTCCCCCCGAAACTCGACACTTTTACAACACAAAATCTCCTCTTCATGCCCCTCAAGCCTCTCAACCACATTCCCAGAAATCAAATCAAACACTTTAAGAGGACACGGCAAAATATGATTATCCTCATCCTCATCACTCCATTTCTTGGGGTCCTTGAGTTTCCCACCTACGACGAGGCGGGTCATGGTAGGTGTGAACCGTCCCACATAGAATTCATCAATATTGGGTTCAGACGTGTCTTGGAGGGTTTGAATGACGCGGTAGGTTTCAAGATCCCATATTTTTGCGAGACCCATTGTGCAGAATGTTGCGAGCATGCTGCCGTCGGGTGAGAGGACCATACCCGTAATGTGCCCTGCGTCGCGCATGTCGGCTTGTTTGACGAGTGTCAGGGGTGTTGTTTCGTTGACGGTGTCGATCATGGAGGTTGTGGTTGGGAGGTGGGTCCAGTAGGTATCGGGGTAGGTGGTTGAGAGGTCAAGGAGTTCTGTCGGGTCGATAGGTGGGAGTTTGGACTAGTGTGTTGCGAGGACGTTGGTCACGATATACATATATATACACATTTGCAATAATGGGATTAGATGAATGTACCTTGGCTTTTACAGGTTTTTTGCTGGTTGTCGTTGGCTTGCGTTTTTTAGCGGTTTCCTCGTCTTCCTCACCTACGACATACAATCAAAACAATCAACATTTACAAAACTCAAACAAAACAATTGAAGAACAGCAAAGAAACAGTACCTGTCCCCTTGCCTTTTGCCTTTTTAACCGTCTTGGCCTTGCCCTTTACCTTCTTTTTCTTCCTCGTACTCGCATCACTGTCCTCGCCTTCAACATCCACAATCAAGTCCTCACTGTCATCGTCCGTCCATTCGGGTTTCGGTCGGGCTTGTTGGATGGGTTTGAGGATGGAGGAGGTGGGTGGTTTGACGGGGACAGTCGTGGTGTAGCCGGGTTCGCCGGGACTAATGATGCGGACAGGGTCGGTTTGGACATTGGCGTCGGTAAATGTTTTCTTGGAAATGTGTTTGGTTGGTGAGACGAGTGGTCCGACTTGCATGGCTTCGCTCGTCTTTTCTTGTCCCATATCTATGGGATCAGTAGAGTTTTCTTGGACCATGTTCTTTATTTGTGCAGATGCAAGGCTAATGGCAACTGGGAATGTAAAATGGTGATTCTGGCAGCTTGTCCGGAGAGGCGGACGCAAAAGATCGCGTTCCACATCAAGCATTATGCCATGTCAAAGACTATAAAACAGATACTATTATTTTTCTTGGCTTAAAACTCTACCTAATCGCAAAAAAAAAACCATAAAACACTACACTGTTTATCAACTATTAAAGTCTAAAGTATATCGAGCATAAACTAGCTCTTTCTAGAAAAAACTAAAAGTGGGGGTAAAAGCTAATAAAACGTGAGATATCTAGCAATTTAAAGGTCTGTCAAAATTAACCACCTGGCGCATACAGCCGTCTCCGCCCTTGTGCACTTTTTGCATGTCTCTGCCAGGGTAACCAAAAACACAACACTTGAACAGTGTCGGCTCGCGGTCGGGTCACGTCGGACGAGGGCGGTTCCGCTCCCCTCGCCGAGTCCATCGAAGCCACACTCTAATAGATGACCGCGTCCAAACACTACCATCGCAAATGCCCCTTGACCTCTTTTCCAAAATCCAACTCTGGGTGAGCGGCCTTTGCATGGTACTTTAGGCCATTCAGATTCTTGTACTTTTTGCCGCACCCGGCTACGCGACACCAGTACGGTCGATGGGCCACCTTAATGTTGAGCATGGACAAATCGGCGTACTCGTCCCCAGATGCCCATTCCATTTCGCAAGATCCCCGCTCAAGATGGTATTTCAGTCCGTTTGCATTCTTGTAAATCTTTAAACAATATAGTCAGTTTGCGTACATGTCTTGCACAACTCTGCTTTTGCTTACCTTTGAGCAGTATGGTGTAGGACATTTAAACATCCTTTGCTGCTTGTCCATGTCGGATATAGCGTCAGTATACGGCTGCACGTAGTTGTGTTGGGGAGGCGGTGGTGGCATGCGTCCATCCTGCTCAGAGATCATCATGGGCGAATGAGTTCGCTCTTCTGGATGTATCCTATTGGGTGACGGTGGTCGCCAGTCTTGATGATGATGATGCTGCTGATGATGATGATGGTGATGCATGGATTGCATGTGCGGGGCATGTTCCATCGTGGACGACTGTTGTTGTTGTTCAGCGGTCGGTTGTTGTGGTGGACCGTGAATGTGCACATAGCCACCCGACGGATGAGCGTACAAGCCTGGAGACAAGAGCGGAACGGAGGGTGATTGGACCGACAGCGGGGATTGTGTAGGAGGAGTGGGAGGGAATCGCGGACCGTGCCCAACCAGTGCACTTCCTGGACCTGGACTGGCTAGAGACGATTCTGAACCGGCAGGACTCTGCGGCTGCGAAGAGATGGCATTATTGTGGTTGTTGCTGTAAGAGTGGTAACTTGGCTGATGATGGTGTTGGCGATGTGCGTGGTGATGGTGCTGTTCTTGTTGCTGATGTTGTGGTGGCTGTGGTGAAGGTGGTTGCTGAAAGGATGGGCGAAAGGACGGATTTTGCAACAGATAGTTTAGGCGCGGCGGTTGCGCTTGCGGCGGCGGCGGACCGTGCGCCGAGGTCCCATGAAAGGAGGGATAATAACCAGATCCAGGGGACTGATGTGGGGTGGGCAGTGTATTGTAAGGCAGGGGCGGGGGAAAGGGTAGATGCGGCGATCCTCCATGAGCGCTTGTGGGCTCTGACGTGTGATACGGGGAGTTGTGGGAATGGTGTGGTGAGGGATGGTGATGATGGTACATGTCCGACAAGTTACTCCCATGATACTCTTGTTGTTGGTGTTGTTCTGGCGGTTGCGAGTGTGATGTTTGCTGTTGTTGTTGTTGTTGTTGAGATGGTGGTTGTGGGAGGAGGGGCGGTTGAGAAGGATGAAAGAGGACGGGAGGCAGCATCCGGTGGGGATAGAGCGGAGCGCCACCATTATTCCCACCAGCGCTGCTTGGAGTTGCTGCTGCTGCTATCGTTGGTGTTGCAGCAGCTGTCATCGACTGTTGCTCTTGTGATGATGATGATGGCGGCGGCAAGTCCATGGCAGTGGGAGAGAGGGAGACGTGGGGAGAAGGCGAAGACGAGGAAGAACGAGGAGAAGAAGAAGGCATGTAAGAATCTAGTCTCTTGATGTCTAAATGAAGCCTAGCTCTCTTTGGGGAGGATGATGCAATGTCTAGTTGGGTGTTGCGTTCATGGCGTTGTGCCCTATCATCCACCTTGCAAGAAGATGGTGGTGATGACGAAGACAAAGACGACGACGACGACGACAAACCAGGAAGAGCCATGACCAAAGAGTGAATAAAATGAAAAAACCAAAAAAAAACCAAGTGAGAGAGTGCGTGGGAAAGTCAAAAATGCAAAAAGAAAAAAAAAATAAAATATTTCATGTGAGAAATAAAAAAAGAGGAGAAAAACGGCAATAGTTGTAGATATAAGGGTGGCTATGAAATTGATTTATTATTATGGAATTTATTACGTAATGAGAATGAGCGAGGCAGGGATTTATTTTGTAAGTCTTTGTCTCTGTGAGAGAGAGAGTGGAGAGAGAGAGAGAGAGAGAGCAACTCTTTTGTTAATAAGAATAATAATAACTAAAGACTTGCAGCATCTCTCTCCCTCACTCTCTCACTCTAATTATACATTGTATTGACTCTCTCTTTTTACGAGTACCAACAGGACAGATATTACTATTACTACTTATGGACATTTACATGTGGCCTATACTCTTGTGAGTCGCCACACTATCGATATTTTCAAGTTTCTTATCCCCGTACCCTTTCATAGGCATTATATCAAATCTGTACTCAATATGTCAGACTTTTTACATGCTCTATGGCAACTACCAGCATAGTATTCAAATCGTCATACTCAGCCGTCATGCTCTGAATTCTGAGGTCACTCACAAGTTTTGTCAACAGCAGGTTGAAAACAATTGCGGGTTATGGTCTAATGGTTAAGGCGCCTGGTGATGGATCAGGAGAATACCGGGTTCAAAATCCTGGTAAGCCCGATGATAGCGAACAAACAGAACTTTTTGCAAGATGCCCATGCGTATGGGTGTGTGAAATGCTTTTCCTAAAAGCAAGGAGAAAGTGCCAATTTGATTACTTGCAAATCGTTACAGCTTCTTTTTGGCACTTATTAGGATCGGTCATATAATTCATTATAATCTATCGATGTCGTATGGGTCGTGGCATAATGGGTGAATCGCTTGTATGTGTGCATCAGGAGAGCGAATCCTAGGCTTCTCGATCGGTCTCCTCTCACACACACTCTCTCTCTTTTGCCTGTTCTCTCCAAGGAGCTGAATTAGAGAATCAATATGCCTGCTAAGGTCGTTCCATGGCCGAGTGGAATGGAATGTCCTTGTCGGCAAGTTAGAATGATGAGATTGCCAGGTTCGAGTCCTGGGATCCTCGATCATCCTTTGCTTCAGACGACTTTTTTTCAGTCCCGCTTACAAGACAGTCACTCAAAGCTCAAACCTCGGGCGGACAGTCACATTGCATGGCCCACATACAATGTGCACACTCCATCACTATTTACTCTTGTCTGGCGCATATTGTTAGATCCTCCGTAAGTGAGGCTTCTTTATGACTTATCAAATGCACACCCAAATAGCAGTGTTGTTGGTTAGATAGGGTGCTTCCTCTTGGTATGGCCATCGGATTGCTGTTGTAAGAAGTTCTTGTTTTTGTCGCCCTCGCATCCTCCCCAATGGCATTCTTTCATGATCACTTATTAACATATGTATTCACTTTCTATCTCACTCTTGTTCTTTCCACTTTTACCTTCTTTTTCGTCCTGGCAGCACTTCTTGTATAAAGCGAGAATGTCGATCACTGACCATGTCACGTGAAATACGGGCTTGTTGGTGGTGTGTGTGTTCTGCTGACGTGTTGGGAATTGCCCTGTGTTTGCTCCTGGTTCTTCTCCTTCGTTGTCCTTGTTTCCTCCTGTCGTTGTCTTTATTTATTACTTGCTTGGTGTTTTTCACCTTGTCTTTTATCGCATCGCTCTCTCCTCATTGGCTTGCTGGTCGCTTTTTGTATTTGCGTTTCGTTTTTACACACCCTGGTTCAAAAGACGCCGCCGTACCTTTCTGCTGCTTCTCCTACTATAACGACTGTTGCAAGTGCTCATTGTCCTTTTTCCAACTGCAACGGGCACACACGCACTTGAGGTGTTTTCTCATGGACGATGGGCCCGTAAACAAGGTCTGTTCACGCAATTTAATACACAATGACACTCGGCCAGCACACGGACACTCATTATGGTTTGCTCCAAGGCTAATGCCTTTGCCAGTGCTGCTGAGGACTTTGCGGAAAGAGGACAGTATGCAAACGCCGTCGAAGCTCACTTTCGTGCTGCAGGTATGCTGTCCAAGTATACATGTGTAGCACGCGCTCACAAGACAAAATGCCTTCTCTCACACTTAAAAACCCAGAACAATTTCTCTCGGCTGTTAGCTACACGGCAGATCCAGAAGCAATAAAGACTCTTAAACTCCTCTATGCAAATCACACGAGACAAGGAAAGGAACTCCAACGTCGTCTGCAAACGCGATCCCCATCTGCTTCTCCTCGTACAGCCCCTCATCATCAACAACAACAACAGCAACAGCACCCTGTCACCTCCCGCACAACAACAAAAACAACAAGGCAGCGCCCCACTTCCTTGCCTCCCCCTAACGCGCAGCCAACATGGTCACCCCATCCTCACCCTCAATTTAGTCGCCCTGGATCCTATGCTAGCCAGCGCACACCGTCTAACGAGTCTCCCTCATCGGGATTCCCGGAAACAATGGAATACGGATCGCGCCACTATTTCTTGGGCCAGTCGCAGTCGGACAGTGGTATGATGATGCATTCTCATCGAGCGACCAATGGGGTGTATGGTGGCGGTGGAAATGGTGAGTTAACCGGGCCTGTGGTGTGTTGAAATGGAAAGTGTACCGAATGCCTTGTGTGCCGGCACGGAATGGTCTTCCGGAAATGACTAATGTGCTGAATGAATCTCTTGCCCACATTTCATTTGCACGGTTATGCATGGCTCAAACACGAACTGATTCTGTCCTCTCCATCCTAGTCATTACCCACGCCACCAGCTCACAAGGACCAGCAACCATGCCCGTAACGTCCTTGGATGAGTCAGAACACTATTCACCTGACGCTATGGATTCGGTCGCCCAATCGTACTCTGTCGTCGGTGAAAAAGCCGGGGATGATCCTGAAGATCCTTTCAACAAGTTTTGGGAAGCAGTCGAGAACCTCGTTGACAAGATTTCCCTGACGGGACCTGTAGCTTTCGCTACCGCCCCTCTGGGAAACGTTCAAGGGCAAGAGCAGCCTGCAGTCAGTTCTTTGGCTGGGTATCCTGACGCGTCAAGAGGTGCAGTCCGTGGGATGTGCAAAGTATTGTGGAGCTTCTACTCATCTTTCTCATCCAACAGACCCGCAAAATCGTGACCTGGCTGATACCCTCCGCAGTACAACCATGCTCAACTCATACTTTGTCGTCCCTCCGACGGGGGAAGGTATGGCCACTTCACGCTCATTTTCCTCGCATACATCTGCGTCCGCGTCTGGGGGGATGAGTACGCAGTACGGCCGCCCCGTTTTTTACCACGGGGGTGTTGTAGTGACAGAGGCAGACAACAATATGCATCCTGTATCGGCCTCTATTGAGTCCAATTACTTTGGAGCAGCGGGTAACAGAATGAGCAGCGTTCATAGCATGAACGATTATGGTCGTGGCGGTGGGAGTGGAGTTGGCAGGGTGGCTAGCCCTATTCTTGGTTCTACAAGCGGATCGGTCATGTCAAGAGAATATGGGGGTGTGAGATTCGATAGGTAAGGACTTGCGTGTGTGTGTGGGTGCTGGAGCACGAGCTAACACGGTGGACGATACTAGGGGGCCCATGAAAAACAAGACGCAGGAAGAGCTCTTGATGGAGAATGAGCAGCTCAAACACACCATTGACCTACTCACTCGTAAACTCGCTGTGCTGGAACGCGTACGTTTTCGAGTGATTATGCAGACGAATATACCACTCACACTCATTCTTTCATGTAGGCTGCTGAAGAGAATAATCTTCTCAGGAGCAGCATCATTCAGTTCCGGCAAGATGTTCAGAAACAAGCCAAGCGCTTTATGCACAGCCAAACGCAGTCGCGCTTTGGGAGTTTGTTGCATGGACATGGTTTTGGCCGAGGGACTGGGGTGGGACATGATGGTAAACAACCACCAAACTGTGAAAACTGTTGCGCATCAAAGGCTTATTTATTTTATTTCTGGCAAGATTCGACCGCCCTGGCACACCGTGTAGCAGAGTTGGAAGAAGAGTTGAAGAGGGTGAGAGAGGACAGTGAGAAGCAGGTGTGTACTGGCTGTTGGCATGCTAGAATATCAATCTGGTGTCTCTAATGTCGGCGTTGTAGTCGACAGCTATGCAAAAGTATAAGGAAAGATGGGACAAACTCAAGGAATCCGCCAAGCGTAAAAAGGAGGCTGCATCCAGCACGACCACCACAACCAACGCAGCCCCGACGCCAACTACTGATACCAAACCGACCCCATCACCTTCCCCTCAACTCTCAAGACTACCTGACCGGCCTCACTACCAACCTCCCCCTCCTCCGTCGTCGACCTCCTCTGACTCACCTGTTCCACCGTCTCCACCCACCCACTTTTCGACAACGCCGCCAACGACGATCAATGTCGCAAAAGGGTTGGGTCTCGCTGCCGCCGCACTCGTTCCCACAGCCGCTAGAGGAGTCACCCACAACACCCGCCGAGCAAGCCTGACCAAAACCCCACCCGCAGAGCCCATCAGTCCGAAATCCCCGTCCCGTTCGAATGCTCCACCCCAACCTGTACAGCAACAAGTGCATTCGCAACATGGGCAACTGCTGAGTCCTGGGGGAGCAAGCGTATCAGCAAGTCATGGAACTGCTGCATCCATGTTTTATTCAGCGACAAGCGGCTTTGGGTTCGAATAGTGTGGGGAACGTGATTATGAGATGTTGGGTGACAGCGTGCATTTGCAATTGCGGAGTGTGTTCGTTTTGTAGTCGGGGTTTTTCTGTTTTTCGTAAAATAATACGAAAATGGGGCGAAACACTCGTGGATGTGTTTGTATTTGGCGAGTTGCTGAGTGGTTTAAATTGCGGTCGTTGGTATTTATTTATTGTTTTGACTGTTCTTTTATGTTGAAAAGACAAGTTTTGTCGTTCGTTTCCTTTCTGTATGCAGCCGTTGAATTCCAACTTGCCCAAATCTCCCAAAATTCAGACCATCAAGCAAACACACGGCGATTTTAACACTTTTAGCTCAGCGACACGCTGATGGCTGAGTTTGGAGAGTTTATTATTTACATTAAGGTCACGGGACCATCATCTCACGAGGGTGACACATTCAAGTTGAGCGGAACAGCCGAAGGGGAAGGGGAAACTGCCTTTTAAGCGTTTTTGCATCGACCAAGTGCCCCAAGAACAGTGAGCATCATTCATCCCTCACTGAATAAAGCATGACCACCGACCTCCTTACCAATGCACCTGAAGTGGAGGCCCCCGTCTTCCCACCCCGGCCTCCACGACAGGGAAGACCAACGCCGCATATTTCCTCAATGGACGAGTACAAGAAAATGTATGAGCAGAGTATAGCGGATCCTGCCACGTTTTTCGGAAAGGTATATATATACACACTATAGAGACATGGTGGTTGTGCATGTGTCTTGTCATGGAAATCGTGTAGTGATGTATTTCTAGATGGCTCAAGATCTTTTGACATGGTTTAAACCATTTGGAAAAGTCACTTTTGGGTATGCTATCATCATGGTATTGGAAGGTTTGTAATGTCTTTGCTGAATGTTGATTTCAGGTCGTTCAAGGAGGGGAATGTATCGTGGTTTTTGGATGGGCAGGTGAATGCCTGTTATAATTGCGTCGACCGACACGCGTTGGCGAATCCCGACAAGGTAAATAGAAAAGAACAGTAATAATGGATCTGTTGTGCTAATGTGTGATGTAGATTGCCATTATTTGGGAAGCGGATGAACCAAATCAGCATGTGTCGATATCGTATGGTACCGTTCTTGCCGAGGTATCGCGATTGGCCAATGTTTTGAAAAAGTATGGTGTGCGGAAAGGGGATACTGTGGCGATTTATATGCCGATGGTGGGTTCTGAATGGAAATAATTCGTTACCCTGGACGTTGACTGAATAAAATGTGTGCAGGTCCCCGAGGCTGTGTATGCCATGTTGGCTTGTGCAAGGATTGGTGCTGTTCACAGGTAAGAAAAAGCCATGCTGGCTGACAGGGCGTGATGGTTGATAATTGACACAAATCCAACTTGGATTTCTAGTGTCGTCTTTGCCGGATTCAGTGCAGATGCGCTACGTGATCGGATGCTGGATGCCAAGTGCAAGATCTTGATCACGGCGGATCAAGGTAAACGAGGAGGCAAGACGATTCAGTTGAAAAAGATTGCGGATGAGGCGCTTGCAGAGTGTCCGTCAGTTCATGTGCGTTTTTTGACGGGTTTTTTGTAAGAGGCTTGGGATTTTGATGGTGGGTGTTTAACCTTTGCGTGTAGACTGTCATTGTGTTCCAGCGGACTGGGGATGCGGCGGTTCCATTCCATCCCCCGCGAGATGTGTGGTGGCATGATGAAACGGTGAGATGGTTGGTTTGGTTTCCAAGCTTGTAAAACCGTTGGACTTAAGGATTTTACGATAGATGAACCAACGGCCTTATTGTCCTTGTGAGCCGATGAATAGCGAGGACCCTTTGTTTATGCTGTATACGAGTGGAAGGTGAGGGTGGGCAGTCTCGATGGCTCTATGACGGCCTTTGCTGATATTGGATGTGGATGTAGTACGGGGAAACCCAAGGGTGTATTGCACACGACTGCTGGATACCTTTTGGGAGTCACTGCCACTACAAAGTACATTTTCGACCTTCATGAAGACGACGTGCACGGATGCATGGCGGATGTGGGGTAAGTCCTTCTGTACACAAACTCACGGAATTGCAAGGATTGACACCACTATCCAGCTGGATTACAGGCCATTCGTACATTGTATATGGACCCTTGGCCAATGGAGTCACGACCATTCTGTTTGAGAGTATTCCCACGTACCCAAATGCCGGACGGTACTGGGAACTCGTAGACAAGCACAAGGTCACCTCGTTTTACACTGCTCCCACCGCGATTCGCGCACTCCGACGTCTTGGCGACGAACATCTCCAACCCTACAACCTCGATACCCTCCGCGTCCTAGGATCCGTTGGCGAACCCATCAACCCCGAAGCCTGGATGTGGTACTACAAAGTCGTTGGCCGAGAACGATGCGCCATTGTGGATACATACTGGCAAACCGAGACGGGCTCCATCATTATTACCCCTCTTCCTGGTGCAACACCCAGCAAACCTGGCTCAGCAACTCTCCCGTTTTTTGGCGTGGATGTCGCGGTATTGGATCCCCAAACGGGAAAAGAGTTGGTTGGAACGGGTGTTACGGGTGTCTTGGCTGTGCGGAGCTCGTTCCCTTCAATTGCGAGGAGTATTTATGATAACCATGAACGGTACATGGACACGTATTTGAAACCTTATATCGGCTATTATTTTACTGGGGATGGAGTGACGAGAGATAAGGATGGGTACTATTGGATTAGAGGACGCGTTGAGTAAGTTTCCGGATTTGCTATATTATGTACAGTGTCAAGTTGTTGACGGACGAATTTGTTGTGTGTGTCTCTTTTTGCGTCTTTTTTTTGTAGTGGTGAGTTTTTTATGTGGTTGATAGTGTTGATGTTTGCGTCTTCCTAATCATTCAAGGCTAGATGTGATCAATGTCTCTGGTCACCGAATGAGTACCGCGGAAATCGAGTCGGCCTTGGTGCAACACGCGGCATGCGCAGAAGCTGCTGTTGTTGGCATTCCTGATGAACTGACAGGGTAAACAATGTCTCCTATGATTCTATTTCGTACCACGTATTCATCTTTTTACAATAGTCAAGCGATTGTGTGCTTTTGTACGTTGAAAACGCATACGGCCCCACAAGCTACCGATCAAACCCTCCTTGCGGCTCTTACCTCCCAAGTCCGGTCGCATATTGGCCCCTTTGCCACACCCAAACGCATTGTGGTGACCCCCGACCTCCCCAAAACCCGCTCTGGCAAGATCATGCGACGAATTTTAAGAAAAGTTGCTGCGGGGGATGTAGGTGAAGAGGATGTACTCAATGAGGATGTGTTGAGGCTAAAGTTGGGGGATTTGACAACGTTGGCGGATCCAGGGGTTGTTGCGGCGCTTGTCAAGAGGGTTGCGACGAGTCAGTAACCGTGAATATGGAATTGGGTTTGTTGATGAGTTTGTGATATTGTATGGATATGTTTGGACATGTATGCGATGGGTGTAAATGTGGTTTTTTTTGCTACTGGTTGGATCTATTGCCTAATGGTATATTGATATGCAATAGACCTTTAAACAAGATATTGAACGAGTTCCTGGCTATGCATTTCTTGTGCAAGCTCATTGTGGATAACATACGCATCTGTTGCGCTCACAAGCCTAATGACCTTTCAGCGAAGCACGTCGCTTACGTTCCTGTCGATCTTCTTCGATATCCATCAGAACCTTCTCTCGTCTCATTTTCTCTACACAAAAAAAAAACGCTTTGTTAACTCATATGTTTTTTAAAAAAAAACCATTCAAAAAGAAGACTTTTAAAAACTCACGTTCCAAAGCCGCCATATCCCTCTTTCTCATCTCCCTCTCACACCGTTCCCTCACTTTCTCACCATACTCTTTGAAAACATCCACAGCCACCGCCAACTTTTCCAACCCATCCTCAAAAACCCATTGTGCTTCAAACTCCTTGACCCGTTTCCGGAACCCCATTAATACAAGCGCATCTTGTCCGCCCTTTTGTTTTAGGATTGTATTTTGGAGATGCTGGTTACTATCTTTTAGGGAAAAGTATTTGGTGTTTGTTCGGTTGTTTAGAATGTTGGTTGCTATTTTTTGGAGTGTCTTTTATGGGGTAAGATGGGTTATGGGAGGAGGGAATGATGTTGTTCAAACCTCGAGGCATTTTTGTGCTGCTTGGGCGGTGTTTTCGTGTAGGATGTGGGCATCCACAAGTCGGCGGAGTTGGATATCAAAGGGCGGTTGAATGGGGTGTGAGGGGGTTGTGCTGGTCATATTCTGTGTGTGTGTATGTGCTGTATTTTGTTGATTGGAGGGTGATGCTGGGAGGTGGAGGTGAGATCTACATGGAAGGGTACGTGGGTGACGTGAGCAAATGATGAAGGCTTGTATGCTAAGCGTCGCGTTCTTGACGGGCTTTCAGAGCATGGAACACTAAAGTGCGACATTCATTATACAAAACTCTTGCATTTTCTGTGCGTTGACAAAACGACAATTTCCATATCGAACAAGCATACACAATCGAAGCATCTCTTATTCTATGCCTTTTAAACCATGGCCGACCTCGAAACCATCCGCCGACAACTATCCAACCAACTCTTTATTGGTTTCGGTGACGATGCGACATCGAGCCCGACACGGGATACACGGTCAACGACTGGAGATGGTGGTGGAGCATTTGGGGATAAATTCAATGAACGACTCTTGTTGAATGTCAAGGTGTCGGAGGAGGCCAAAGCGGAGGAAGGAAAGGGTAAAGCGACAAAAGGGAGGAAGGTGCGCTTTATTTGTGTGACGGGTACGTTTTCAGTGAAGAGAAGGAACAGTGTTTTGTTTTTATCGGATGGAACGAATACGCTGTCAAGAAAAACGAGTATTGATGTTGGGCTTTGTTCAGTCAAGAAGAATATGAAGATCCGTATACATAAAGTCAAGCAAGGAAAAGGTGGTAATTTCTCTATTGGGAAAACGTGGAGTTTGGACGATATCAAATCCATCGAGTCGGCTGAAGTGAGAGTTTCTTGTCTGCGCGGATCTAAAAGATACATGTATTCATCCGACGTATCTATTTTATTAGGACACTCAAGTGATTGTCAACCTCGGCAAAACGTATAAATGGTACTTGGATGACATGCACAAAAAGTTGGAATTCCTCTTTACGTTAGTCAAGGTACGAAAAAAAGGGACACTTTGTACCAAAAAAAAAAAAGGATGCGCGAAATCCTATGGCCCGTCATTTAAAGCATGCCAGTCGATGCCGATCCATACCAGTTATGTAGAAAATACCTCAAACGGCCGCCAAAATTTATTAATGTCGATGAAGAGTCCTTGAAAGGTGTGTGTGCTCAGTATGTGATAAAGTTGTTGCATATTGTAGCTTAACAAAACGTCTAGCCCAGATGCACTTGAATGCCACGTATTTGAGTGCGACAGAAAAAGAGTTTACGGCGACTTTTGCTACGATGGCGCAGAGGCCTCGTGGGGTCGTGTTGGAAGAGGAGGAAGAGGAGGAAGAAGTCATTGAAGAACGTGAGTCAATGAATTCAAAGGGGTTAAAGTCACTCCATTATGTCCATCTCACACTACGCTTTATGAAGTGGACCCCATACCCATCGAGCCTGAGGCTCCTTCCCTCGATATGGACGAAGTCCTTAACGACTTCAATTGGGAAGCAAGTGGCGATGCAGCTGCCTTGGAAGCCAGATTAATTTCTGAGCTCCACGCTCTAGAGGCGGTATGTCGACTGTGAATTGCATCATTTGGTACGTGCTTCTGACAACGCTCACGCACCTAGGCCAACGTACATGCCATCATCTCAAGCGAAGAACAGGCAAACAAAGTCGTCAGCCAACTGGATCATGCTATATGGGAGCTGGATCAGATTGATGAGTGGATATCCCGATATACCCATCTGCTGGACGTAAGCAACAATGGCAGTGATTGCAAAAGGAATGATGCAGTAGGACAATATTTGACTCATTTTTTCAGAGCATGGGACAAGATGTGCATCAGATTGAGGTCCGACATAAGGGAATGCAGATTGCTTCACACAACCAGAAACTGCTTTTAGCTGAAGTTGAGGCCGTACTGGTATGTATCCTAAATGTCATCTTGGAAGGAGCTGGTCCTGTGCTGAATTGCCCCATATAGGGAAGTCTTCGCATCCCGGCATATATCGTAGAGATTCTGCGCACGGAGCCTTTGGATGACAATGAAGGAATCGCCCAATGCGAAGAGGCGACCCGCAAGCTGATGGATGTGACACAAAGCAAGTTTGAGGAGGGTATGCAACCTTGCCGACAGCGTGAATAAAATACGGCAAGAGGCTCATCTCGACACTTCTCACAGACGTGAACAATTTGCAAGCTGTCAAAGAACAGATTGCGCTTTTGAACGGTTACGGGAATCAGTTTGCTACGAGGCTTCATGATCATTTGATTGCGTATTTTCAGTCGCAGGTAGATATGAACATGTCGTCAAACTTTAAAGTGATGCGATTCTCACCGGTTTTCTCTGTTTTTCATTTTTAGGCTGAGGCATATCTGCAGGATAAGGGCCGAACCTCCAAGAAAGGGAGTCTGAAACTCTATGGACATGAGGCAATCGAAGAGCGACTGTACCGCTTTTGCAGACTCTTGAAATGGCTTAAAGATGTTGACACCCGGAAGCACTTCAATTTGCAGATGGTAAACCGCCTTCATATTTATGCAGCTATATTCTTGGTCCATGCAAACATGGTTGTCCTAGGCATACGTGCAAGAAATGGGTCGTGTGTACATTCGAGACATTCACGAGTTTATTGAACAATTCAAGCTTCACCACATGCAGCGGAAACTGGAAGCAGAAGGCCAAGATTATGGTATGATTTCTCCTGTGTGCCCGGACGTTGGATTCCCAACTCACTTCATCTACATTCAGCGTTCTCTGTGCCGACTGTATCGGTCTCGTCTGCTGCCAGTAACGCCCTAAAGTCCGCGATCAAAGGGTCGCAAAATAATCTCCTATTTGCAAACAGTCCGACATCTGATCGACCTGGGCCGGCTGCCAGTATGAAGCAAAAACTGGATAGTTACAAAGGCGGTGGCCATCGCCAAAAAAAGTCGCGAGACAGCGATTCGTATACCGATTCGCTTAAAGAGGAAGACAGCGATGATGCGGCGAGTATCAGGAGTCACCGACGAGGCGGGTCCGAGTCGATGGGTCGGGCATCTGGTATCATGAATAGTCTCATCAGTCTAGAAGTTGGGGCCGATGAACGAATGGCTCCTGATGAGGTTTGTTTGCTGGACAGAGATTCACGCAAATATTAAGTGATTGGGCACGATTTGATGTGAGATTTTCTATTTTTGTAGGCCCTAGGCCATACCCTGTCACTCTTACTACCCGTGATCGTTCGAGAGCAAAACTTTATCACGGATCTATTCAGTTTACATAAAGGAGCAAGATTGGATACGACGGGGTCATCTGCCGACCTCGTGTCACCCGCTTCTGAGGCATCCGACGAAGTGATTCAAAACTGGCAGGAGCTCCTGAGTAGGCCTCGTGAACCCATCAAAGATCTAAAGCTCTCCAAGCGAATACAGTACGTGCCAATAATTAGCAGGAGATAGATGTGGGGATTCTAACCTCGTCCGTACAGAGAACTCGTTCAAGGCATATTTGACGATGTCCGGGAGGAGATCCTGCTTATTCTCGATGCGGGATTGAAAGGGGATCAGACATTTGCAGTTGGGATGATGGTTCGAGTGGAAGAATACACTGAGGAATACAAAGATACGTGTCACACGTATAATCTACTCTTGCTGGAAGAAATCAACAAGAAGCTTGTTTCAATGTTTGAGAGGTTTTTGGTCCGTTGGTCGTCTTTAAAGCGATGTTGACCGTTCCTGTATACTGACTGTTCGGATGAAATTGCATTTTTTAGGAGGATCAAATAAAGAGTATTGATGAAACAAAAGTAACGTCAAAGAAACGAAGCGGTATCTTATCTTTTATCAGAACGTTTCCGGTAAGTGGCCTTATGCATAATGCTTGTCGACGTAATGTCTGACTCTTTTTATTAGAAATTCGTTGACCGTGTTGAGAAATGCCTAGGAGGGTCTACTGGTCCCGCACGACGAACAGTCAACCAGGCATATGCACGCATCGTCAAGACTATGCTCGAAACGCTTGACGCCATGGCCCAGCAGGTCGCCAACGACACAAAAGCTGCTGCCGACGACAAGGAACATTTGAACATTCACATCCTTCACGTCGGTAAGAGCCTTCTTCCCGTTTTGCATTGCATAACTATTTCAAGACGAGTAATTCACGGTATCGGATAGAAAACATGCATCACTTCTATTCGGAAGTCCGAGCACGAAAAGTACCCAGTCTGGACCCGTACGTGAAGCAAGCAAAAGCAACGTACGACGTTCACTTGGACGCCTATTGTAAAGTGGTCATAAGAAAGCCACTGGGAAAACTATGGGTAATAATGGCTACCGACGAGTGTCTGTGAAATTTGTGATTGACGCTCCGGATGCATTTTAGGACTTTTTTGAAGGCATTGAAGGGCTGTTGAAGACAAATACACCGGAAGAGGTGAATTATCACATGCAATTCAATAAGTCTGCACTCAAGGAAGTGGTTCGAAAATACCCCGGCAAAGAGGTAAGGATCACCAGATTTCGCGAGGGCTCATCTATTAGCAAAATCTGATAAATAGCGGACAAAAAAATGTTAGATCAAAAAAGGTCTCGAGTCCCTCTACAAACGGGTTGAAAAACATTACACGGACGAGGAAGGTCTTTTGCAGGTGGTGTGGCGAGGTATTCAAGAAGAATTTACGAAGCGGTTTAGAAGATACGGGGAGTTGATCATGATTTGCTATCCCGAAACTTCCACTCGATTGGAATTCACAATGGACGAGTTGTTGGGTTACTTTTCAGAGCTGGCCAGGGCTCATTGATGTTGTATTGATGTGTTTAAATATTGGTTTAGAGTGTGCCATTATATATCACGGAAATGATGTGATGTGTGGCCTTTCTGTTTATTCCTTGTTTTGCGAGTTGATGGCCTGTGTTTGCCTGTCCCTGTGACGTGAGATCGGAATCAATGTCCAAGACAGGAGTTTTCATATCCAATACTTTATCTTGAAGAACGCCACCATTTCAGGCTGATCAAGGGAAAGGGCCAATGATGAGCTGCGTCCAACTTGGATAGTTAACATTCCATCTCGTGTGCAACTTACATCATCCAATGCCTTTCGGTTAACTCCCGCGTACACCTCCATCAACGTTTTATTTTCCCCAGCTGCGTCCAACGTCTCAATATTCTTTCCAAGCACACCGATCCCCATTGCCCTTCCCTCCGCAATCAAACTACGAATGAGCACCGGATCCCTAAACCGCTTCAGTTTCATAAAAATCCGTGTAATCTCTGAATCAATATAGAGGTCGTCCTGACTCGTTTCCGGTAACTTTGGGTCCGTATTTCGCTCGAAAGGGAAGGTAGCGTAAAGATCAGCTGCAGCGACGAGTGAAGTATGTTGTTCGAGAAAACCGCCAAGCTCAATGTATGCATCGTGGTACCGAGGGCAAAGGCCAATTGCTTCTCTGTAATAGTTTTCAATGTCAGCCTTGAGTGAGGTAGTATCGACAGATCCGGATGTCGAAAGGGTGTTTGTATCCTGCGTTAGAGCTAAACGCCGAGTGAGTACTCGGGCAAGACCGATGCGAGGCTCAAAGCTTTTCTCCTGGACATTGATATTGCCGACTTGCTGCACTTCTGCTGGTTCCTGGACAGAAGCCGGTGATACATTCGACGAAGGTTCTTCCGGTAAGTTACTTGAAGCCTTTATTAGAGGTGTGCGGGAAATAGCGGTGGGTGTCGAGCGAGCCGCGGACTTGGTGGCAGCAACAGTGGAAGGTGCTTTGCCAACCGCTGGCACGGTCTTGTCCACATTCTTCTTTCCAGCCGCGGAAGCGGGCCGAGATGATGCTGCCTTGTCACGAAGACCTGAACCCCCTCCAGGACCACTCTTCGACTCTGTGACTTTGGGCTTTCCCGCGACTGTCGGCGTTCGCGCGCTGGGCGCTGCCTTTGCGGTGGTCTGCTTCATCGGAATTAGGTGATTATCCAATCACGATCGGATCGCGGTCTGCCACAAGTTTAGTGAGTCACGTGACATTGCTGCTTTGCTTTGGTGGGCGACCCAACGCATTTTGGATCTTTCCCATCCGTTCACGGTCGAACAACAGCAGAGGTTCAGCAAGTTTCGACAGAATGTCCAGGTCAGTATGGTGATTGATTGGGAAATGTATGAGATGGATGGATGGATGGATGAGTGGATGAACAGCGAATGAAAAAGAGGAGGCAATGGACGACGGATGAAGGCCAACCACATGACGAAAAATGATGGCATGAACCGAGATCTGACCTCTGTACTTGCAACTCTTACAGCAAGGTTCAAGCCAGTGCCGTGCGTCAGGCTACCCGTGAGCTTCTCACCTACGCTACGGAGGAGAAGCCCCGTAAGTTCGTTGAGACCGTCGAGCTCCAAATTGGTCTCAAGAACTACGACCCTCAGCGTGACAAGCGTTTCTCTGGTACCATCAAGTATGTATAGGCAATCTACTGTTCTCGGTTGGAATTGGAGCTTATTAGACATCTCCATAGGCTTCCCAATGTCCCCAAGCCCAAGATGAAGCTCTGCATTTTGGCTGACCAGCACCACATCGACCAGGCCAAGTCCATCGGTCTTGACTTCATGTCCGTTGATGACTTGAAGAAGCTCAACAAGAACAAGAAGCTCATCAAGAAGCTCGCCAAGAAGTACGATGCCTTCCTTGCCTCTGAAGCCTTGATCAAGCAGATCCCCCGTTTGCTCGGTCCCGGTCTTTCCAAGGCCGGTAAGTTCCCCACCCCCGTGACCCACAACGACAACTTGGAGGACAAGGTGGTTGAGATCAAGTCGACCATCAAGTTCCAGTTGAAGAAGGTGCTCTGCCTCGGTGTTGCCGTTGGCCACGTCCAGATGACTGAGGACCAGCTTGTCAACAACACTATGTTGGCCATCAACTTCTTGGTCTCTCTCTTGAAGAAGAACTGGCAGAACGTCAAGTCTCTGTTCATGAAGTCCTCCATGGGCAAGCCTGTCCGTCTCTACTAGATATATAGTATTTGGAAGGGATGTATGTGCGCTTTAGTGGGTTGCGCTGGTATCAGAAATACTCACTCTGCAGCGCACCAAGGCATCTCCAGGAAACCGGAAGATGTCATTGGGAGCTGAATCTCTGCTAAATAAAATCAAACTTCGATCTCAATCCTTATTGGAATTTCTTTGACTGGACATATATTCAGTATCTATCGGGCTGGTTTACTACTGATAGCGACACCTCTTCCCTTTGCTAACGGTGTAGGTTTCTTATTTCCGCCAGCAGTTTCAATCTTTGCCTTGCTTACTGGAGCCGGCACTTTGGGATTGGCAATTTTTGCATCTTTTGAGCGAAGCGGTGTGGTTTTCCCTGCAGCTGGTGCTTTGCCAGCAACTGGCTGGTGCGCTACCTTGCTCGCGTCATGGGAAGATATTTTCCATTGCATTGATGTCATCTCTTGTTGATAGGCTATCCACCACTTTTGACTACTCACTAATCCTGGGGGAAGGCGGGCATCTTGTGATGGGTCATGCCCTCCTTCTGCCTCTATCGCGGCCAAGAAGGATTGTTCCGCTTCGCCCAACTTGGCCGGACTTCGGTCATAAATTGGATTCTTGTCATACTGATCCAATTGTGCGAACCCCAGAGCTGTTAGGAATTTTGCTTTCCTCGGATGAACGGCAACCAGCGTTTGCACAATGCTTTCCATGGTGTCACATTTGAGACCCTCAATGCCTTCGACATTGGCATACAGCGACATATATCTTCTCGCTACATCCAGCAACGATCCGCTGATAATCTCTGCCCTCAATTTTGGCACTGGTCCGGAGCAATGCGGGAGAACTTTAATGAGGTCTCGTTGTGCTTCAGACATTATAAACGCGAGCCTTGCGGCTGTTGCACTCCGACGAGATAAACGACGGAGAGTGTCTGGGATGAGATAAATAAGATCCGTCAAGACTTCTGCAGCTTGCTGAGGAAGGCCTTGCATGCTGTAGCCGCTGGCGAGTGCCACATAGGCCGAAGGAAGAAAAGGGTTTGTCAGCTCCATAAAAGAATCTACCAGCATCTGGGAGGGTATCTGTGATGCACGCTTGAGATTGCGGTCCTTGACATCTTGCCACAGCAGGGCAGAGTGTTCTCGTACAGCCTCTTGAAGATACTCTATCCCCTCGAGCAAAATGTCCTCTGTCGGCGATTCGGATGAGAGCAGTGCTAAGCCCTAGTAAGATATTGATTGAGGACCCATGTTATCTGAGAACTGCGATACTCGAATCACTCACCAAAAGCATTCGCGCATTCTTGAACAATGGTTTGTGTCCCACGGCAGTTCGCAGATACTTTGTGGCTTCGGGTATCTGACGCGCTTTCAAAAGTGCGCGGCCCAAGTGAAAACTGGACGATGTGGATGTCAGTCCAGGTCGTGCTTTGCAGAGTCAAACACTCAAACTTACTTTGCGTATGGATTTTCTGGATTGATAGCTACGGCATGCTGAAACTTTTCCAAGACATTGGATGAATATGTAGTAATACCAATTTTCGTATGTCCTTGATTCCAGCCACTAGTCCCGCTTGTGGCTGCGACCTGCTTAATCTTCCAGGCATACAGCCCCTGCACTTCGGCGGCCTTATAATGAGAACCAATGAGATCAAACAATACAATGCGAGAACATCTGGATGCGACGCTGCTTACCTTGTCTGAGAGCCCTTCTCCCTTGAGGCGCTGATACTCTGATTCGATGGCTCTAATTTTAACAGCATCACTAGCCGAACGAGCAATTCCGAGTTGCTCAAGCAAGCCGTCTACTTCATCTGCCATGAAGCTTTCCTGAGCGAGATCATTTTCACTCGGGCCTGTTTCGGTTGCAACGGATATCGGGAATAATTCTTTGGAAGCACAACTCTCTTCGAGCACCAGGCCCAAGTTGAGGTGCAAGTTTTCATCTGCCCCTCCACCCAGGCATGCTTCATGTTGCAATGCAATAGCTGTCGCATATAGATTTGCCATTTCCTCTAAAATGTCATTGTCAGGCCTTTGCTGGCTCTGACCGAAAGATTCTGTCGCTGCCGCTTCTTTAGCCGCGATCAAGCTTCTCAAATAATTCTTTTTGTTCTCCTCAGCAGCTTTAATGCACCCAGCCGAGTCATTTGGCGATCTCTGTCTCCGCACCAACGCGGATTCCCAAGACGATTGTGTGACTACCGTCTTTGAAGGCAGTTCAAATTTACTTGGACACATCTGACTGTGCCGGGGCCGATCTGCCACCCTAATTTTGCGTCCACATACACATGAGGTTGTGCATGCCTCCTTGTGTTTACCATCGAGTATTTCAACAGGCTTGACGCAATTCGACATTTCGCACTCTGAGCACGAGACGGGATGAAATGTACACGATTGTGCGTGATCATATACACCCATCATGTCCAGTTGCTGCTCACATCCGTATGCTGCAAACAGGCATGCAACTTGGACTGCGGCTAATTGAGCTTCCATAGGTACATCAATTGATGGGTTACTGCTCCAGATCTTTTGAGCGGTTCTAGGACACAATGGGCAAGGATATTCCCCCGATCGATGCCCAGCGTTGAACTCTAGCTTCAAAAGGTCTAGGCAAGTGAAGCAGAATCTATGTGCGCACGTCTTATCATCCACCTCGTTGCATGTACGAGGTCGAAATACAAGGTATCCGCATGCAGAACATATTGACTCCCGGGATATGCTGGCGACTGGAGCTAATGCTGGACGAGATCCTTGCTTTTCTGCGATGCTAAAAGTTTATCAAACAGCCCCAGATAACCTGACATCAGCCAACAAGTTCTTTCCGTTATGAGCATACCTTTTCTAGCGATGATTTGATATGTATTAGTGTTGTCTCCATGAGCTGATGTCACTTGAATTGAAATTGGGGTGTCCCCCAAGAACAGCTTTGCCTCTGGGTCGAGCTGAACCTTTGACTTTGGATTCAGTGGCGTAGCGGAGCAGAGAACAGATCGTACGCACGAATCTGGCGAACGGAGGCCGTTGACTATGTGCAAACGACATGATACATCAACTCAAATACATCTTACCGACATGCAAAAGGTAAGTGGTTTCTGATCGATGGAACTCTGGTACGAGGGAACCAGCGGAGAAAGTTATGTACTTCAGCGTGGCATCGCTACCTGGAGGAATGTGATACACATAGCCTTAGCGTTTATTGTAACCGCAAAAGCCACCAGAAGCGCACCACTTGGTCTGTAAACTTGAATAACATAAAGAGAGGATGAACCGTCAGGTGCATCGACTTTAATCTCTATGTCACTTGTCCCTTCTTTGATGGCAACCGCTAATGGAAACCAGTCAGGTTCAACCAATCGGAAATGCAGCCGAATGTCAATGCGACGACAATGAATACACACATTGGGCGGCATCTGCTTTGAGAATCTGGCAAAATGCATCTGGCTCGTTGGCGCTTGCGCGGACTTGCAATGCTACAGAAAAGAATGGGCTTTTTCCAGCAACTACTCAGCTAGAGAGCATACAGAGCCCGTCCGTCGGTATATTTCCTTTACCTTCCGTATCTGATGCTACGTAAGCTGTGTAGTTTTTCACTGTAGGAGAGAAGGCAGGCTCGAATTTTATAACGCTTTTGGTGGTGGGGAGTACTATCGACAACGACTTGAGAGTCGAATCGTCCATCTTGGTGAGCTCCAGGACGAAGAGTGATCTTGGAGCCAAAGAGTGCGCAAGGTGATTACGTCAGCCCCAACGATCATTATTGTTCAAATTAGAGACGACAGTAAACATGCAACACTGGATAAAAATGTACAAGGCACTCGATTTCATCATTATATTATCCCACACCAACAGCCAACTGCTTCTAACTTAGAAACCTATAACCGCAAAAACGTCAGGGGCATGCTAGTAGTGCAATGACGCTAGGGGTTAGAAAACAATTACTTACGCAGCTTTTGGAAGAACCACCTGTTCTTGCCACTGTTGTAACGCTCCTCAAAGAGCTTCTTGACGGCCTTGCGGGATTGAATGCGCTGGGTGGGCTCCTTGACGCTCTCAGCGCCAACAACTTGCTTCAGGTCAATGTCCAAGTTGTACCTAAAGGTAACGGAAAAATGGTCAGGCTACTGCACGTCGAGTCGTCCTCTTGTGAATCCTTGTCTCTAGATCGCATTCCACCATCGCGCCTTGTCCTCATTTCCGCACTTGATCCTCCTGACTAGTCCCCAAAATATGGAAACGGACACGCTTCAGCCAAAAAGAATGCCTCCAGTCCTCCCAACCACTGCTTCGACGCAATGCTCATTCTAGTCATAGAATATGCATCCTCCCAATCGTCGATCCTGTCTACGCAACATTTTTCGAAAACACGACGGCAAGTACCTTGTGGGCATGAGGTGGTTGTAGTTGACGACCTTGACGAAAGGCTTCACGCGGGAGCGCTTGGCAACACGCTTCTGACCCATTCCCTTGGTGACCTTCAATGGGTAGCGCTCAATGCCGGCAACGATGGCGTGGGGGTAGGGGCGCTCCTTGGTGCCTTCGTCAAAGTTCTTGACGATCACCGCCTTCTTTCCGGCATACCGGCCCTGAAGAACAAGCACCACCTAACACCAACAGAGAGAGCAGAACGTGTACCGATCAGCTATCGATTTCAAAATGCAATTTTCTGTCATGTCGTCTCATTATCGTCGCTCCATTCCGGCCCATCCCAACCCCTCCTTCCATCCATCCATTCATCCATCCATTCATCCATTCCACATGCAATTCGAGTATATTTACCTTTCCAGTCTTTAGGAACTTCATGTCGAGGCTATGGGTCAATCACGCCGTTTCGACTATTTGCAAAGTGAAAGAGCAGAGAATGAATTTCCTCCAAGGCGTTTCCTCCCATACATCACGTGATCTATACCTGACCCAAACTTCCCAATGGCTGGTTACAACTAATTGAATGGGTTTCCCAACTCCCTGGCCCGTTTGCCCCGCAAACCCCGCTCATCACCATTTGCTCACGACCAACTGCATTTTCCCTTTTTTTATTTGGTGACTTTTGACTTGCACACTGCTCCTTCCTTTGTTCATCATCATTGTCATCCCACACCTGCACTCGGCTACTCCACTGGATTTCACCTGCATTTGGCTTTCTGAGAGGGTACGTAAGCTCTAGCAACTGGCGCGTAAAAGTGCTTGTCAAGGCTCTTCATGCCCGCGAACAATATGCGATAACTGACAAAATTGCACTTGTTCCCACATCTTCCTCAGCTCCTATCCCCTGTTAGCTCGATAGGAAAGAATTAACTGCGCTGTTGGGGCTAGCTTGTAGAATTGACCATTGGCTTTGGTTGACGCTCTCGCGTCCTTTCGAGGTGCTTTTGGCACATTTCGGTGTCTCTCTTGTGCCCTGCAGGTTTTTGGCCCTGAAATCCTAGCATTTACAATCGTGCACCTCTATCTTCGCAAAGGTGGGTTGATATCCTGGGCCGCCCTTTGGACAGTTGACTGATTCCCTATATTCCCACCATAGCTGCCCACATCAACGAATAACGCTTCTACTTCAATCGCCATGAGCGAACGTTTCAGTCCGGACCAATTTACAGTGCCGGCGGAGTTCCCCGAGATTTTAAAGGACCTGAACCGAGAACTCCTTCGGGCACAACCAAAAGACATATATCAGTTTTGTGCCAATTATTTCCATAGGAAGTTGGAGGAGCAGCGCACAAAGCTCATCAGGCTAGGTACAACGGGTATGCAAACTTTTTTAACTCCTGGCTGCATGCGCTGATTTAATCCATTTGTGCAATGTTCATAATGTCCGCAGCAGGAAATCAAGCGGCTACAGATGTTTTTGGACCGCAAGGAGCTGGCGGTTACGGCGCGGGAGGTAACCCCAGACATGAAGTGGAAGAAGTCAAAGCGCCCGAGTCGGAAGATGAGAATCATGATGACGACTTTGACGAGGAAGAGGATGACGATGTTGAGGAGATCGCTCCCCCGCCGCCTCCGACCAACTACAACCGTGGTCGCCGAACATCAGTAAGCGCGGAATCGATGGCGCCGACTCTTGATAAGGACTACGTAAAACTAGTGATTCCAAAGGCTGACGAGCAAAAACAACGCATTGAGACCGCAATCCGTGGTAATTTCCTGTTCAAAAGCCTAGACGACGAGCAATACCAAGACGTTGTGAACGCCATGGCGGAAAAGCGCGTGGCAGCTGGGGAAGAAGTCATTAAGCAAGGAGGCATTGGGGACTACTTTTACGTCGTGGAGACTGGTGCCCTTGATGTTTACGTGTCGCGCGGGGGGCAACAGCCAGTCAAGGTGGCAGACTACGGTCCGAATGGCAGTTTTGGTGAACTGGCGCTCATGTACAATGCCCCTCGTGCTGCTACAGTTGTGGCTACCCAAGATTGCGTTTTGTGGGCTTTGGATCGCGTGACATTCCGCCGGATACTGATGGAGAACACATCGCGCAAGAGACGGATGTACGAGTCCTTCTTGGAGGAGGTCCCCTTATTGGTCTCGCTGGAGCCTTATGAGCGTCATAAGATAGCGGACGCTTTGGAGAGTGTTAGCTACAATGACGGGGACGTGGTGATCAGACAGGGCGACGTCGGTGATGCCTTCTACATTATTGAGGGTGGTGAAGCCAGAGTGGTGACTACAGATGAGAATGGTATTGAACATGAAATGCCAGGCTTGAAGAAAGGGGACTATTTTGGAGGTATGAGTGGCAAGAATCTGCAGAGGTTACTTTCCTATATTTATCTGCGATATTCTTTACAGAATTGGCACTGTTGAGTGATAAGCCACGACGGGCGACTGTGATCGCCAAGGGTCGATTGAAGTGCGCGACTCTCGGAAAGAAGGCGTTTGTTCGCCTTCTCGGGCCAGTTGTGGATATCATCAAACGCAATGCTAGCAACTATCTCACCTACTCAGAGAGAATCTCGCTCGACTGATGGGAATGTGCAAATGCGTATGGGAAGTGCATAGAGCATTGTGGAGGCTTTCGCGCTTTAGCTAATGGGGTGCATTATTCTATCGCTCTTGCGTTTGAAGGCAGTGTCAAGAGATTCATGTAGCAATAGATGTTCTATTTTAACATTCCAAAAAAAAAGGTGCCAGAATTCTGCATTGCAGCCTTCCCACAGCATTAACAGGGTTAGGGACTGAGTCTGCTTGTTTGGCCTTGTTTATTGGGCCTCTTCTTCTTCCAATTCTGGATCCTCATCAGCAACAGGGGCTTCGATAGCGCGTTGGCGTTGCTTCAGAAACATTTCACTAATCTGGAAAGGACAACATATTAGCTGATCATCTCTAAAAGCTATGTCTCCTTACATTTTACCAACCTGATCTGGCGTCGTTGCGTCTTCCGGTCCTTTATCGCCTCTTGTCCGGATGAACCTGCATGAAGAGAACCAACGTCCAATAAATACGTACAGTTTGACAGAAAGTCGGATACTCTAAACGTACCGAGGGAATCTAAGGCTGGTTATAACAACGCGAATGAAATAAGGAAGATGAATCAACTTCCATCGGATTCCAAAGTCAGACCTAATTTGGGATGGTCTCACCTTATCCCTCGCACTTCATCTACTCTTCCCGCCGCAGCACGATGTACGGGAGAAAGAGTGAGATCAGCACCACGAATTTCCCAAACCTTAGCATTCGTAAGTACAAGGACGACGAGTAACTTTTTTCGGTGTTTACCTCTAGCGGCAGAAACCAAACGTCTGGGAGTAACGCATCCGATACTGCATAGTAACTCTTTGGAGAGTCAACAGTGTTACCGGAGTCTTTTGCATACTTTATCTGTTGCACATGTGGCATTGCGTGAAATATGGTCGGTTACAAAGACGCTTTGATGAATACCTTCATCTCCTTGTAAAATGCATCCGAGAAGCCTAAAGCACAGAGAGCATCAATAGAAGTGATGTGATATACCCAGTCATTCACCATGGACGCACCACTCATACACTTGCACACAGTCTCATATTGCTCAGTCTCAGGGTTATACGCCGCCATGAGAAAAGGGGAATACCAGGTTGCCTTTCTTCCCGTCCCGTACCAAGCCCCAATTGGCACCAGGTCCAGACTATCTGCCAGTCCCTCGACATAGTCTTTCTTGACCTTCAGCCAGCTCTCTGTACGTTTATCTTCGAGAAGCCCAGGAGATATAAGCGTCAGCTCGCGATGACAGGAATTCAACAGCTGATGCAGGTATACAACGTACCTGGTTCATATGTCGCCAGGAGCGTTTCCGAGCCAGTGACAGCTGGCTTATCAAGGATCTTGACCATTAAACCCTCACAGCCCGCTTGCAGTGATCGCGTCAAGAACTCTTGCAGCTGTAGTGGTGATTAAATTCTGTACAGTACCAATCTTTACAGTCGACACATCCTTTTTGAATATACCTCATCAGCATCCCTTGTTTCAATCTATAAAAGACAATGTCTTAGGGGATTGGCCAATGAAAATGAATTCACCGACGATTACCTGAGGCACAAATTCAAAGCGTCCTTTAATCTCCTTGAATGCGGATCTCATAGCGTCTCGTCGTTCTCGAAAGGATCGTTTGATCAAACTCTAGGTGATGATGCGTCACTTAGCCAACATGAAAGACTTCGTTATCCCTTTCTAACTTACTTCCCCGTTTAAATACATTAAATCGAAAACAAAAATACAAACTCCAATAGTGACATCTTTTAAAGCGACGTTTTTTCTGCCTCGGTTGCTTAGAGTTTGGAAGGAGAGGATATTGCCCTGCTCGTCGACTGCAACCACTTCCGAATCAATTATAAACGATCCAGTCGATACTGCAATTGTACTTGGTATTATTGATAATATATCCGGGAACTTGTCGGTTATTGTTTCTTTCGGTGGCATGTGAGCCGAAAACGACAGAGCAGATAGAAGAGAGGACTGTGACCACCAACCCAGATGTCGGGAAAATATCGACACTTGGCCCGTTTCTGATAGATGAATTTGCGCTCGCTGTCCTGTGCCGGGAAGACAGGAAGTCCGTACAGGCTGACAATATTAAGGGCCAATTGTCTCATACCATCATACTTGAAATCTGCACAGTAGTTCAGCCCTTCTAATTTCTCGAACACGTCCTACTGAACCATTAACGCTTCCTGTCGATTTCTAAGCGTTGTAACGTCCTTACCGCCAAATCTCTAGTGATCTTTCCTAACATGGGCCGGATAGGGATCCCGACAGTACACTTGAGAACATCCCCCATCCTTGACAAACCAGTGGCAGGATCCAAGAGGGCGGCCACTAAGCGATCATAGTTGGGTACCTGAGCATAACATTCCTGCAATAAGGAATTAGAATCGTCCCATCCCAGATTTGCACAGCACTACCTACTTTTATAATCTGTTCGGCCAGTTTGAAGCGGGTCTTTATCGCATCCCTGGGCGTAGTTTTAATCTCAGATGGAGCGAAACTATGTTCCAGTACTGCTGCATGACTATTTAGCTCTTCAGTTTGAGATCCGCAAACAGAAATATTTGAGAGATATTCTTCAAACCTAAGAGCAATAAGAATCGTTGTTCGCACGGCCCCAATCCGCAAATGGGACACTAGGGTCCTAGTCAAGTAACGTAGCTCTTCACCCTGAAACGTAAACGGGTATTAATTTTAGTCCGCTTGATGCGACAACTGCCGGCCACACCTCACAGGCCACCATCATCTTCTTGATGAGATCACTTTTCTGGTTTAAGGTTCCTTGTCCTTTCAGTTGTGCTATTTTTCGGAGGGTTTGAAGGACCTTAAATTCTATTAATACATATGGTTACGCAAGTTTGCAACTTGTCACGCACCCCAGAAACTAGCAGCGCTTTTGGCTTAACAAGCATTTGCATCTTGACCCTAGCGGTGAAGACAACATCCCCCCAGTCACCATATTTTTCCCAAGCTGCTTTAACTGCCTGGACCAAAAAAAGCAATTACGAAATACTGACGAACTGGACAAGTGGCAGAAAAGGTCACCTTGGAGGACATATCCGATATGGAAGTTATCGTTTTAAGCAAAATTTGCGGGCCAATACCGAGCTCCACACCTCAACTGGAGTGAGAACATGAATGAGCTGGATATGATGACGCTCCTCACCTTCATAGGGTGGTGCTAAGCTGTTAGTACACAGATATAATGCTGGTAACAAATCTTCTGGCGCATTACGAATGATCGTTCGGAGCATGTTTGTAAGAATATTCGTAATGACTCTTGATCAATAAATATTTTAACATATAGACTATCGTCTACACCTTTGGTATTTACGTACTGCCGCGTCGTAACTCTCTCTACTGCCACAAATTGGTCCACAAGCCATCTGTATGGAGTTGGGCAGCCTGCTTGCCAGTATGAAGGTAGTTCCGCAGAGGAAAATTCGGTAAAGTCAATGGCACAAGACCCAGTATTGAGAGAAGACTGCTCGGTAGGAACTGCCTTCTCTAACGTGGAGTTCGTTGAAGCAGTAGAGCTAGATGCCAATGCGCCACTTATCGTGGTTACAACTTCGCTCGTGCCCTCTTCCTGTGTCTCCGACTCCCATTCCACTTTGACAGTATCAAATGTGCCAGGGGGCCATTGCTCCCAACCTTCGTCGCTCAAAGGCTTTGCGCCGACACTGGCGGTTGCAACGCCTCCCCGCAGAAAGGCGTCCAATGTGCGTTGTCTGCCCGGGCTCTCGATGGGCGGTCTTTTCTTACGCGTTGGAGTGGACGCTGATGTCTTTTGTCGTTTTCGGTCAGCCATCTTGGAGAGGTGAGAGTTGAGATTGCGTTTCCCCAACAAGTTGATTTACGTCATCACGCATTTGATCCGCCTATAGCCGGTTAATGTCTCCACATGATGATTTCGATGATGCTAGTATCTGGGGAGCTCGAAAAAGCCTCACTTCACAAGCAGCGGGAATGAGCAAAATTGGTGGGCGATCAAGGGGAGTCACGTCTATCAGGATATTTTGGAAATGTGTACATGAAGCAACGCCACAGCAACGACGCTTGTGCTCCATACCTTGGCACTATCGGCCAACACGAATTCCAAAAGCGAAACATATTCCCTTTAGGACGCAGCATGCTCCCCGACAGCAAACCATTCCCTTTTCCCGCTTCCTATCGACTGAAAGCACCTCGGAACGTGAATGCTGGCGCTGCGGTGCGAAGTTGCCAAGGTCTGCGGTATTCTGTCCCGCGGAGCGTGGTCTTATCCAGCCCACCTATGATGAAGCAACATACTATGACGTTCTTCTGCCAGAGCTCGCGCCCGGCGAAGCAAAGTTTGCCTTTGATGTGGATGAGCGATTACTGCGAAACAAATTTCTAAGGCTTCAACAGGCTGTCCATCCTGATGGATACGGTCAGAAGTCACAGGTGGGTGAACAAATCAAACGATTAAACTATATACAGCTGGACGTAATTCTGGTTTTGCCGTACGGTCTTTTTAAGACTGAGAAACTTTGCGCAGAGCAACAGTCCTCGTTCATTAACAAAGCATATCAGGTCCTTCGCGACCCACTTCAACGAGCACAGTATCTGCTTGAGCTGAACGGTGTTTCGATTGAGGAAGGCGAGTCCATGAATGATCCCGCCTTGCTGATGGAGGTTTTGGATGCTCGTGAGCGTCTGGAAGAAGCGCACGCGCAGAGTGAGATTGAAGAAATTAGAAGAGAGAATGAAAGTTGGTACTATTACTGTGATCGTTGGAATCATGTGAACTAATCACCAGCGATTTAGAACGGATGGAGGAGACTATCGACCAGTTGTCACAAGCCTTCCGAGACAGAGACTTAGATGCGGCCAAACGGCTTGCCATTCAGCTACAGTACTGGGTGAATATCAAGAAGGCAGCTCAGGAATGGATACCTGGTAAAAGAATCGAAATACATCATTAAAGTCACGCAATTGCAATGTGAAATATTTGTACATATTCGAATCAAAAAGCAAAGCTAGATTGCTAAATTAGCATGTGAGCGAGCAGTGGTAGTGTACAGTAAACCCTCGAGTGTCCAGTATCCCATCCTCAACCAGAAATATTTACAAAGAACTCTCTGAAGATGGATGTAATAGTAACGTCCAACCTTATTCTCCGTTTTCCCTTTCAAAATCGTCAGAGCCCGCCAGGGTATCATCCTGCTGCACGAGCTCCTCAGTGGCATCACCTTCAGGTAAATTACGCAAAGCAGCTGTCCGCGCGGCCTGTGCTCGCATGGCTGGAGTTAATATCTTCGTTGTTTGCCTTGAGGCGGCCGAGGACGCCGCTGAGCCGATGGTGGGGACAGTTCGTTGCCGGGAAAGCTTCACCACGTTGGTCACTGCCATTGGCAATTCAGGTTGGGCGCCTTGCGGCCCTTCTTGCTCTCCGACTTGTGCTGACGGCACTGATGATTCTGCTGCATCCCCTGCTTGCTCAATGTCCTGCTTTTTCCTCCTTGCGGCCGCCCTAGGTACAACCTTTGGTCGGACGCCGACGGCAGCCATGTTGCGACGGATTGGAGGACCCATCGAAACTGGTACCGAAAGTGGTACACCCCCATCATCATCCATAGTGATGCTACCAAGTAGCGTGCCAGCCCCGCGTTCCCCTTCATGATTTATAGATTCCTGTGTTTCCGCGTCGCCATCTCGTCGATCAGCATGCTGTAGCTGCTGGGAGTTACCATCTTCTCTATCTTGGGTAGCAGCAGCTTCGTCGCCATCAAGGGTGGGCGTATTTGCGGCACTTCTCTTCATCGCAGGTATTGCCTCCTCGTCAGATTCATCAGCCAAAGTTTTGCGTTTTGCAACTCGTTGTCGAACCAGGTCCTTCATCTCCACAACTAGATCTTTGGCTGGACGTAAAGATAGCATGCCACTTGTAAGTCAGCAGGCTGGCGCCAAATTAGATATCCAGAGACTTACGCAGGGGCAGTCTCTTCAACAGAGCAGCAGTGAGCCTTCTGCCATTCACACGCTCCTCCGCATTATACTTTGCCTTTACTTGCCCTCTGTTTAGATCTGGAAACATCAGGCAGATCATACTGAAATCCGCTCCAAAATATGATAGGCCCTGCACCACAGCTGGTGTGAGAAATCCCGTCGTAGGACGCGTAGAAAATTTGGCATACCTCATAGAATCGGTCGGTCCTTTCCTTTGTCCATTTCACCCTGCCAAGCCTTTTTCTTGTGCGGAATGATGCGCTCGTAATGTGGCGCTGCATTCCTTCATCAACGTGCTCCAGATCTGCTTCATCCTCCACATGGGTCCGTATGACAAGCGAATCCTGGTCGACCTGCAGTTTTCCATCCACCATAATAAGTCTGGGACCTGACAAACTGTAGAACCCTGTGAGAAAAGCCCATCGCATTAACTTTGTATCTTGGAATCTTTGCCATACTTGATGTCCGGCACTTCGTCATCCACAGCTTCAAACATAGCTGGAGACTCGGCCCGGGTTGTGCTGGGTGTTCCTTCTCTCTTTCCCGCTCTCCTTCTTTGTTCTTTACGTTGTTGCTGTCGAAGCTCCTCAATTCTGGATAGCTTTCCTTTCGGGAACTTGTGCTTTATTAAATCCCCAATAGAGGCTTGCGGAATGGTGGACTCATCGAGATCGATATCCATTGGGGACTCTTCCAACCTATCCTCGTTGCCTTCACCAGAAAGATCTCCGCGCATTGACCTTCGAAGACCTATTCGCGGAATTTGCTCAGGAAGTGCATCGGATAACCCCTGTTGTCGGACATGTGACTCCTCGACAGTGTCTTCATGAGCGCTCACCACCGGAAGTGCCCCCCCTTGCTTTTCAACGCTGGTTGGATTGCTGACACCAATCTGGGGGATAAGCGTCACTTTCGGAAACTTTCGACAACACGGCGATGACGAAGACGCGGGCCTCACATTACCTACCTTGGGAGGACCCAATACACGCAAGACGGACTTCGGAACATAGTCGTCGTCGAATTCATCGTCGATGTCTCGTGACACAAATTTAGGTACGCGAACGGGAAGCGATGCTCCGGAGACGGCGCCTATCTACAGAGGGGATGAGCAAAAGGGCACGGTGCAACCGACGAGGAACGACCTACTCTAGGGGGTGCAGTCGGCCGATTGTTTAATCTACTGAAATTGCCCTCTCCCGCTTCATCCATATCCCGAGGAAACATCTGTGCATGTCCGAGCGACCTAGTAATCTGACGGATCCCATAAATACGGATCGCCTTACAATGACAACCTTCTGCTGATCTGCTCACCACAGAAGGACCAGGAGCTCTGGACACTGGCTTTTCCAAAAAAGATACATCATTATTATCGTGTAAGGGGGCAGTTGATGAAGGAAGTGGAGAGGTATTAGAGAGAGGTGTAGCAGACAACAAGGGGATTTGCGTAGACAGTGCTGGAATTGGCGGGGTTGCTTCGTGGGACACTAATACAGCAGAAGGCGCAACTGAAACTGATTCCACAGAAACTGGGTCGCCAGAAGCGCCCGTCGGTTTGCTCTGTGACGCAGACGCAGAGCCTGGAGCCGGCGTACTCTTAGGTGCGTTTATCCGTTCTCGCCCTGGCCGAGGTCTGACTTTGGGAGCAGGGGCAAACTTATTTGGTCCCCTACCTATTAGCCACAAAAAATAATTAGCAATTACTAGCACTTGGTCTGCCGTTTTCCGTCTTAATAGCTTTCAAGGACACTTTTCCCCCGGCTCAAAAATGACGATACTCACTGACAGTGGATAAAGTAAGCTCAACCATAGCTGAAAATCATGAGCGTAGAGAACGTCTCCGTTATAGCGGCAGATTCGTGGCGGCGGGATCCGCAGAAATGGATATGAAATTAACGAGAATTCAAGCACTGGGGATGGATCGGGATTCTGTAAAAGTAGCGGAATTGCTTGGGTTACAGCTTGTTGGGTTGGGACAAGCTGAGTCATGTGATGGTCTGCCTCGATTACCAAATCAGCAACCCCGTGTGACGCATCGTGTTCACCTACAATGTTCCTTCGCTAATGCTGACAATGCCGTAAAAATGGAAACAGACGCATCCGACGATGATAGAGAATACGAAGAGGAGGAAGAAGATGATTTTGAAGAAATGGAGGATGACTTTATGGACTTTGATGGACTGGAGGGCGAATACGACGACGAGTTGCAGCTTGATAACAGCGAAGCAGTCCAATTTATATTATCAAGCGCATTAAGCCAAGGAGGATCATCGCATCTGAATCCGCGGAAGACGCCGTACTTACATAAGGACAATCGATCCGAAGATGCTACCCAAACCCCAGCCGGAGCAAGTTCTGCCGCAGAGAGGAGGAAACACTCTGTTTACAGGATTCTTAAGTCGAGAGAAACGGGACTCATGAACACGCAAAATACCCTTCCCATTGCGAAGGTATCGTCATGCTGCAGACTTTATACGCGACCATTTTCTAGAAGTGAAATAGGATGCGCGAAAGGGCATTAGTTGCGCGACAAACACCAGTGCTGCATTATGCTGAATGCGAAATTATGGTTGAACTCCTCCAGAGATTTATTCCAAATCAGACCAAGGCTGTGGTTGACAAATACGGAGCTCGCGCTTATTCAGGACAATTTTCAGGTCGGTAAATCTAGAGTTTCCTGCAACACCTAGACAAATGTAACACTAAATATGTTGCTGTCATCTAGAGGATGGGAAGTTCTTCTTCTCCTGTACACAAGATTTCCATGTACACCTTTATGACACCTCGGATTTGAATGATATTAGACGACAGCGGAGCATCAATGCCGAGGTTGGTCGATGGACCATAACAGGTAAACACGAAAGAAATATTTTCTGATCTGCATGTCCGTCCGTGCATGCCAGTAACATAAGAATGCTTTCACTGCAAGATTGTGCACTCTCCCCAGACAACCGGTAGGAGGTCACAGCTGACTGAATATTACTAGGTTCATCACTGATGTACCATAATTTAGGCATATGATCTATTCGTCGATTACACCGATAGTTCATCTTACACGAGCACAATTGGACAGGGATGATCCTGAGCAGATTCCGCTGGACTTTGATCAGCATTTTGATAGCAATTTTGGGGTCAGCTGCTTAACCATTCCAGAGAAAGGCCGATGGATCACTACAGCTCCTATCATAGATTTGGTCGATTCGTTTTTCTGGAGACGGGCGGGAGATTGTCGCAGGAACCAGCAATAATCTTATTGTGGGTACGTTATGTGACTCAACACCTTGAGGCTTACAGGAAAAGTGGCTGATGCACACATGGCAGTATATGACATCGAAACTCGGTCTATACTGCACCAAATACCTGGGCACACTGACGATGTCAATGCAGGTACGTCCCTAGGGTCAGATTTTCCTGACAAATTACTGACATGCAATGTTTAGTCTGCTATGCAGAACCAATGTCTTCACACGTTCTCTTTTCCGCAAGCGACGATTCGTTTGTGAAGGTGGGCGATGGTCTCGATATTGCCCGGTGGATGTTCAATAATTCGTAACTACTACCATGGCCAGGTCTGGGATCGCCGCTCCCTTGGCAGGAATGCACAACCAGCAGGGGTTCTTGTTGGACATACTGAAGGAATCACATACGTGTCTTCGAAGGGCGACAATCGGTACGCTTTAACGAACGGCAAAGATCAACACATGAAAATGTGGTAAGGGGAAAGACATGCTCAGGTAGTGCACGACACAAATTTCATGCGCTCCTTGCAGGGACGTGCGGAAGATGATGGAACCAAATCAAGTGAGGAAAGATCTAACTTTGAGAACTGGGTACTACAGGTAAAACGGCATTTTAAGAGTCGGCGAGAAGAGAAGATTATCAAGACGGACCATTTCACAATATTTCCTTCTATCTAGCGAAGATTGGGATTACAGGATTATGCGCTATCCTGGGTCGGTTGAATTTCGTCATCCAAAGGACTGTTCTGTGCAGACTTTTACAGGACATAGCGGTGGGTTACATTCGGTTCGGAAATGAATGGTCCGAGGCACTTAACGATTGGAGGCGCCAAATTCAGTCCTCAAAACGTTGATTCGGTGTCACTTTTCACCCCCTGCAAGCACTGGTCAAAGGTCTGATTCGTGGGTTGATCAGTGTTGTCGTACCTTCATATGAAATCTCAAAATTTTATAGGTTTGTCTATACGGGAAGTGAGGATGGAATTATCCGCATTTTTGCCCTAGATGGCACACTTGTCCAAGCGCTGGATCCAGCTGACGCGCTTAAAGCGGCTTCGTTTGATGACGCCGAATTGGCAAATCACGCCATCTTTGAGTTATTGCGTCCCCGTATGATGCATAAAGGAGGAGTAAGGGATCTGCTTGTCATGCAAACGTCTGATCGCTGGTTGTTTTGTCAAAATTTTTGACATCCCTCATATCCACAGGTTACGCGGGATGTAAGCTGGCATCCAGACCTGCCGTGTATCGTAAGTGTCCGGAATCTCCCAGTAAGTATTGATTGAAACTATCTCATACGCAACTATAGATATCGACTTCCTGGTGCGGTGCTGGAGGCGCGTTTGGGGCGACCGTGAAGCACGAATATGTAGAACAGTTGAATCCATAGCCTAGTAGATAGGCAATGTACAGTAGTTCTTGATTAAACAATTTTAACCCATGTCAAGTTTGGCTTTCCAATTTGGATGTCCACGTGACAAGTATCACATGATGTCATTGTTCTGTGACCCCCGGTTGTCGCCGATCGCATCTCGATTTGCAAAGCTACGCTTTCCACAGCTGCACAATCCATCTGGCACGACTCGTCGAATTCATCTTCCACCACGCTCCTTTAGTGCCAAGAACACCTCTCCTTGTATTTTACTTCATAAATTCGCTCTAATTGCTGGTTGCTATAATTTTATAAACGCTGACATGACTCTCTGGCTTCGTTCCGTTGGACGGCCCACGTCGCTCACTTTACGAAGAGCCTCATCGCGAATCCCGGCGACCATAGTACGACCTGCTATCATAACTGGATCTCGGCGGATTGTCCGTGGGTTTGCGACGACACTGGTACAAAGGCAGGCAACAGCCGTGAATGATCTGGATCAGGAAACATTGGAAGTTTTGAATGCTGAACGCTACGCAGACGAGGTGGACGTGTGCATCGTTGGAGCCGGACCTGCTGGTCTAAGTGCAGCGATTCGACTAAAGCAAAGAGCCAACGAAGAGGGCAAGGAATTGCGGGTTTTTGTGGTAGAGAAGGGCAGCGAAGTAGGAGCGCACATTTTATCTGGTGCTGTTCTCGAGCCCCGTGCCTTAAACGAGCTTATTCCTGACTGGAAAGAGAAGGGTGCCCCCCTTAACACCCCTGCCGCAAAGGATAAGATGTTGTTCCTAACCGAAAAACATGCGATTCCCCTTCCCCATCCTCCTCAAATGAATAACAAAGGCAATTACATTGTCTCCCTCTCCAATTTTGTAAGATGGTTAGGGGAGCAAGCGGAGGAGCTGGGTGTTGAAATTTACCCCAGTTTTGCTGCCAGTGAGGTAGGGTTCTGAAGTTTGTAGTCATATGCGACGCACATCAGAGTAAGCGTGCGATTTTAGGTTTTGTACGACGAGGATGGGTCAGTGAAGGGTATAGCCACTAATGACGTTGGAATCGGACGGGATGGGAGACCAAAGGACAACTTCGAGCGAGGAATGGAAATTCATGCCAAGGTTACACTTTTCGCTGAGGGCTGCCACGGTCACTTGACAAAGAGGATATCAAGGAAATTTGACTTACGAAAAGACTCACAACCGCAAACGTACGGAATTGGACTGAAGGAGGTAGATGCGTGACATTTCTGACTGGTTTCTGGATGTCGGGTACTCAGCTGGTGATTTTTTTATAGGTGTGGGAGCTTGCTCCAGAAAAGTTTGAAGCCGGTCTTGTCTTGCACTCTGTCGGCTGGCCAATGGACATAAAAACCTATGGTGGCTCGTTCATGTACCATTTCGAGGACAATAAGTGTACAATCGGTTACGTTGTAGCGCTGGATTACGAAAATCCAACGCTAAGCCCATACAAGGAGTTCCAGAGATATAAACAGCACCCAGCTATCCGCAAGTATTTGGAAGGTGGAAAAATAATCAGTTACGGCGCCCGTGCAATCAATGAAGGGGGATATCAAAGTATCCCAAAGCTTGTGTTCCCAGGTGGCGCGTTGATCGGGTGCACTGCTGGGTTTCTGAATGTGCCAAAGATTAAGGGCACGCATACAGCAATGAAAAGCGGTATGTGATTTCGCTACGGCCTGCGGAACAGTAGAACATCTCGCTCAACAAGCTTTCGTTTCATGTAGGTATGCTTGCTGCCGATGCCGCCTACGATGCTCTGAGTGCAGAAACCGAGGGGCCTATTACATTGGATGCGTACGAGTCAAATATTAAGAACTCTTGGGTCTACAAGGAATTATGGGAAGTGCGCAACGTTCGGCCTGCTTTCCACAATCCCCTCGGTCTGTTTGGAGGAATCGCGTATGCTGGGCTTGATACACTCTTGCTCAAAGGACGTGTTCCATGGACATTCAAGCATCCCGAGCCTGACTATGCCACGTTGAAACCTTTAAAAGATGTTAAACCCATTGAGTATCCCAAACCGGATGGCGTGATAAGTTTTGACCTTCTGGAGAATGTTAGTCGCACGGGAACTAATCACGAAGAGAACCAGCCCGTGCATCTGAGATTGCAAAGGGGACCAAAAGAGCAACTCGAGACAAACTATGCAGTATATGGTGGACCCGAACAGAAATTTTGCCCTGGTACGGAGGGTTTCTCCTTTCAATGTGCTTCTGGTTACTGACACAATCCGGGATTTAGCGGGTGTCTATGAGTACCTTGATGACGAACAAAATCCGGGCAAGAAGCGATTCCAGATCAACGCCCAAAATTGTATTCACTGTAAAACATGCGATATCAAGGACCCTAGCCAGAACATTGACTGGACCGGTACGTTCTTTTGGGCAACTATGCGTTGTACCGCTTACTTATCAATCATCCCGCTGCTGTAGTTCCGGAAGGAGGCGGTGGTCCTAAGTACTATTTCACTTAAGTAATGTACTGGTTGGGACTATGAGAATAGATTCCTGGCATTCTGTCGCTTAAATAGACGAGCTTAGGGAAACTCTCGTGTTGGTTAAATATTGTTGGAATATGGCCACGACCCTCCATATCTTAATATAAAAACAAGGTTCATTTGGCAATACATCTAGCAATATGATCCACAATGACAACACAAAAGCGATTCCGCAACACGAATATTGTATTGAAAAATGCCTGTACATATCGACAATCGCGGCAGAAAGACGATTGCCGGCCCAATGTCCCCTTAGCCCTTCTTCTTGGACACACCGACAGTCCTTCCGCGACGGCCAGTGGTCTTAGTGTGCTGACCACGTACACGCACACCCCAGTAATGACGAAGACCACGGTGGGCGCGGATCTTCTTCAACTAGATGTTACAGGGAATCTTTAGCAGACATCTATGCAGACAACTTCTGGCATGCATCCAACTTACGCGCTCAAGGTCTTCACGGAGCTTGTTGTCGAGGGCATTGGCAACGACCTGAGAGTATTTGCCATCCTTAATATCCTTTTGCCTGTTAAGGAACCAATCGGGGATCTTGTACTGGCGGGGGTTTTGAAGGATGACAACAATACGCTCGAGCTCTTCGTTGGTGAGTTCGCCAGCACTACATGACAGGATGTGTTGAGTGCAGGCTCCCCTCATCATGTAACACCATCCAAAATACTATACCGTTTGCTGAGGTCAATGTCAGCCTTCTTGCAAACGATGTTCGCGTATCGCCGACCCACACCCTTGATGTGGGTCAAAGCGTACATAACCTTACGCTTCCCATCGATGTTTGTGTTGAGAAGACGCAGGATGTGCTGGAACTGACCTTTGTCCGGAACAGTAATGGACGCCTAATTACAGATAGACATATGACGCATTAGAGCGGCAAACAACCCTTAATGCACCGTAGATCAAGTCCTTCGAACGGAACACATCCACCATCCACCATTGAGACCGAAGAAATCACTTCCTGTCACCCATCCCTAGACTCTCATGTGACATATAGTTGGCAGTTGTTTCCCCCTCAACATTCTTCGCGAGCATGGCCTTGGCTAAAGTAACTTCAAACTCTGCATTCACCGACCCATCCATCCATCCACCCATCCATCCATCCGTTCATCCATCCGACCATCCGCCACTCTCTTCGTAAGTCTCATCTCGATCTTGTCCAATGATTTGTAGATACGCACCATGTTCACAATGTTCCGTGGACAAAGCGAGTTGCGCGAAAAGGGAGGAACCTCGTCTGTTGGTCGCAGAACTTGGTTATGGATCACCAATTAGCATCACGTGCAGATGAAGAACATGGCACAGTAATTGATTAGTCAGCATAACTAGCGACAGCAAGTCTATTGACCCAATTGAAAGTTTACACACTCCTCAAATATGAAAGCACGACGGAAGGAGGATGATCTGCGCGGAGGAGGGGAGGTATTACCGAATCGGCCGTTTCGCATGTGAGCCTGGGTTTTTGACCGATGCTTCTTGATGCCAGGTGGTCCAACTCGCTCACTCGTCGCTGGACTCGATCCCGGCGACGGTCCTAGCGATAAAGTCACTGGTTATACTGAACTTAAGGTGGGAAATATACTGCCTTTGCGACATGCAATTAGCTATGCCTTGGATGTCAATCACTTACGTTTGCAGACCCGACTTCCTGATCCATATATTATAGTAATAACAACATATCCTCACTACCTCCTGAACTGTGTTCGATTAAAAGCTTGAGAGTACTCCATTTGAGGTATGGAATCCTGAATAAATAGATTCTCTGAAGTAATATTAACAAAATCTGCTGTCAACAGCTCCAACCACCTCACCAGTCTTCCTCCCTGTTTCAATCAGCTGTTCTTACTGGAAACTCTGTCTTTGGGAGCCAACCGCCTAACTTCTTCTGCAATAGAAGACGCTTGCTTGGATAAGCTTGGACAACTGACGAGATTGAATCTTTCCAATAATCAATTGTCGTATGTCCCGGAATCGATATGTGACATTGACACTCTGTTGTCTCTTTCTTTGTCGGACAACAAGATCACTGAGATACCAGAGTCGATGGCAAAGCTTACACGACTGGTATATTCATCAAAACAAGTGGATATTAATCATAGGAGACTGATGTAGTTTAGTAGCAATTTTTCGGCATCAGCAACAACCAGCTATCATCTGTCAATGATATATTCAGTAAGCTGCCGGCGCTGAAAGGTAAGCTCTTCTGCATTTTAAGACCGTATGTTAAATCATGCGCTGAAAACGCTGTCAAATTAGGTATCTCTCTTGCGGGTAATCCTTTCTCAGATCCTATCGGTAGTCAAACGGAACTCGTAGAACTAGGCGGGATTGTGTCCGTAATGCGTAAGTATAAATTGCGGCCTGAGACGGCGCAACGAGACTTTCCAATATATCCAAGCGCACACTGAAACGGGAGAACAGATATCTCCAATTCAGTTCCACGAGGCGCAAAGATGGACATAAAGGCCGGTGAAACCAAAAGCAGTACGTCGCACCTATCGGCAGTTGCGTTGACGCTTACTTGACGCCTCTTGCTAGCGAAAGGTGTCGAACCACCGACGGACGGTGTCGCTCCCATATCAACTGCTTCTCCCGACAAAAGACTCGCTCCTCGGGTCATTACCACGTTACCGGATCCTGTGTTCCCACGCGGGGATCGCTTCAGCGTAGTGAGTGGCGACACACAAGGTACTCTATCTAGTATATCGGAATCGGAACGTGCAACTTTGTTCGGTAACTCTCCAGCCTTCTCCGACCCGCCTACCGTACTGGAAACTATTCCAGCGTTGCAGGCTGCGTCGTCATCTGCCTCCGAGTCTTCCACATTGGCTTCTCCCATCGTTTGCGATTCCGCGTCCTCAGCATCTTCGACTTCGTCGCCATTTTCACCGTTGGCTTTATACGGCTCATCGCCAGAACGTGGTGGAGAAGCTGCCGTGGTTAAGATCTCTTCGCCGCTTAAACATGGGCTGATCATTGAGGTTGAAGATACTTTCTCGATACTGGAAAGTTCTGAGACCTCGGAAAACCACTCCTTATCAAGTAGGGTCAGTTTTGAACGTCACGCTGCCACTCCTGAGGATACATAGCATGAGAGTGCGGAAGCTCTCACTGAAAATCGAGGGCAGTTAGTAGCAGCATAGGCGAATCTTCCTAACTTAGAATTTTGTCCTCAAAATTGGCTTTGAACTGCAATCTATGTTGCAAGATATTGCGACTCGAACGAAGAAACTGACCCATAGCCTACTCAAATATCGTGCGAGGCTATCGTTTGGACCTATTGATCCACCTACTCATTCTCATCGTCTTCTCCACACCAAGTATTGAATAGTAGCTAACAAAGTAGCTTTTGAAGCGCTATTCACACTAACCAATAAATGTAGTCATAGATCAAACTTACTGTTAACAGCGGAGTTCTCAGCCAGGTCATGTGACTTGTAATATGACCAGACAAGCGGAGATTACGTACACAGCGCAGAACGGGCACGAACATGATCCATCTTACAAGACCTAAGAATACAATATGGATTTTGCCAGCTTACTAGTAGTGGGTTGTGAGCCCTGGTACTTCTGCCGTGGGAATCTGTTGCCAGTATGGCAGGCTTACTTTCGTACGCCACCGACATTGGCACAGAACCAGATCTGGTCTGTAAATTGTGCGGCAACATAACCTAGAGGGAATTGCGTCTTTTCCTTAGAAAACCGGCAATGAGTCGATAGCACACCGCGCTTACTGCAAAAATGGTCAACCAGACTGTCGCCGACAGTCCCCAAGACCTGGCGGTAATGCCTGGCTGGCTGGCTCTACCCGCCGACTGAGCCGAGGGAAAACCAGGCCCCAGAGAAAAACCGACACAGGCCCCAATTGGCTCTGGCCGTCGCTGGCCCTTTCTCGATAACTAGAGACTTGAGCGGTCAACCCAAATGCCCATCTTTCGCCAACGGTTTGCGCCGACCAATCAAGATGGAAACAGGTAGTCGGTGTGTTCCCGGAAGAGAATGTCCTTGACGATGTAAAGCGGGACGCTCCTTGTGAGTAGAGGAGGTGTGGGGTGGCTGTTGGGAGCGGCGTGGTTCATGTAGGCGCTTTCCGATCGCAGCGTTGGCGAGGGACGACTCTGCGTGGGCCGTCATTGGGTCCAGGGCGTGGGAATTTTGTGGACCCCGTTGGGTAGCGCGGCAAGTTAAAAACATCCACGCGTCCTTGGAAAACCGACAATAATTCGATGGCAACTACAACCAAGAAAAAAAAATCGACAAAGAGGCAGAAGAAGCGACAAGACAATGCGGCAACGATTCGATGGCAACTTCAACGAATGTGCCATCGAATCAGAAGGCTTCGCGAAATGGACGTTGGTCAACATCAGAGAACCGGTGATGATTCGATGGCATCTTCAACTGTTAATAAAAGAAGAATCGATCGACAAAGAGTCAGAAGAAGTGATCATTGATGGTCGTAAAAAACAGGAGTGCGCCCCAGCGAATGCAAGATCGCAGCAGTCATGTAGCGGGCGCCGCAGAAAAAGAGTACTAAAGTGCTCATCGCACAGCGGCCGCCCCTCACCGAAGTACAGGACGACGAGTTCCGGTCCCGGTTCACCATCGAGCCGCTGGAGCCGGGCTTCGGCGACACCGTCGGCAACTCGCCCCGCCGCACCCTCCTGTCTTCAATCCCCGGTGCCGCGGGCATGAGCATCCGGATTGAGTGCGTGCTGCACGAGTTCTCCACGATCTCGGAGGTCAAGGAGGATGCACCGATATCGACCCGCTGATCGTCGACGTCGAGACCAAGCTGGCGATGCCGCCCCGCGACGTGGTGCGTTGCCGTCAGACTACTGAAGTAGCCCCCCGACCCCGGAGACCCGACGCTCCCTGAGGTCCACCAGCCTCTAGCGTGGCCCGGTCAGCAGCCCGGCCAGCGACGCGCCGGCCGACAGGTGATGCACGACCTTGAGCGTCACGGCTACGTCCTGGAATCGGGCACGGTGGGCAGGCCGCCGAGCCCGACGACCTCCACCGGGATGCCGAATCAGGAAACATGGTACTGATGGACCTTTAGATGTATTATATAAATGGTCTTAATCTTCCCTTAAGTTTTGAAAGAGAAACCATAATAATATCTTATACGCGATACCTGTAAACATAATCCAAACAGACGGTCTATCTATTTTACTGAAGCGACTCATAAACAGATCATTTCTTCACAATTATGTGTCTAACATGTATACTACCTGCAGGTTGTCTTAAAGTTTCCTGCGTTTTTGTTAGATTTCGATATTAACCGCTCGCTTCTTCGGTTGTAACTATCCTGAATATCCTACTTTATTCGGTCCTATCCGTCTTTGCATAGCACCCATTACATTTTTTCCGGCTATGATCATTAAGGCGACTGATCGAACTACATATAATACTACTATTACTGCTGCTGGGCGCACGGAGTGGGACATTCGGGTTACGTAGATGGCCGTGAAGAATTCCGCGGCAGTCCTTAGCTTCATCGCGGGAGAACTGTAATAGGCGCAGGGGTCTAACGTGTGTACGTACTATTCGGCCGTGCCCGCCAGCGTCACAGCAAGGCCTCTAGCGGCTTCGATGGCAATCTCGGCAAAGTCGTGGGTGGCATGACACGGCCACGTGGTGAAGGGAGCCGTTTTGGCGCATCCGACGGCGTGCTGCGGGACCTCGGCGTGGAGCCTAACCGCCGTCTCGCACCTTTCCAAGCTTTTTCTGCACGTTCGGCAACCATCCCCGCTGGTGCTTCTCCACCGCCGGGGGCCTTGATGTAGGGTTCCGCAATGTGTGCTGAGAAGGGCTGACCCTTCGCGTATGGTTGCTTGGCCCCATCGCTCAGCCAGTCCTGGTACCCAGGTGTTCTGAGATGGGCATTGAGGTCGTTCTAAAGCTGGACAATCCACCCATCGACCCAGACGGTCACCTGGATACCGAGCACTCGATTGATTTTTGTACTCGCAAAAGCAGAGCTCGAATTCATCCATGGGTATCCGTCTTCGTGTGCCGAGGCGACTTGGGCTCCTTGTTGAGCCAGGTGGGTATCGCGGGAGCTGCAGCGGCCATCGTGATCATTTTGGAGATGAAGAAAACAGGTTCGGTGCAGCAAATAAGTAGTACGGTGATTGTGTTGAAAAGGAGGCCGGACAAGTGGTGAAGAAAAAAAGGGGGCATCCTTCTAAGCTTGCCTTCGGTCTTAGTGAGAGCCAGCGATTGCGTAAGCCCGATCGAGAGGCTTGGCGTGGCTTTTAGAAGGAGCGTGCACCAGGCCATGGTGTGGTGATGTTAGACCACATCTTCGGTTGCTAACAGGCAGCAATGTTTGCCAAAAGCTGAGCCCCTCCGCGAGCTGGGACATCATCGGTGTGATGAAGGAGAAATCGCAAGTGTGAATGCTTGCTGGAAAGTCCTCGAGTGATTCTAGTAAGCATGCTGCGAGGTACATGGCTTCCCGGGCGGCGGCGGTTACACTCATATATTCAGCTTCTACTGTAGACGAGGCGACGGTGAGTTGCGGGAAGACCAGGAAATAGCCGTTTTATCAGCGAGGAAGGCGGAACCAGTGGGCGATTGGTGTGTCCACGTCCGCGGTGAAAAGCCAAGCGTTCTGGTTCCTTGAGGAAGTGTAGGATGCGTGTAGCTGCTGAGCAGTGGTTAACTGTTGGACGAGAACGTAGCGAGCGAGAAGATTTACGACGAAAGCATTATCTGGTCGTGTGCAGGTAAGCCATACAAAGCTTCCGACAGTCCACCCAGATCGTTTGCCGTCATGTAGTTTGCTGTCGATTTTGAAGGTGCTGGTCAAGGTGTCCATCGGGGTAGCGATAGAATTGCATTCTGCCATACTGAAGTAGAGCGTCTACGTAGCCAGTTTTTTGAAGGTGATAGCCGTCGTTGTGGATGACTTCCAATCCCACATAGTAGCTCGCCAAGGCGTTTTCAGCTATCTTGAATTCTTGAAAAGGGCCGCTGTGGGATGTCCGTGTGTAAACCCACGATAGAAGGTCGCGCACAACCGCTGCAATTATTATCCCAGTCCTTTCTTCAAAGTAAAGGCAGTCTCTGCCGTGATTCTTTTGAAACTGTCCGTCCGAGCTTGGCTTCTTCATGTCTACTGGTAAACATCCTGTGAAACTTCTTGTTCCAGTACCCTGGCGATTGTTTCGGGCCGTAAAGAGCTTTCTGCAGCAGCATTCCAAACGCAGAGATGGCTGACATCTGGTTTCTTGCTGTACCAGGCTTCAAAAGGGATTTTGCCGTTGAGGGCGGAGTGAGATGTCTGGTTTTCTGGGTTTGCTCCTCCTGACTCGTTGGCATACCACGAAGACACTTGAGAGCCGGCGGAAGCCCTGGCCAAATACCGGCGGTCGCGCACACCCACCAATTCGTTGTTGGACGACTCCTTGGTTGTCACTACAGCTGCGGGCGCCGAGAAAGACCCAACTGGGCGAGTAGCCTTAGGAACAGCTTCGCACAGCTTCTGTACCCCCACTAGATCTCAGAAGTCTTGCCGAGCTCACCCACCGAGGCGAGAAAACTCGGCTGGGGGGCTTACACCAATCTTGGCTACGCAGATGCAGTCATCACAACTGCCGGAGGCGTCAACAGCCTGGCATGTAGTCTCCATTGAAGCGACGGTGGAGCGGGACTGGAATTAACGGAAATGACTAGAACGACACCTTAAGTGGAATGACCGTTCAATCTCAATAGAGCCTGCTGTGAAAAAAGTAGATGGAAGAAAGACATCAGGGGCATGGATACCTAACTATAATACATATATTAGGAATGAGGGTGAGAGTGGTGCTGTAGATTTGCCATAGTAACGAGTGCCCAATTCTTGACACAAGTAATTGGAATGTCGCTGCGCATCGCTTTAGATACATATTATCATGTACAGGTCTACCTAAACTGCCGAAAAATATGGTCGCGACTTCCTCATTGCCATTTGAAAATCCCCTCGTCTGCAAAAAGTGCATGCTCCATGTTCTGTACACAAAAGTATAGGTACAGAACAAACCCGCCATCAGGCAAAGGGTTAGTCGCGACGGTACCTCTTCTCACGGCCGTCACCACGATCACGACGAGGACTACGTGAGACGGAGCGCGTGTTGCTTCTTCGGCGCTTTGGATAACTGTCTCTGCGATACCTATCACCCATCCTACCCCTACCACCGTCTCGCCCGGGACTGCTCTCGTCTTCTCTGCTGTAACGGTCATTTCGACGATCACTCCTCACGGACGACCGCTCTTTTTCTCCGTTGTAGCTATGATCCTTTCTGTCGTCATATTTCGAGTACCGTGATCTTGCTCGGTCCAGGTCCGGGTGAGGAGCCCGCGTGCTTCTGCCAGAAAGCCGCGCTGAATTCGAATGGTCAGACTCAGACTCAGACCCAGACGTGCTATCTGAGTCGCTGTCATCACTTTCTGAATCACTCTCGGAGTCACTGCTAGAATCCGACGAGTCGGAAGAATCTGTATCCGACTCGACTTCCTGCTGCTGAGCCATGATCAATTTCGGCGCGTTCTTGAGGTACTCTCGCAGATCCTCTGTTAGACCACCAAGACCGATACTTGTGAAATAATTTATCGCAAATCGCGTATTGCGAGGATTATCTTTTGGGAACAAACCCTCGAAAACACCACGCGTTATGAATCCGGCTTCTGTCTGCACTTGAACGATCATGGTTGGCTCACTGAGACGCTCATAGAGCTTCTTCAGACCAAATGCTTCGCACAAGTCTTGGAACAAAATTTTGATGAAAATACGTGAGGACGATGTCGTGTCTGCTTCGGTAAGCCTTATTAAAGCGAAAACCTCCCACGTGAGAGCATCGGAAGAAAGAAGATGAGCAAAGAACTTCGCGATGTTTCGGAGTCGATTTGTTTCATATCGATGGATGGTCTTGTAAGTTTCTTCAAAGGCCTGACAGAAGGCATCCGACCAAGCTTTATTGATTCTGCAGAAGCGCTCTCCCAGAAGACCGTAGAAATTAACATACGTTCTCTCTTGTCCACAGCACTCGATAATCATGTTCACCAGCTCCATTTCCTGCCCCGGCTGGATTTTCAGCTTCATGCACTTGTGGGCACATTCTTCAAAATTCAAACTCGACATTATAGTCAAGTATATGGCACGTCTCAGGTTAATCAGATTCGTATTGGTCTCATCCTGTATTTGCAGTCGCTCTTGAGCAGCGCGGACCATCCCTGATTCATCTTCCTCCTCTTCATCATCACTGGCTTCCTCCTCCTCATCCTCGTCATCGGAGCCTTCTCCCAGTATCTCCTTCTTCATCTGCTGATATTTTTCCTCATTTTGAAGATAATTAGGATCATACTTGAAAACGTTGCAGCCCTCCTCAACGTTAATATCCTCGTCGTCCAAAGAAACCATATGGGTCATTTGATCTTCTTCATCTACCAAATCTAACTCCTCTGGGACCGCCGGATTGTCTTTGAATTTATCCTTTCGTACTTGAAAAAGCACCTCAACCATGTACTGTGTACGCTTATCGATGGCCCCTTCATGCAGAATCGCCCGAAAACGGTCAAATACTCCGTTGGTGGCTTTGGGCGAGATATCAGACAAATAAGCACCGCAGTCTCGCATAAATCCCACTCCGACCTCGACCGAATCATCGGTGGGTCTTTCCAGGAGCAGAGTCAGTAGCTGTAAGGCTATAATCTCGTGCGCGACCTTTTGATTGACAATGTGGGCAAGAAATTTGGCTCCCGCAAGGCAAACTGCCTTATCGCTTCTTTTATATGCACGACGAAATTGAACCACCAACCGTATCAGCAGTAGTTCACCAATTTGTGGAAATTTCGTGTTGACGACAGCGACCAAGGCTGCATACACAGGGGTGAACGGTAATGACGCAGCTTGAGCCTTCATAATACTCCGACATAGCAACCCACGGCCGCGAATAAGGTTCTCGCCGAAAAGTTCCACCACAATATTTTTTATATTGCCAGTATTCACTTTGTTGATCAGACCATTTATGCTCTTCTTCAAAGCTTCCCATGTCATTCGTTGGTATTCAGGGCTGCTTTTGTCAGTGATTGCTGCCTGCATAGCCCTGAGCCGTGCGGGTGGAATATAGGCACCCCCCGCTCGTCCAATCGTTGTCGCGGGCCGGTCCGTTGGCCGTTCCACTGACTGGATCTGCTCGCTATCATTGTTTGGAGAGTATGATCCAGACGAAGGGGTGTGGTGCGATGGAAGCGATGCGGAAACAGGTAGCGGACCAGGTGAAGGAGACATCGAAGCAGATGGACGAAGCCTCCTATCCTCAGCAGGGGATGGGGAGCGATTCCCGTGAGAAGATGTACTTTGAGGGTCTGAATCCGCTCCAGCCATGATGATTTCGAGTTGTCTTCGCAGAACTGTACGAAGGGCAAATGCAGAAGCGCAGTCAAACCAAGTTGGCACGTGATCCTTCATATGCACGTGATTCGTCGTGATGACTGGCTCAATCGCAACCGTTCATCGCAACCGTTCAAGCTGTAGGCCGATTTGTGACATGTCAAGAACAACACATACCCTTGATGCGGAAGCCCATCTATGTCACCTTCAAATAGCTTCAACTGCCGAGGAGAATTCGGTGTCCCTCGGGATTGATATTTTCGATGCATTACTGACATTTAATAGGACGGGCCGTGTTTTGACGATTCTTGGTCCTCTTGGTCTTCAAAATACTTCTGGCTTATGTCCCTTACAAATGTTATCGCTTTGCAGAAAATCTCACTCCCATGTACGTAGACATGTGGATTTGTTAGAGTACAGAGCAAAAATCCTTAGAAGATTCTGGGAATGACGACTGGCGCGAACTTATATGACCCTGACATAAGCAAGCTGACAGAAACGAGAATTGCAGATGGTGTATTCTGGGTGTTCTTTCATATGCCCCTATGAACCATCGGAATGCTGCCGATATGCATCGACCTGCTAGCGCCCAGCGACGAATCCTTCCCGATTCAAAACGTCGTGTCCCAAACCGTCCGCCGATTGCATCCCCAGCCTTGGAACTGAACCACTTCCCCCATACATCCGAGTCTGTAACAGCGCAATTCCTCCAATCTTTCCCGCAGCTGTCTCCTCCGCATCGACATAGCATTCTCCTTGCTCTTCTTAAGCAATGCAACCCCGCAGACATGGTATTTTTAGCTGCTGTTATGCCGCGGCTTCACAGAGACTTCTTGCGGCTTCTCCCGCGAGAAGCTAGCCACCGCATTGTTTTCTATATACATCCGCGAGACTTTTGCACAGTAGCACAGGTCAGTAAGGCATGGCGCCAGGTTTTGAAAGACAGGCTCCTGTGGCAAAAGCTGTATACTCGAATTGGACTAGGAACGTTGGCCACAGAATATTATCAATGCCATGAAGCAATGAAAATCAATGCGAAGCGTCTTCACTCATTGAGCAATTGGACTGAAGGTCAACTAGAATGCATACAATTCAAGGCGCACAACTTGGCCATTTTGTCTTTGTGCTTCGATGGAAAACGAATTGTGACTGCTGGTGCAGATAAGCTGGTCCGAATGCACGACGCGATCACAGGTGAATGCGTGATGAGTTTAAGTGGACAGGATTTTACATGTGTGCAGTTCGACGACCGCCAGATTATCACCGGAAGGTAGGAACTTCAGTTCAATAAGCCAAAAAGGTACTAACAATGTGCAATATATATCAGTGCAGATGGTATGGTGCGCATATGGGCGAGCAAAACCGGGACGCTCTTGCATGCTTCCGTGGGCCATACGGATGCAATCACTTGTCTAAAATTCAGTTCTATGATTCTGATAACCGGTTCGGCTGATCGAACTGTGAAGATTTGGGAACTGGCTCAAGCTCCGGCCAATAATTCTAAAATTTCTCGGAGTCGGTCACCCACCAGAAATGGTCGAAATACGAAAACTGTTGCCGTTGAGAATCAGTTGGATAAAGTTACTATGCTGCGCACGCTGACAGGACATCAGGCCGGCATTAAATGTTTGGACTTCACGCAATATGTACTGATCAGCGGAGATGTTCAGGGTTGTCTTCGAATATGGCACGTCCAAAGGTGACAATGTGTTGTAATGGATAAATATCAATTATGTCGAAGTGTGGCTCACTTGTCATTACCATAGCGGAAACTGTCTGAGCATCGTAAAAATCCATACGTCTCTCGAGCTGCCTGTGTTCTTCTCCTTGCGAAAAATGCACCACGATGCAGATATGAGAAGAACATCGGGAGGGGATCACGATCCCGTCTCGTGTATCTGCTATAATGGCCGATCTTTGCTATTCAGCACCTTCTCAGGGCGAGTGTTTTTCTATGATGTGTGTCCATACGAAACTGATCTCGGATCAGGTATCGTTTATGAAAACATACGGGATTGGGCAAACGCAAGAACTACCTTCAAACTGAAGGGTGTATATAAGACAGACGCGGTACGAGTGGCATCCCGACCTGTAGCTACCTTATCCACTCCCAGACACACCACGGGCACTGGAACGGGGCCAGTGGCGGCTGACGGAAATGCAACTGAGAACTTATTGCCAGCAACCACAATGCGTAAATGGACTTTGTGCGCGCAATTGGATGAATGGAAATTGATAGCTGGTAGCAGCGACGGGAGGTGCATCGTATGGAATCATTTGACAGGGAAAAGCATGTATTGCCTGAAAGGGTGCACAATTGAAGGCGGAGAGGGACCAGTCCTACTGATGGGAGAAAACTGCCAGAACGAAGTTGAGAAAGCAGTAACCGGGCTCGCATTTGATGACAAGTACGTAGTTGTTGGAAGTGCAGATGGGCTGATACGAGTGTGGTCCGCAAAAGAAGGCACGGTGATATGAAGGTCCGAAATAATGACACATGAACGGATCTCCAGCCGAGATGCTGAGTACGATATATCGAGGTTCCTATCCCAGAGATTTGTCTCAGCGATATCATCACTGCAATCCCAACGCCATGGTGTTTTGGGGACACCTGCCAGTAACCAAGCGCCACCCAGTCCGGTGGGTGAAGCGATCCTTCTCAGCCCTTTGATGGTTATAAATACCAAGACTATTCTATCCGCGGACTTCTGCCAAGCATTTCAGTCCAACAGTGGATGGACGCGAAATATTACCTGAACGATGATTTCCCCAAATTAGAGGGAACGAAATGTGGAGGGACCGACACATTAGTTGTATTAGTACCCACACCCCCTTGGCATGCTACATCTCTTCCGCTCTTATAAAAAGACAGACTGTGCTATTTGCCGCTCTGATACAGAAATTGCTTTTACAAGACATAATTCTCCAGTCATTAAGAATGCTTAAACCTACATTCATCAACCCTAAATACCACCGAATACCACTATTACACACCATCAACGTCAATGCCGCCTCCGGAATTCGCCTTCTTTAACCGCATCCCAATCTCCACTTCGTAGTTCAACCCCACTGCCAGATCTTTTGCCTTTGTTGTAAGTCAAGGTGGCTGTATTCAGAGGTCTTCCCACTCGAGGCTTGCGGTTCCTTAAACTCTTAGACTGTCCTTCATTCGGTTCCAGCGTGTCTTCAGTCTCTTCTTCTTCATCATCACTCCTCACATCTTCGGCCGTTCCGCCTCTGACCACCTTTATGACCACTTTCACGATCAGGGCAAGCCAGTAAAGAAGCAATATTTGCAAGGCCGCGAATAGTCCTAGGAATAACCAGTACACCTTCATGGAGTAGAAACACTCGGTGCCCCAAGGATCCCATACTCGTGATGTCTCGGGTATGTATAATAACGAATCCCGCCACATGGACACGCAGACAAGTAAAAGATACCAGTGTCGCGTTATCACCCAGGATACTGTAAACACCGCAAAGGCGACATCGCAAATGGTTTGATGACGGGTGTATTTTAAGATCTGATGGCCAATCCAGAATAATGCTTTAGTTTACCAATGACACCACCAATATCCATATAAAAACGTGTTCGAATGCAGCTTTACCTTAGCCAACGGTAGGAAGATATCTGCCACGTCAAGCAAAATAATGACGATGTGACCCACGCGAGTGAAATTCATATAATATGATGTAGCAACCAGCGCAACCGTGATGGCGTGATGAGCAGCCAACGGCCAGAAGTCTGATCGCTTTGGCGCATGGGCCAATCTTCGCCTCCCTTGGAGCTTCGCGCGTTCGAATGCCACCCGCTGAAAACCCTCAATCGCAAGAGCAGCGCAATGATGCAACCAATATCCCAAAATACTAAAGTAGAACAACTAGAGAGACACAGTCAGGAGCGGAATTAGGATATTGAGGACGTGGGCGATTGTAACCATCACCAGGCTCAGAGGGGTAAAGCTTGTTTTAATTACCTTAAACACTGGGTCCAAAAATCGGTGTGTATGCGGATATCCAAACCAGAAGTGCTTTTGCCCTTCCCTCTCTCCAAATAGCGCTGGGGCGTAGTCTTTCCCGACCAAGAGAATAGAACCCGCAACGCAGGATGCGGTGTGGCATATGAATAGCCACGCTTGTTCCGAGAACTTTAACCGATTCATTCGACCACCCGCCACTCTCATGCGTTTTGCCAATACGGGAAAGACAGCAGTATAGAGATACCTCCGCAAAACGAGGAAGAGGGCAGCAAACAGTGATGCCAGGATGAAGTCATTCCAGCCTTTATGGCAGAGGCCCGTTTTTGGGTTATAGTTCAGTAGCCGAAGTAGTGGGTTCGGTAGCGACAAAGTTGTATGGGGGTAGAGTGGAGTTGCTTGGAACGCAAGGTGGGGGGCGTCGCCAGCCATCGTGAAAGGGACGTCGGCTTCAGATGGGCAAGGCCTCTCAAACGTCTGTCACTGGGACTAGTAAGATCGCAACGTACGTTTGAAAAGTACTTTCTCGCCAATGGACGATTTGCAAACGCCGATTTCAAAAATGAAAATATATTGCTGCAGTGCAAAAAAAGGCGGAGAGGATGAGCGGTTGGCCCAAGCACAACAATTTTTCGATGACGCACGCGTGCAGGAGAAAACCAAACGCCTACGTAATCACAGAGCTTGCTCTTTCTGCATCACCCTCGCAATGGTTGGCCAAATGGAAGATGCATGCAAATCTATACCTCATGTAATTGCGTTTGCGCAGGAATATCCTCAAGTTTGGGCATGATCTGCTTTGTGACCTTTTTTTTTGCTATGGTAAGCACATGGAAACTTGAACACCTTGACAAGGTTAAACCAAAACGCACATTAAAGCGCACATTGCAAAAGCCGATACTGCAAGAATATTGTTATAGCGTCTAGAAGGCATTTTCAGCAACGGTTACAAGAACATCAGTATGAACGCAGCCAACTGATCTTGCTACGACTTCAGTTGGTCTTTTGACAGGACCAGCATTGAAAGTCACGTGGAAGAAGTGATGGCGGTCTCGTAAGCTTGGAACAGCGTTAACAGAGACGGCGGACTGACCCGACGCGAGAGCGATCCACTGCAACATGCTTTGTTTACCTTCTCAAGTTGATATATCCTCATATTGGGAAACGGTAAAGGTGAGTAACTTGTTATATCGCTGCTCAGCTCACACATGTGTCCCCTACAATAAGGCCCCCAAATGTTAGGAAAATGATCTTTTCCTCCTCCAGCGTCTCAAGGAACAGGAGGGTACAGCACTAAAATCACTCTGGGCCACTATACAAAATGTGTAAGTGTTCGCATGCACGGGTCTCGAGCTCGTAGAAAGTTTTATGCAAGCAGTCGTCACACTCTAAATCCAATGAACTCCAGACTTGACACAAAGCAGCCACCATTTCGCATATTGTTAAGAAGTGCCGAAAGTCCCGATGTCGGACACATGGTTGCAGTAAGTTGAAAGACGTAATACACTATCCTGGGAGGATTGCTATTACCGGTTCCTGTTCACTATGTTTAGACCGCCGACACCCTTAAGGCAATGGAGAAAGACTGGACTTGGATACAAGGTACTCAAACTGTGCATGCTTTCATTTGAACTATATCTCTTGACTGTAATGTCGTTTTCAGAAAACTTGATGCCCGAAGTAGTGGAGTTGGAGGATGCATCTGATAAAGAAGCATATGCGGTATCCAAATTCCAATCGCTGGTGACGAGTGAAGGTACGCCCCCCCCCCCCCCCCCCGCTATCGCCGCGACGGTTCATTACAGTTGCACTGACTCCCAAATATAAATACAAAGAAAAAGACACGGACGAGAAATCCAGCGACGCAAAGTTTCGAGCCGCTGCACGCTCATGGCGGCAGATTTTCCATCTGCCTGAGGACGAACGACTGGTGAACTGTACGCACCTTTCAACGAAAATTGCGCACATATTTACGATATTCTTATCGTGCTCAATTCAGTTTATAGCTGCTCCTATCATAAAAAGCTACTGAACCAAGGCTGGCTGTATCTATCGGTGTCGCATCTATGCTTCTACTCCTTCGTCTTTGGGGTAGAAACGAAGGTGATGATCGAGTTAAAGGACATTGAGGAGCTAGCTAAAGACAAATCTAAGCGCGGAGTATTTGCGGATGCCATTAAAATAAAATTGAGAAATAAAACAGAGGTAGTGCCTTTGAAAGTCGCGCGTTATTCCCGAGTTGGACTTCTTATATTTGTTTTACTATCAAGCATGTGTTTTCAAATCTCTTCCACCGTGATGAGACCTATGATCTTCTAGAACACTTGACAAACCTTGCTATGCAGAAACTGTTGAAAAGCACAGCCACGGAGCCAGCTCCTGGGTTATCGTTGCAGGAACAGGAACAGAGCTCTATTACTGGGATCGTTGGTTCTTTAAAGGGCCCGGGAGCGGGTACGCGACCTTTGAAGCAAAGCTTTGAAGAACAGAAGAGAAACGCGAAATTTCAATCAGTCTTTAACCTGCCCGCAAGTGAAAGTCTCCTCGAAGAAATCACTGCAATATGCACGATCTCAGGAACGAAGTCAAGCTTCAGTGGAAGACTCAGTTTATCAGATACTTATATTTGTTTCATTTCCTCGGCAAAATATCAATGCTATTTGGTTCTACCTTTCTACGCAATCATGCGGGTAGAAAAGATAAACAGTCAAATGTCGACAATTGCCATAACTGTTCGCCATCAACTAAAACTGCATCTGCAAATGACGAGCGATAAACAGTCCGCGGACAAATTCTGTGGGACGTTACGTGACCGACTCCAGGCGCACGTCGGACTGATGAAGCGGCTGAAGGAATTTCTTGCGACTTGTCCCTCAGAAGAACTACTGAACGGCAAAGAAGTGCAGATGGGAGGTTTGGGTCTTAAGTATGGGTTTGTGGACGGCAAACGGTATGTCTTGAAACTCTCTTGTATCTTGCATCTTGCACAGAAGAAAGGAGGAGCCGCTTAATCAGCGTGGAATTACTGTTGTTACAACAGGGCAGCTGAGAAAAACAAACTGCGCTACTGGGTTGCTTACTTTCGAGGTGCGTTCGTTATATGCCTGATACATACTGGAGATTGAGAACCCACGGAGCTTGAATCGCAGAGTTTGGGCGAAATCTTACCTTGATCCGACTGCCTACTTTCATTAAGCTTGTCCGGATAGGACTGCCGAATACTTTGAGGGGTAATTGTCGTGCTCCCGCCATTCACATGCAGAATATGCTTCATACCTCGTTATAGGGGAGATTTGGGAAGTTTGCTGTGGAGCGATCCATAAGAGGTACGTGTACGCTTCACAGTTTTTATTGCGAATGGAGTCTCATCTCTCAATATCAGATACATGAACACTGGCTATTATGAGCAGCTGCATAGAGACCACTCCGGGCAGGTTTCATTGTCGACAGAAGAGATTGAAAAAGACTTGAATAGGTGGGATGTGGTCTCCGATGGAATTAAAATATGGAAACCTAACCAGAGTCTTCTGGAGTAAAGGAGCTTACCAGAATACAGTGGGTAAGGTTTCATACTCTATCGGACGATGATCCCGAGCTTGCCGGAAACCTGCTTACTTGCCTTTAGATATCAGACAGAAGAGGGCATTAATGCCCTTCGACGTGTTCTATATGTGAGTACTGACTGAAACATGAGAAAGCATATTTATCGGTTGACAGCATTTTCTTGCTTTCTTCGGTCAGGCGTTCTCGTGGCACGGTACGTGAAGTTTTGGTGCAAGATGTTGCAGGTCGTCTGACCAACAGTTTCTGCGCACAATGCCTCGATAGAACCGGAAATTGGTTACTGCCAGGCAATGAACATTGTTGTGAGCGTTCTCCTCATATATCTTACCGAGGAGCAAGCATTTTGGATCCTAACGGTACTATGCGACCGTATGCTACCAGGTTATTACAGGTCAGAAAGTTGCACTGCCTCTCCATTATCAAGATGTATTCACGTTGTCTAAACCGCATACCATTTGTAGCACCAACATGGTGGGAGCGGTCATTGATAACCACGTTTTCGAAACGTTGGTGAGTGGTTTCTCCATTCTTGCAAGACTCATGTTGCGTAAACTCATACCTCGCTGCTGTAGGTTGCAAAATATATGCCCATCATGGCGGAGCATTTCAAAAAGAATGAAATACAGCTTTCGGTCGCTTGTTTGCCTTGGTTCCTTAGCTTATATATCAACTCGCTGCCCCTTCCGTATGCACTCCGCATCATTGACTGCTTCTTTATGGAGGGACCGAAGGTGAGTCATACGCGTTCCAATCGTGTTCCATAGCTAGTCTCTCAGCTGTGTGACATATATCGTCCATTTTAGGTTTTCTTCCAGATAGGGTAGAGTCGTAAAACATTCTTTGGAGTATTGCTGGCAAAGCTGACTCGTGGGTTCTGTCTTCCGCTCACCAGGCTTGGTATTCTTAAGATCAATGGAGATCAAATTATGAAAGTGAAGGACGATGGAGAGCTGATGTGGGTATTCAAAAATATAATGTTATTAGGCTTCCCATTGCTCTCAGAGGAGATTTACCGGTCATCATTTGGCTATAGGAATATACTGAAGACGTACTTTGCCAAGTTGGGCGAGGTGGTCCATACCGATGAACAGAAAGCGAAGCGGAATATCACCAAATTCAATCAACTGATTCTAGTGAGTGCGTTTTCGAGATTTATGCAATAGCACCGGCTAAGACTGGCTCCTATAGACGGCGTACCGCGAGTTCCAAACCGTTACTCATGAATCAATCATGGATCTGCGTAAAAGCCACCAGCTAAAAGTTGTTCACGGGCTGGACTTATACGCCAAGCGCAGCGTTGTTCGAAATCTGAACCATACGTCCCGTTTCAGCAAGGAGGAGCTCCTCTTTTTATGCGATGCGTTCTTCAGTGTCCTATACTACGGTCGCCAGGAACCCCAAAAGAAAAGCTCAGATCGAATGGAACTAGACCACTTCATCATGTTCCTGGGGCGACTGACCGAGTGGGCCAATGTCAAAAAAGATGCTGACGAGCAACAAAGCCGTCTTGGCGTAGAAGCGGCACCCAAGCCCCTTGTAGGAAGCTCCTTCATGGAAAAACTGTTCCAGCATTGCTTTGACAGTGACCATGACGGGTTCATCAATTTTCAGGACATTGTTACTGGATTGGGCAAGCTGATCCACAGTGATCTGATGACCCGATTAAGTCTTTTTTTCGAGCTTCACGACGCAGATCAGGACGGGACTTTAATAAAAGAAGAAATTATACAGCTCTCGGAAAGTCTTCTGTTTTTACTACGACGGGAAGAAGGGGATCGACATCTTGGTGCCGTATCTGGACTTCTGAATCGGGCATTCATGCTAAACACTACCTCTGATGGTAGCCAATGTAAAAATGCGGATGACAGTATTCACGTGTCCATCTCAACTTTCCGCGAACTGGTACTTGGGGATGAATATCTGGTGGAATATTTCGAGCATGGTCTTCCGTCCACTTTTGTTCTCAAGGAGAGGGAGGCTGTCCAGGTGACAGCATCTGTGGTAAGCAAAGAGATAGCAGAGTCGATTTGGTCTGGTGGCCTGAAATGGATGGGAGGGAAACGCACACGTGTATCAACCGACGAACAGAGGTCCGGTATAATAGAGGGAGAAGACAGTTCCCAGGCTCTTGAAGCAGATGAGGAGGAAGACAGGGAACAGGTAGAGGAGGATCAGGAACTCCTAAAAGAAGGTATTCATGGCTATTGATTGCCAGCACGTTGCGCTTGACTTATCCTTCCCCCTTAAAGTTGATACACTATTTCGCGACGTCGTTGTCGACAGGCCCAGAGAGCCAGCTACTGATGAAGGCGCTTTGCTCGCATCAGTAGCAGGAACCCTAGGAGAACCAGCTGACAAACCAGATACGGACATGGAGCAAGAGATATTTATGTAATGATGTTGACTTTATAATACACGAAAATCTTTGTTAGGTCTACCGCCCAACTTGTCAATCATAATACATATTCCCTGTACACGGTACAATTCCTGCCGATACCCATTCAATGCGCTTCAAGGATCGAGAGGGAAAGTGCTACTACCATGAGAACATTAATCGCCGTCTTGTTTTATTCAGCGGCAGTTAACCTAGCCGAAAAGAGCTTTATGTGAAAAGAAGATGAAAAGATTGTTCTTTTCAAGAGTTCAAGGGCAACGAGGAGCTATGTGCTCTATGGTCCGATCGGCCATCATAGCTAAAAGCTGGATTGATGACAACAACTAAGATATGTAGTGGATGGAGCTCATATCGTGCATCGTTTTCCTTGTAATCTACAAATGTAATGTGGGATTATCTTTGCAATTTGACGCCTTCGGCCAACTGTATATTCACTCGGTTGGACCCAAACCTGAAAGCTTTGGTCAGGGAAAGGCGAAAGGAAAAATGGAAGGTTAGGGTGAGGGTTGTCAGTGGTTTGCAATGGACGCGTGACATTGTCTGTTTGGAGGATCCAATTTGAACGATCAGTGTCGGCGGTTAGTCCCCTGATCTACAAGATCAGGAGCCAGTGACGGCAATGGCGGCAGAAGGTCGACATTCTCAGGAGCACTCGGACCGTTTGGTCGCTGCTTATTTGAAGACTAGAGGATATCGCCATACGGAAGCCTTTTTTCGGAAGGAAGCGAATCTTCCCTTGAGTGAGGGCTCTTTGGATAGTGGACTTCACCAACGGCACGAAGCCTCCGTGCCCGACTACATTCTATTCTACAACGAAGCGGAGGCGAGTAATCCCAATGCATATGAGAGAGGATACAGTCGTCTTCGCAAGTGGGTGGACGACTCCATTGACAAGTATAAGGTACTGAGGTGTGGCTATGGGTACTTTTCAGAACACTGGTATCGACATTGTCTGTCGTTCACCATACTATAGGTTGAGCTGCGAGGAATTCTTTTCCCCATATTTGTGCACGCTTATCTGGATCTAATTGTTCGAGAATTGCGAGATCAAGGTATTTGTTGCTATGCCGAAATATTCGATAACGATCGTAATCGTCGAGATTTTGTTAACCCCATAATAGCGAAACATTTTATGGAACTTTTTAGAGTTGACCATTCGGAACTTCACGGGCAGGATATTGCAAGACTTTCGGCCATCCTCGAGCCGCAACACGTCTCCGAAAATGACCTCGCCCAGAATTTCCGGTCCAATCGCTACGGTCTGAGAATGAGCCGTTACTCGTTTGAGCTGCTCCTCTCCTTTCTCCAGGACAATAACTTTATGTTGCTTCTGAGAATTGTTAACGAGCATATAAGCATTCTAGGTGTGTGTCGCCTGCCTTGGCTCTCTTGAGATGTCCTTCGTTATACCTTCTGCTCATCCGCTATTGCAGTTGTATCAACTGAACCTGAAAATGGCGAAGATGGACTTGAAAAAGATCAGACAATTGGCTTGGTGGGTCAATCGGTGCATCAGCTGGAAGATTTCAATCGGCAGCAATTAGCACTGGGCACATTGCCCCCTGATATGCCTTTTTTGACGGAGATTGAAAGGAAAATCAAAGAAGAGGTAGTATTCTCTGAAAAGAATATCCGGCTGCACATCTTGACCCCGGGCATCGTCTACTGCAGGCACCGCCTGATGCAGGCGAGCTGCTGGAGGAACTTGAGAAGGTCAAGCTAGAAGCGACCGCCGATAGCCCAGCAATAACTCTACCTGCCAAGTAAGCGGCGATGCTGTCACCGTGCAAGGTGGTGACATTCTAACAACTTAAATGATGTAAAGGAAGCTTATCGACGTTCCGGCTGCCATTAAGAGTCTCAGGGAAACCCGCAATCGTGTCCAACTTAGTTCAACAGCACTACCCTCGATTTGCTGCTACACATTTCACAATTCCAGCAGCAGGTGCGCTGGGCATGATACATGACGTCGTCCTCTACCCTCTGTTCTATCCGACCAACATTACTTTACAGCTTGCAGTCACTTACTCTGTCGCCGGATGCATCAATGGTATCGGGTGGCTTCGCGGATTCTTTCATTCGACTGTGGGATATTACCGGTGCGGACACGAAAACTTCAAGTACGTCTGAAGCGCGTGACATCTGAGTAGATCTGGCCCATAGGATCATTTCAATTGAATTGCGGCAAACTTCAGAGTCAGGTTTCAAAGGAGAACAAGGAGCGCAGTCATCAAGACGACTTGTCGGACATGGTGGCCCCGTGTACGGAACAAGTTTCAGCTCGGATAGAAGGTATCTGGTAAGCTGTTCTGAAGACAGAACTGGTATGTATAGTAATGGATTTAAGTTTTGCGGCGTCAATAACATCCTTCTGCAAGCTCGATTATGGAGCTTAGATACATTCTCGAACGTGGCATGTTATAAAGGGCACAATTATCCTGTGTGGGATGTTGACTTCAGCTCTCAAGGATGGTATTTCGCAACAGCCTCCCACGATAGGACAGCACGTTTATGGAGTTGCGACCACATATATCCGCTGCGGGTATTCGTTGGCCATCTGTCAGATGTAGATGTGAGTCCACCTATCGTAGAGCATTTTGAGATTTATTTGACCTCACCGCATTTCGTCTACAGATCGTCCGCTTTCATCCAAATTGCAGCTACCTCTTAACCGGATCGAACGATCGCACCGCACGGTTGTGGGATGTTCAGAAAGGGACCTGTGTACGGATATTTAAGGGGCATCAAGGTGCTGTCCAGACACTCGCTTTCTCTCCGGATGGCCGAACGGTCGCTTCCTCAGGTACAGAGCGTTTTGTTCCACTTTTCCATTGGATCATGAAATATTGACACCGGTGCTTTAGGTGAGGATCACAACATTATACTGTGGGACATATCATCAGGAAAGCGCATCAAAACAATGGCGGGTCATACTGGCGTGGTGCATTCACTGTGCTTTAGCAAGGATGGGTCTGTTCTCGCTTCAGGTGGTGGGGATAACACGGTGCGCATTTGGGATGCTAAGAGAGCAGAAGTGCGTGAGCTAGGTGTGAAGAGAGATGTCACACATTCCATTGCTCAAGACAGGTATACAAGTCCCATGTTGTATGAAGTGGAGATTTTCTGGACTCACCAAATTCACCCTCTGCTCTGTTCTCAGCATGTCCCATCTTGGGACTTACCCAACTAAAAGAACACCAATCTACAATGTACAGTTCACTGGCACAAACATCATGATGGCTCTGGGGGCATTTCAATCAGAAGGTTAAGACCCAATAATATGTAGATTTCTGTAAATAGCTGTGCAAGATATAATAAGTGCCTTATCTAT